CCTACTCAACGTATGCAGAGGAAGAAGCTGAGGAGCGGGGCCCAGGCTTCCTCCTCTGTGCCAGTCTCCCTAGCAGTGACAGCCCCACAGATCCCCACTACCATGCCCACCACACCCCTTTCCAGCATCCATGGGAGTCGACCAAGCAGGGAACCAGCTGCCCCACATTCCACAGTCAGCAACGTGTGCGTGTTCAGAAAGCCCAAGGAGGGGTCGCACACCAGGCCTATCTGCCACTGCCCCTGAACTAGCACCCCAGTCAGCAGCACTCTGGAGGTCAGGGCATGCTGGCTGCCCTGGGACAGCCGCGCCAGTGCCGGGGCTCTTGCCAAGGAGCAGCCACAGCAGGCCTGCTCATTAGCTCTTAATTGTGGCCCGTGCCAGGCCTCCCAGGGCTGTTGCCAGGATTCCACCTGTTGACAAGATGTGGTGTCCCAGAGGGAAGCCACTCTGTGTTGATGGTGCCACTAATGATGCCCTGCCCAACGGCGATTCCCCTTTGCAGACACTTGTCCACGTGTCCTGGGAGGCCGAGCTGCACAGATGCTGGGGGAGAACAAGCGCGCATCAGGCAACGGGGGAAAGGGCCCATCCAATGCCACCAGCCCGCCAAGTCTTCCAGATTTTGGGAAGGCGGCTGCCTGGCCCCCTCACGACACACACTATGGAAGGACCCTCCCATGGAGCCTTCCCACCCTTCTGTCCCAACCACCAGCACAGGGTCTAGGCCCAAGGTCTACGTGGAAGGCACAGCAGGGGACAAGTGTGGGGTATCCCCATAACCACTAGGGACCTGACTCACCCAGAATATCCTCAGCATGAGTCGTGAGGAGATCCCCTCATTGGCCACCATGGGAGTTGGCTCTCTGTCACTTTAACAAAATCTCTGAGATAATCACCTAAAAAGAAAACAGGGACTGTTTCGGCTCACAGTCTTAAACAGTTCAGTCCACATGGTCCTATTGCTCAGGGCCTATGGTGTGTGGCACATTATGGTGGGAGGGCAGTGGATGGAGGTCACAGCTTACATGGCTGCCAGGAAGCAGAGAGAGGAAGAAGAGGCCTCCTCCCACCAGGTCCCACCACCTCCCAGCACCATGGGTTGGGGACTGGGCCTGTGACACATGGCAGACCAACAAAGCAGTCCCGGCTCGCAAGGCTCCTGGAGCAGCTGGCAGGGAGCTGAGTCCCATAGGCAGGAGCAGCTTCACTGACCCAGACCCTGGAGATGCCTGGTGTCTTGCACAGGTGGCCACCCAGGCAGACACTCACAGCCCCTTTCTCCCTCCTTGCCTGTCCCCTGGGTCCAATCCAGCACCTCAGGGCGCTCGTATGGTGCCCCACAAGCTGGGCGGGGAGCTTTCATGGGCTTGGCTGCCTCCTGACCTGCGCAAGATCTTCTCCTCTCCAAATTTTGGGGGATGGGTACTTCAACAGGGGGAGTTCCTATTGAATGCTGGAGAAGGTGGTGCTGAAATTGGACACTGGGAAACCTATTGTTTATTTTGGAAAATACAGCTCCCCTTCTGCCCTTCCTGTCTCCCCTGCCCTGGCCAGCCTTCCCTTGGGGTCTTCTAAGCTGTCACAGAGGGCTAAGGATATGGCTCAGTGGTTAAGTGCCCCTGGGTTCAATCCCCAATACAAAAAAAAAAGAGTAAGCTGTCACAGAGCCATCACCCTGAAAGACACCTGCTGGTCCTTGCCTCCACCCTGAGCCCCAGCTGGCCTAGAGCCCAGGGGTGTTGGCTCCAGACCCTCAGGCAGTATCCTCCAGTTCCTCAGGAGCTGGCTGCATGGTAGTGTCCAGGGTGTATCTGCTGGAACCTGAGGGTGTGGGTTAGAAAAAGGGCCCATGCAAACAGGGACCTGAATCCATATCTGACAGCAGGTGTTCTGATGAGAGAGAGGGGAGACAGAGGAAAGGAGTCGTGCAGAGAGGCAGAGAAGGAGACATGTGGCTACAGCCTGGAACGCCTGGAGCCACCAGAGTAGGGAGAGGCAGGAAAGACCCTCCCTGGAGGTTGCAGAAGACCCGGCTTGCCTGCACCTGGCTCTCAGAACTCTGGTCTTCACAACTATGAGAGGATGAATCTCTACTGTTCTGAACACCAGTGTGTGGTCATTTATTGTTGCAGCCTTTGGACACTTACCTTGGGGAAGCACACCAGCCCACAGGAGGGGCTGGGCAGTACTGGGAGCCCCAGCAGACACTGAGGGGCCCCACTGCTGGTACTTCCTCCCACCCAACCAAGGCAGGTGTCCCCTTGCCACCTCCAGAGGGAGCACAGCCAGAGCACCAGGGCGAGCCCAGGAAGGGGTGCATGCCTGGGGTCCTCCTCTGCCCTGACATGTGTCAACCCTGGAATCCCCAGGGTCTGGCTTAGGGACTTGCACAAAGCTCATGGTGAACACTCATTAATGATGATGATGAAACAGTTTGCAAAACAGGAGTCCAGGGACTCAGAGGCCTGATGTGGCACCAGGGTGCAGGGAGGAGAGGCAACCTAAGACCTGCAAGGAGTCACAAACCCACCGAGCAGCAGCAGAATCCAGCCTGGGGTGAGGGGGTCAGAAATACCTGGTCCTATTTTCTGAATCAGAAACTGGCTCTGAGCTGAGGATTTAGCCCAGCAGAAGAGCACCTGCCTAGTTTGTGTGAGGCCCTGGGTTTGACCCCTGTATTGCCAAACAAAAACAAACGAGAAACAACAAAAAAACTCAAACTGGCTATGTTGGCCACCCATATACTCCTTCAAGGGTGACAGGCTGGTGTCTTGAGACTGGACATCCTGGGAGTTACTTTGGAGTTGCCTCCAAATTGCATGCTTTCTTGAACAGCTTTATTGAAATATAAACTCACACACCATACAATTAGCCTATTTAAAGTGCATAATTAAGCCGGATGTGGTGGCATACACCTGTGATCCCAGAGACTCAGGAGGCTAAGGTAGGAGGATTGCAAGTTCAAGGCCAGTCTGGACAACTTAGCAAGATCCTGTCTCAAAACAAAATTTTTATGTAGGGCTGAGGATATAGGTCAGTTGGTAGAGTGCTTGCCTTGCATGGGCAAGGCCATGGGTTCAATCCCCAGCACAACATATGCACACAAAACAAAGAGTGTAATATGTTTATGTAAAGACTGGCATGTATGGGGCTGGGGCTGGGGCTCAGCGGTAGAGCACTTGCCTAGCACATGCAAGGCCCTGGATTCGCTCCTGAGTACCACATAAAAATAAATAAATAAGGGCTCGGTTTGTGGCTCAGTGGTAGAACGCTCGCCTAGTATGCATGAGGCACTGGGTTCGATCCTCAGCACCAGATAAATGTAAAATAAAAATAATGTGTCCACCTAAAACTAAAAAATAAACTTAAAAAATAAATAAAATAAATAAAATAAAGGTATTGTGTCCAAATACAACTAAAAAGTAAATTTTTTTTTATAAAAAGACTGGCATATGGCTCAGAGAAGGCGAGGACTCACACAACCTGCACCTTTTGGGACTGATCCTCTGTGGCCACAAGTTCTCAAGGTTTGCCCATGCTGACACACATCAGAACTTCCATCCTTCTTATGGCTTCATGCCATTCCATTGTCTGGAAGATCCCCATCATCTGCAGGTGGCACCCCGGTCACATCCACCTTTGTTCCATTTGTGTTTGCTCTTATAGACTTGGACTTGGGTCTGTGGGAAGGGGGAGACAGACTGAACCCTCCTTGAATTTCAACACATCAAACTCTCTCCTAGCACTGGGAGAAACCCCAAGCAGACTACATAGCCCACACTCCTGCTAAGAGATCCTCAAATCTCAATGGCACCTGCCACTCACACTCCTGATCCATTCCAAGGCATTTCAGTGACACTTAGTTTGTGTTCTCCTTCTCAAAATTGGAGGACTTCTTCAGACTTGGGGCCCAGGGTACCCAGGGACAAGTGTGGCCTGGAAGCCCACCTGAAAGCCTCTTGCTGCTGAGGAGAAAGCCCCACTGGGCTGGGGAAGCAGCTGTGGGGCTCAGGGAGGCCACCAGTCCTGGGCCTGAAAGTGGAGTCATAGACAGGCAATAGTTGCCAAGCAGAGCCCAGTGGGACAACTGTGGGACTCAGAATCCAGACCCCAGGAAGAAGGAAGAAATGTGGGATTACCAGGGATGATCTAGGGCCAAGCCTGCCATGGACCCACCAGGTCAGTCCAAGCATCTGGGGATAAGCCAGATTCAATGCCTGGAGTTTTCTGGAAAATCCCAATAAAAACTGGTCACTAGATGTGTAACTGGACATGATATGGTTTATTAAGGCTTCACAATTGAGACCAGCGACCTATAAATCATTTTTTCTTTCTTTCCCTTTTGCAGTGCTGGAGATGAAATTCAGGGCGACCTGCTAGCCAAGTGCTCTACTCTCAGCTACACACTAGCACTCAGGCTAAAAACTCTTATGGAAAAGAAATGGGGTTTCCTCAGGTTGATCTCCAAAATACCAGTAACTGGGTCCTGGAGGTCTGTAGAATCAAACTGCTGGGAATCAAACCACCAGAGCCCGAGGGACTACTGCTCCCTACCTGTGGATTTTCCGCACTGCCTGAATCTCAGTCAACAGAAGCTGGGCACATATTGTGTTTCTGGTGTCGCCCTTGGTTCTTGAGCACATCAGTGAGCACAGCACACAGCAAGGCCGTGCCTCTGGGCACTCTCAGGCCCACACCTGGCTGGCAGGTAAGCAGAACATAAGTAGATAAATGAAGTGAGGAACCCCTCCCGTTCTTTGCGAAGCCAAAGAGACTATGGCGCCAGAGCTGCATTGTACTTGATCTACATTGCCAAGAGCGCCACAGCCAGAGAAGGCGCAGAGATTGGAAGCCTGGAACTTTGGGCTCTGAACATCCGCGAGCCAGGGCGCGAGAGCCGCTGCACTGGGCCCGCCAGCAGAGGGCGCGCACCGCCCGCCGCGGAACAGACACGCATGCACCGAGCGGGGCGCTTTCCGGCAGTGAGGCGGAACTCTACGTTGCTTCGCGCCACTTGACGACACCTGCGCGTGGCGCCGGGCGGTAGCGCTGCAGTCATGGCGTCGCCCTTCAGCGGGGCGCTGCAGCTCACCGACCTGGACGACTTCATCGGGCCGTCCCAGGTGGGCAGGCAGGTCGCCCGCTTACGTGGAATAGAGAACGGGCTCTCACAGGCGGCTCTCGTGGGACGGGCTGCCGGTGTCGGCCGTGGGACGGCCCACTGGGGCAGGACGGGATATCCCGGACGGTGTCGGGGAACGGCCCACAGTCCACGGCGGGGGACAAGAGTGTCAAGGGTGCAGTTCACTAGGGCACATGGGGAAACCAGACAGACAGCAATGGGTGTCAAGAACGGCCCACTTGGAGCCCAGTGGAGGGACCTGCTGCACCAGGCTGGAAGCTGGTGCCCATATCTGGCAGGGCCTGCCTGTAACTGCCAGGGCTCTGCACAGCCAAAGCTGAAAAGCACCACCCCAGATTAACCGAGCGGGGCTGGTCTACAGGGCAGGCAAGATGAGCTGCAGCCGCCTCCTGTGAGGTGGGAAGGAAGTGGCCACTATGGTTTTGGAATCGCAAGACAGAACTCAAGGAGATGGGAGAGCCCGGACTTGATCCCAGGGCAGTATGGAGTGGTGACCGACAGATGTCACCAAGGGAAGCATCCTTGGTTCCCTCAGTAGCATTAACTTTGACCTCTTCTTGGTGGCTGCACCACTGTCTGCTCTTGGGGCAAAGGTCAGGAATAGAGGTCTCCGCAGATGGGCAGTTTGCAGGCCTAGTTGGTGCTGGCCTTCATACTGATCCACACTTGTGGAGTGAGTGACCTTGATGTTAGACTCCAGTGCCTAGTGCAGAGCAGGGCAGCCTGGGACAGCCTCAGTAGCAGGAAGATGGTGGGTCCATCCTGTCCTGGAGTGTGCCCCTTGGGCAGAGCCTTGTGCCATGGGGCCAGCCATTCTTGAGGCTCAGCTACCTCAGGAGCTCCTTCACAGAACAGGTTTGGGATCTCTTCCTGGTATAGGATTGCATCAAGCCTGTGAAAGTGGATAAGAGGCCTGGAAGTGGTGTGGCCAGGATCCACATCGAGGATGATGGGAGTTACTTCCAAGTTAATCAGGTAAGGCATGGAGCCCCACCACAGTCCAGCTGCATGGGCTGAAGCATGTTTTCTCTGCTTCATCCAGTTGCAATGTGGTAGCCTTGAGACTTTTCACGTTCTGCCAGTCATTTCATATTGGTCTGTTCACTGACCGCTGGGGCACCAGGTCAGAGTACTTGGGGAGCAGACTGGGTGCCCAGGCTGAGCAGCAGGACTGATTTGTTCTACAGACATGGTGGGTCCTGCAGCCCTCTCTTAAGTTCTAGGATAAGATCTTGGAGCCTGCCTACTTGCTCTTTTACCAAGTGAACACGAGTTCCCAATGCTACAGTATTAAGACTCACCCCAACCACCCGCCATTTGGGCTTCAAAACTACATTCACAGGGCTGGAGTTGTGACTCAGTGGCAGAGCACTTGCCCAGCATGTGTGAGGCACTGGGTTAGATTCTCAGCACCACATATAAACAAACAAAATAAAGGTCCATTGACAAATAAATAAGTAAATATACATACGTGTGTGTGTGTGTGTGTGTGTGTGCATAAACAAACTACACTCACCACTAGGCTGAGAAATATGCTCTGTCTGCCTGGCCAGGAATCCTCCCTGGATGGGAATCTTTCTTTGTTCATGGTGTGGGGTGTGCAGATGCCTGTGATGAGCAGGATCACATGGTCACAAGAAAGCTGACTTTTGCTCTTTGCAGGATGGTGACTCAAGGCATGCCATGGCTGGGGCTGGTGCAGCTGAGAGGGCCTGATTCTTTCAAGGGTTCCATAAGTGAAGGGACCCAGGGAAGGTGCTGGGCACTCATGGGCACTGCTGTCCAGAGCTGTGGCTATTGATTTGAAGGAGCACTGCAGCCTCCCTTGGCACATCACAGCCCAGGCCTATGGATTCTTAGCTTTTCAGTGTGGGCTAATCTCAGATGTGGCTGCAGCACAGCACATAGACCTAGTGGGAGGTAGCTCAAAGGACCTTCAATTCAGAACCTCACCCCTGAAGCTCTCCTGTCTCCAGCTCAAACCAGGCTCATGTCTGTAAGGCGGAGTCAGGGGCTTTAGCTGGGATCATTTTGATTGGAAAACCCATTGAATACCCTCCTAGAGGACCAGCCTGAACACCAGCATCTCAAGGCTCTACCTCTGTCTGGCCGAGCCAGCTCTTGGCATTACCTCCTTCTTTTAGAGCCTATTCCCACAGGCCTACACATGCACAGCAGGGCCAGGATCCCCTCCAGCAGGCAAGTCTACTGCTTTTGTGCTGACTGAACGCAAGCAAGCCCTATTCATACAAGTTTGATGTGCTAGTTGAGTTTGTCCCAGAAGTTAAGAGTTTGATGTCAGTGTGAAAACTTAGGATGTGTACTAGTACTTGTGTAACATTTTTTAATTTTAAAAAATATGTTAAATTTTTAATATTTTAATTTTTAAAAATATTGAGTGGTAGGGCTGGGCATGTGACTCAGGGATTGAGTGCTTGCCTAGCACGTACAAGGCCCTAGATTTAATCTCCAGGACCACAGAAAGTAAATGAAAATAAAAATCGAGTGGCACCCAACTAGACACCATGTTGGCTGCCAGTGTGTTGTAAGCAGAAGAGCACAGGCCCCTGTGGGATCTGCGCTCCTGAGAGGAGCCCTGCAAGGGGACCGTTGTCTTAGGTCCATGCCCCTTCTGCAGGATGGTGGGACCCAGAAGCTAGCAAAAGCCAGGGTCTCACTGAACGACTGCCTGGCATGTAGTGGCTGTGTCACCTCGGCAGAGACTGTGCTTATCACCCAGCAGAGCCACGAGGAGCTGCGGAAGGTTCTAGATGCTAACAAGGTAAGCGGTACAGATTGGCCCAGCAGCCCAGGGCATATTTCTTCAGGGGCAGCTCACCTGGTGCCACTTGTCCTTCCTTCAGGTGACTCCCATGTCTCTTGGGTCTTGCCATGCTCTGAGATGCCAGGCCCTAGCTCTCTCCTGAATGTACCCCCATGTGCTGGGCTCCGCTGGGGCAGCAGGCTCTCTCCAGAACCATTGGCATCTGGCTTGACAGGCTAGGAGCTGGATCTTACAAACCTGCAGAGTAAGTGCCTCTCCCCACCTTGCAGACTGCAGCACCCAGTGAGCAGCGGCTGGTTGTCATTTCTGTGTCACCCCAGTCCAGAGCATCGCTGGCTGCAAGGTTTCAGCTAAATCCTACAGACACTGCCAGGAAATTAACTTCATTCTTTAAAAAAATAGGTAGGTGTGGAACCTTGGGTGAATACCATGGCCCCAAACATGGGCGTTGAGCATGGGGATGCTTCCCACTTCCAAGTCACAGTCACTCAGCCCTGAACTCAGACACTTGATGTGTTCCCAGTGGGACTTCATCTTGAGGTTGCTTGACAGCGGAGAGCAGCAGTTCTTTTTTCTTTTAAGATGTTGATGGCCCTCTATTTATTTATGCATTAACTTATTTTTAGTTGTAGTTGGACACAATAGCTTTATTTTATTTATTTTTATATGGTGCTAAGGATTGGACCCAGGGCCTCACATGTGCTGGGTGAGTGCTCCACCGCTCAGCCCCAGCCCCTGGACCTTTATTTTATTCATTAAGCGGTGCTGAGAATCCAGCGCTCCACCACTGAGCCCCAGCCCCAGCCCCTGGACCTTCATTTTATTTATTTATTTATATGCGGTGCTGAGAGTCTAGCCCGATGCCTCACACAATAGGCAAACACTCTACCATTGAGCCACAGCCCAGCCCACTTCTTTTTTGTTGTTGTTCCAGAAATTGAAGCCAGAGGCATTTATCCCCTGAGCCACATCCCCAGCCCTTTTCATTTTTTGAGACAGGGTTTTGCTAAGTTGATTAGGGCCTTGCTAAGTTGCTAAGGCCGGTTTTGAACTCACAACCCTCCTGCCTCAGCCTCCCACACATGTGGCCACTGTGCCTGGTGGGGAGCAACACCTCTGAAGAGCAGCCATCTGCTCCGACTTACACTCTTCCCACACGAGGAACTCACCACCCTGTGTGTTTCTTACCTGTTGCTCTGAAGGCACTCGTTCCAGGCCTGTGTTGGACACTGGTCAGCCACATCCAGACTTGGTTGGTCACTGGGCTAGGGGAGGAAATGAGTATTCTGAGAGCCCCTGGCTAGATTGGGGTGCTAGTGCCAGAGTGGCCAGTACCCCCACCCTAGTGGGAAGTGAAAGGGGGTGTTCACAGGCCCCTTTCACAGAATGTTCCTTTACCTGGTAGACAGGCTAATGCTTGGTCGTCCTCCCATGACCAGGGGGGTCTTTCACCAGAAACTTGCTGACACTGGCCCTATCTGACTGTCCTGGTCCCTCAGACCTGGGGAAGCTGGCCTAGGGCTGCGCCTGGTCCAATGGAAGATGGAAATCAGTATGGCACCACCCAAGAAAACAAATTCAAAGATTTTTCCTTCTGGATCCTGGCGGGGAGGGTGCAGTAAGTCAGAAGSGCAGCCCTTTACTGGAGTCAAACAGGTTTCTGCAGGAGTTTAGTTGATGGGTTTAGAGTAAGCAGGGACAATTGCCCAGAATCTCACTGTGACTAAGTGGCATTCACGTGGGTCTTCTGCACAGTCTGGGGGGATGGGGAACAGTGGGCAGCAGCCCAGGAGGAGGTGGTCCCTTGGAGCTGGCTGTGTAAAAAAGATGCTTGGACATACTGCTATGAGGACCTGGGAAGAGGTGGAGCACTAGGAACTGTCCAGGAGCCTGAGCCCTGCTCCAGTGTGAGAAAGCCAAACCTTAGAAATCAAACAGGAGGGCTGGGGATGTGGCTCAAGCGGTCACACGCTCTCCTGGCATGCGTGTGGCTCAGGTTCCATCCTCAGCACCACATACAAAGATGTTGTGTCTGCTGAAAACTAAAAAATATTAAAAAGAAAATAAATCAAACAGGAACCAGGTATGGTGGCACATGCCTGTAATCCCAGCAGCTAGGGAGGCTGAAGCAGGAGGATCACAGGTTCAAGGCCAGCCCCAGCAACTTAGTGAGGTCCTGAGTAACTTAGTGAGACCTTGTCTCAAAATGAAAAAAAAAAAGGGGGTGGTGATGTTACTCAGTGGCTAAGCACCCCTGGGTTCAATCCCCAGTACAAAAATAAATAAATAAATAAACAGGAGTTCACTGCAGTGGGAGATGCATCACAGGAAGTTGTCCCCTGGCCCCAGGCAGCACCTGGCTTATCCCCATGGCACAGGCTGTTCCATGCTTCCTGGGGCTGCAGTAGAAGCAACTGGTGCCACTGGGGGCAGTGCCCTATTTTGGGGGATGTGAACAGTGCTGCCCCTGCTGTGGCCAGCACCAGAAGGGTCACCCATGGCTGGTGCCAGCTGTGGTGGGGGTCAAGCTTGTGCCTTTTTTCCAGGGGCGCACTTCGTCTTCGACACTGCCTTCTCAAGGAACTTCAGCCTCCTTGAGAGCCAGCGAGAGTTCGTGCGGCGATTCCGAGATCAAGCCAACTCCAGAGTGGCCTTGCCTGTGCTGGCTTCTGCCTGCCCAGGTGTGTTCATGGTTGTGCAGGTGGCAAGGTTCCAAATCATGTGGTTAAAAACTGACCATACCAGCAGCAAGGCTCAGGACCTGGAGAGCAGGTGGGGAGGCAGAGCTCTTGGACCAGTCAGTACCTCACGCCTCCTGGAGGAGGCACCCCATCAAGAAAGTGCCTGCATTCTCTCCCCTTCTGTGGTCTGGAGGCTGGTACTCCTGGTGACCGGGTGACAGAATGGGAATGCTATCTATGCTGCAGTCATTTTTGTACAAGTTGGTCTACCCCCTGAGTGTTGTGTCGCTGTCAAGCAGAGAGGCACTCTGTGAGCCACCCAGGCCTGCCCTGTGCCCAACTGAGACCTGTTGGTTCTGCCGGCACAGGCTGGATCTGCTATGCTGAAAAGACCCATGGCAGCTTCATCCTCCCCTACATCAGCACGGCCCGGTCCCCACAGCAAGTCATGGGCTCCCTGGTCAAGGACTTCTTCGCCCAACAGCAGGTAACAGCCTTAGGCCGTGTAGGGCAGCACACTGGAGAGTGGCAGCTGTGACCCTGGCATTGGTGGCCCTGGCTCCAGTCACTGTGGCTGTGGTCATGTGCCCTCTGGAGGCATTTGGGGTCATGAGCATTAATGGCAGCTGCCTGTGAAGGTGCTCTTCACTCACCTAGAGGTGGCCCAGCCCCTCAGGAGCAAGAAGCCTAAGCCAGGCTGCAATCAGGTGACCTCCACAGGCTGCTGTGTAAACAAGGGCACCTGCTAAGCCATGAGGACTCCAAACTGGTGCCACTGGCCCACAGGAGGCGGGGAGCCTACACTTCTCCTGACCTTAGTCCTGTGCTGTGCTGCTTCTACATGGACACAGTCAGGCTTCCTTGAGGTCTCTCTGTGTGTGGTGCTGAAATCAAAACCCAGGCCTCATGCATGCCAGGCAAGTGCTCTGGTGCCAAGTCAGGTTCCTGGCCCTCAGATCTTCTGCACCACAACCTGCTTTTTCTATTGACCCCAGAACCATGAAGGCTGAGGCCTCTTCCTCTGCTGGAGTGGGGTACTGCAGGACCTGTGGCATCCACTGCAGGGCCACGGCATCAGTGAGGAGGCTGCTGGGAAGCAGTGCCAGCCTGAAGGGCTGTTCAAGGCCAGCTGCATAGCCACCTCTTACCTCGCTTGTCACAGAGCGAGCTGTAGTCAGGTGGGACCAAGTTTCTCTCCTCCTGTAGCATCTGGCCCCCGACAAGGTGTACCATGTCACAGTGATGCCCTGCTACGACAAGAAGCTGGAGGCCTCCAGGCCTGACTTCTATAGCCAGGAGCACCAGGTTCGAGATGTGGACTGCGTCCTCACTACAGGTATTGTCCGCACCCAGGAGGCAGGGCATTCTCAGCTGACCCCTCTGGGACACCTGTATCCCTTGGGCCTGGAGTTCCTTATTGGCTTGAGTGGGTCTGGGGGGTGTGGAAAGGCTCCAGTTCAGCCCTCTGGCTCACATGTGCTCCCCATTTCTGAGTTGAGAAGTCTCAGAGTCTCTCAAGTACTAGCAAGACAGCAAAATGAACTGCCCGGGAGGCTGGGCAGACAGCACTAGACCAGCACAGTTACTGGTTCACCTTATGCCACCCTGAGGGAATGAGGCAGCCGTGAGGGTCTTCAGAGGGGTCATCCTTTCCCACTTCTGGCTGGGTGAATATGTGGGCCTGCTGGGGCCAAGATGCAGCTGCCAGGCATGCGGGCAGCTTGAGGTTCGAGCGGCTGGAGCACCTGTGCTGTGGTCCCACACAGGAGAAGTCCTCGAGCTGCTGGAAGAGGAGGGGGTCTCGCTCTCAGAGCTGGAGCCAGCCCCTCTGGATGGCCTGTAAGTCAGCAGAGGGAACCAGGCTGCCGTGGGGTGGGCAGTGCCTCTCCTTCCCTCCCATGGCCTGCCCCAGGCCTGAGAGGCACAGCCCAGCTTGGAGAGGCCTGAGCTCCCCGGGACAATGTCAGACACACCAGGGGCCCTGGGGTCATGCCAAGACGTTCCTTTGTGCCCAGGACTTGTTTCCCACCTAGAAAAGCTTGAACACAGCTGTGCTGAGGCCCCACTCTCCTCACCTACACTGACCTGCCCCTTCCACAGGTCCAGCAGCACATCTGCTGAGGAGCCCATCAGCCACCGGGGTGGGGGCTCAGGGGGTTACCTGGAGCATGTGTTCCGGCATGCAGCAAGAGAGCTCTTTGGAGTCCATGTGGATGAGGTCACCTACAGGCCTTTGAGGTCAGTGGGGTGGCCTGGGGCACCAGGACAGGACAGCCATAAAGCTCCTAGACTGGTGCCTCCCCAGCCCTGGGTCCTCTTGGTGGGCTTGTTGGTAGACCCTGGAGCACTGGGCACAAGTGGGGGCCTCAGTTTCCCCCTTAGCAAAGATCCTGAGCCCAAGGCCGCTGTCCTCAGGACAGGTGGATACCAGTGACACCTGCATCTGGGAGGGAGGGCAAGGCTAGGTCCTCCCTTGCCATGTCTCAAGACCAGCCTTAGGAAAGGGGACTCGCATTTCACAGGTGAGGAGACAGATCTGGGAGAGGTTAAGGTCACCTGTTGGACCTCTGGTTGGAGGGAGCACTCCACTCGTTCTACCCTCCCTCCCCTGCCCAGGAGCAAGGGGTGGAAGTGCTGAGTTCCCCTATCCCAGCAGGGCCCCTGTGTGTGTACAGGAGCCTGGTGTTGGTGGTGCATATAGTCTCTCCCATCCTCAGGAACAGGGACTTCCAGGAGGTGACCCTGGAGAGGGAGGGCCAGGTGTTGCTGCACTTTGCCACTGCCTATGGCTTCCGCAACATCCAGAACCTGGTGCAGAAGATCAAGCGAGGCCGCTGCCCCTACCATTACGTGGAGGTCATGGCCTGCCCCTCAGGTGCACCTCCCTGCAGGAGATGGCAGGGGTGGGGGCTGCTGGGATGGAGTTGGCAGCACCCCTCCAGCGCTGGAGGAGGTGAGTGGGGAGAGGGTGTGCACTTTGACCCCACCTGACACTCTTGTGACCATAACCTGCTCTGCACAGGATGCCTGAATGGTGGAGGCCAACTCAAGGCCCTGGACATACCCAGCAAAAACCTTCTCCAGCAGGTGGAGAGCCTGTATAGCATGGTCAGGATGGAGACACCTGAGGATGTGCCTGGGGTCCAGGAGCTGTACCAACAGTGGCTGCAGGGTGAGAGCTCAGAGCGGGCCAACCGCCTGCTGCACACCCAGTACCATGCCATAGAGAAGCCGAGCTCGGGCCTGAGCATCAGGTGGTAGGAGGCCTCGAGGTCTGCTGGGGCCAGCGCCCAGCAGCACAGCCTCTCACCTCAGACCCCAGGGCTCTCCCAGAACCAAAAGGAGCTGCACAGTGTGTTAGAGCCCATGTTAAAGTGGGTTCCAGATACACACAGGATTTCGTGGTCTGGAAATGTGACCTGTGCCTGCACACCCYGGGCTCTGTACTGGCTTTGCAGGTAGGGTGAGGGGTGGAAGACGAGGCTGAAGGTTCTCTGAGGTTTGGGACTCTCTTCCACTGGCCCTTCTGTGGACATTGCCTTTCCTGGCCATGGTGGCTCTACAGTGAGGGGCTCCGGAGTTCCTGCAGGTGCTATCCCTGAAGTCTGGAATCACCTGGAAGCCACAGGGCAGGGGGCAGGTGACGACTAGTAGTGTCAAGTATGGGGACTGCTGCAGGAAAGGACATCTGGACTCCTGAAACTAGGGTTACAGAGTTGTGGGCCTAAGGTCAGCTCTGTTATCTTAGGCTGCATCCCTGCACAAGTCTTCCCTGGCCATCATGCCACCATGGCTGGGTTCCTGCCAGGCCCGTCTCTGACCCAGTTTCACCTCTGATAAAGGACATGCCCAGCACGTCTGGAATCACTGCTGTCTTGGAGCGTCGGTGCCCCAAAGGGCCTCTCAGAGATTTATTCACTGAGCAGAACCCAGGCAGGACTGCTCGGGCACAGACAGGTGTGTGGCTGCACAGAGGTCCTGCAGGTCTACCTCCAGGAGCAGTGGAGGAGAGTACCACTTGCTGATCCTCAAAGGCTGGGCATACAGCCAGGCAGGTCCACAGAGGCCACCCTTGTGTGGGTCCAGGCAGACTGAGAGTCGTGGGAGGAGCAACATGGAGTTGAGTGGGCTCTGGGTGGCTCACTTCTGGTGGCCCAAGAGCCCCCACTGCAGTGCGAGGAGTGCCCGGGCCTGTGGCTGTGGTGGCTCCACATCCTGCTGGAAGCAAGCCCGCTCCCTGCACAGCACCTCCAGGACCTCGGCTGGGGCCACTTTGCCTGTGAACTTGCGTACGGCCTCTTCTCTGTGGGGGAGGGGCACAGTGGGGAATGGCTGGACACTAGGCTACCCATGGGGGTGGGAAGGGACAGGGCACTGGATGGATGACAGGACGATACTTAATGTGGGCCTCTCCTGGTGCCAGGGACACTCAGCCCAATTAATGGCCCCCAGACACCTTAACTAACCAAATGGCTGCCAAGGAGGTCCCAGGGAAGGCAGGCTGGCATTGCCAGCTGGTTCCACAGGGAGATGCCTCCCAGGCTGCCTTGATGACTGTAGCTCAAGCCCCACCCATGGGGAGGCCCCAGACATGGCCATACTTACGCCACCCTCAGGAAGGGATTGTACAGCAGCTCCTCGCCCAGGGTGGATGGCACAGTGGGCACATCGTCCTCATCTCTTTTCTGCAGCGACCATAGGCCCTTGTCATAACCAGGCTTTTCCTGACAGTCCCAGCCTGCTTGGCTGTGGCCACAGGGCCACATAACCCATGCAAAGCCTGCAGTGGCCACCAAGGCTAATCATGCTGACCCTGGGGATTCTCCTGCAGCCAAACTCAAAAGAGAGCACGTGCTCTCCCCACTGCACATCCCTCCCATTAAGGGGCAAGAAGTGGCCTACCTGGGCCCAAGACAGTTTTGCTCTCACGTGGTCATTGTGGGGCTCCACTGTGTGTGCAAACTCCAGGTTGCGCAGTGTGTGCTCATGGCCACAGAACACCTTCTGGAGAAAGGGCATTCAGTGTGCAGAGCACTACTGCAGGCAGAGGTGGGAGGCACTCAGGCCCTGGCCCTGGTTCCACCGTCTGGACCCGGACAGGGCATGAGGGTTCCCAGAGGAAGCACAGCACTAAGCAAGGTCTGGATCCCACGCACCGTCTGTGGGGGCAGGGTGCCAAGGGTCTCTGTCAGACTCTGGTACATCTGCTGGGCTGTGCCTTCCAAGTGCCAGCCACAGCCAGCCACGGACAGTGCATCCCCTGTGGGAGGAGGGTAGGTAAGAGGAGATGGGAAGCCTGGTCAGAGAAGATGACGGGGTGACCTCTGGGCTGTGGGTACCCGAGAAGAGGGCAGGCGGGTCCAGGCTTTCGTCCTCCCAAAGGAAGTAGCTCATGTGGCCAGAGGTATGGCCAGGCGTCAGGAGGCAGCGCACATGGATGGCCCCAAACTGCAGAGGGGCAAGCGGACCTGTGAGGGCGGGTAGGGGGTGGGTCGTCCCTTCCCGCATTTCCCATGTGTATACTCAGTACTCACCCGTAGTTCCTCCTCATGTACCAGCATGCGGGTCAGCCCACAGATGCGTTCGTCCCCGCCCATCACCACCATCCCCGGTTGTAGCCGCGCCAGCTCCACGTTGCCCCGAGCGTGGTCCCTGTGGACCCGCAGCGGAGGGAGCAGTTACCTCTGGTCAGAGAAAGGCGTCTTCAAGCCTCCATACGCCCCACCTGCACTCACCAGTGGTGGTGGGTGGTTAGCACCGTGGTCAAAGACACTCCCTCTCGGCCTGCGATCTCTAGCAGCTGAAAGGAATAAAGTCATGGTGATTTGGACGTCTGGATGAGCTGCTCCCTCCATACTACACCACCGCCAGTACCTAGGACAGCGCAGAGGAGGGCCTGTATCCTGCATGCAATTAGCGGGCGCCCCGCTATACAAGGGCAGTTAAGCACTGGATAAAGGACACGCGTGCCAAGGCAGCCCTAACTTAGGAAGCCCCAAGATCATCGGGAGACCAGAGATCGAAGAAGAGGATGGGACAGTCTGCTCCAGCCAGGGTGGGGGATTTGGCGTGTAGCACTCAAGGCTGCCTAGACCTTCAATGGTGTTCCTGCCACCCCCGACCGTCCCTTACCCTCTTGGGCACCGCCACATCCACAGCCACAGCCTCTCGCGTGTCCTCCTCGATGACCAGGTACATGTAGTTATCCTCAAGCACAGGAATGACCTTGACTTTCATGGTGGCAGAACTCAGCCACCCCACGCCTCCTCCAAAAGAAGTCCCCCACAGCCTACTGAGCCCTTCTGGGCAAGTCAGGGACACGGACAGACACACACGCGCAGAAGGTGCAAAGAGCCCTGCTTCAGGAACTCCTGAAGATCCGCATGCAGGTTCAAGGCGGCCTCGTTGGGGCCCCGCCTTCGGCTCGCAGCCCCGCCTCCCAACGGGCCCTGCCCCTAGTCCGCAGGCCACGCCTCCTCCCACCATCCCGCCCTGTAGCCACRGAGGGACCCCAGACTCCAGACAGGTGGTCCCGACAACCCCTCACGACACCTGTGCAGATGGCCTGGAGGACGCTCGACTGACCGACGGAGGCAGGGCCTTAAGCCCAGAGGAAGCCTGTCGTTCTACCCGGCGGCTGGCCTTCACTGCCCGGCCAGGGACTGATGCTGGCTGGAGGGAACACGCATGCGCAGTGGAGCTTGGCGCATACGCCTTGACCTGGTTCCGGACACAAGCCGCCTGCTCACAGAAACCTTCACTACGCAAGCTTTCCGAGACTGCTACCAGTATTGGAATGTCCGCACCCTTCCTCTCAGGCTAGGGGTGGGGAAGGCTGTATAGCTTATTTACCAGCCTATCCCAAGTTTCGGCCAGCACCTGGAGGTACACCAAAGGCATCTATCTGAAGAGTGTACGAAGCACTAGCCAGACGCCGTGGTGCACATCTGTAATCCCAGCGCCTCAGGAGGTTGAGGCAGGAGGTTTGGGGGTTCAAAGTCAGCCTCAGCAACTATATCTAAATAAAATATTTTTAAAGGGTTGAGGATGTAGCTCAGTGGTTAAGGAGCCCTGGGTGGGTTCGATCCTCAGCACCACATAAAAATTAATTAATTAAAGATATTTTTAAAAAATAAACTGTCGAATCCACATGGTAGGATAGGACATTCCTCGTAAGCACAGCAGTACCAGCAACTGTATTTTTAGTTTCCATATACCGGATCCAGGTGAATGCCCTGGGTGTTGGTCTGCATTTCCCAAATGAGGAAATGGCCCAGAAAGGAGCCAACGCCATAACTGTAAGGAACCAGGTTCCCCAGTCCTTCCTCCCAACTGCCAAACTGCCTTGCCCTGTGGGCGTAACTCTGGCATCTCCAAGACCAACAGAGGCCTTGGCAACGCTGACACTCTGTGGAGCAACAGCCACCAGGCAGCCATCCTAGAGCAGGTCAGGGGGCCAGGTGCAGCAGGCTGGAATTCCTGCTGCCTATGGAGTGGGTGGCAGCCCCAGGGCCCAAGCAGAGGGCCCCTCCTCGAGCCTTGGAGAATGTGAGTCCTCCTAGGACACTGCTGCAGCTGTGGCCACCACCCCGACATCAGTTGGGTCTTTCATCTCCCTCAGAGGCTGGGGTGGGGGACCCTGCACCCTGGGTCTGGTCCTGGCCAGGGAAGGGCTGCCCCAGCTCAGCAGGGTTGGCATGTCAGATGACCCTATCAGCACAGGGGCCGAAGCCCAGACCTGAAACCCACCTGGGCATGGGGTGAATGGTGCCTCCCTAGGCTGTGCCCCAAGCAGAAGCCTGGCTGCCAGGAGTCTCTTGTGGCACCTCAGCCTGGGCCACCAGCCTGGAGGGAGAGCTTCCGTCAGATCTGGAGCTGAGCGAGGAACAGCTGCTACAGGTGGGGATGGGACCCCAAGGTATTGGCAGAAGCAGGGGCAGCAGGGGCTCACAGGCAGCACTCTTATCCTGGCCACACACAGATCTCCAAGGAGCTGGTCGACCTTCAGATTGCAACTCATCGCCTGCAGGAGCAGCACGAGGCTGAAGTCTTCCAGCTGAAGAGGGAGGTGAGCAGCTGTAGAAGCCCAGGTGTGCCAGATGATCACACCAGGGCAGGTGGTGCCTGGGAGTACACCCACATTCAGTATCGCCCTGTCCTTTGTATACCGTCTGCTCACCCTGATGACCCACAGGTCCTTCGGCTGGAGAGCCGGGTGCTGGAGCTGGAGGTGCGTGGAAATCATATCAGCCAGGGGCATGTGGACCCAGCAGAGGTCAACCCAGTACAGAAATTCAATCAAGAAACCCAGGGGCCCAGACACTCTGCCCACCACAGCCACCAGGTCACCCTGACCACAGGAAGAGCCCAGGTGGGTGAGGCTGTTGAGGGCCTCCTCAGGCACAGTTGAGATGGGACCTGCTCACCCACTCCTCACCCCTGCCTTCTCACCCATGCAGGTGCAACCCAAGGATGTCCTGATCCCTAAGCCATTGAAACTGGAGAATAGTGTGAGCACTCTGTAGCCTAACCTGGGAATCCTCTGGCATTCTCCCAGCCCAGGGTGGGAATGGGACCCAGAGCTTGGGGTCTCAGGCAGCCAGCTCTTGTGTGCCCTGCAGCTGCTGGGAACCCAGGAGCTTCGGGGTGAAGTGAAGTGGGTGCTGGAACATCACAGGGCCCTGCAGCAGACACTGGAGACACGGGTGTGAGTGGCCACTTCTCCTGGGTCTGGGAGGTCCTGTCAGGGCACAGTACTCACAGCAGCCATTCCCAAGGGGCTGAGGAACCCCTCACCCTGGCCTGGCTGAGCTTCACATCATTAGCAGGGCAGCCCTGGGCCAGCAGCTGCAGGGAGCACAAGAGGAAGCCAGGGCAGCTGGGCAGCGGCTAGCTGCACAAGCAGTGGTGAGCATCACCCCCCACACCCTGTGTGCTTCGAGATCCAGCAGTAGGTATCCTCCAAGTGCAGCAAGATCCCTCCCTCACCCCCAGATGCTGTCCACCTGCCAGGGCCAGCTCCGACAGGCCCAGGTTGAGAACGCCCGGTTGCAGCTGCAACTGAAGAAGCTGAATGAGGAGTATGCCCTCCGGCTGCAGCGCTGCGCCCGAGAGGCAGTGGTGAGCACCAGGCCAGGGGCCCTGTGGTGGAGAGGGGAGGCCTGTGAGTCCCAGGAAGCCCACATCTGGTCTGGGCATGCTGGACAGCTTCAGGGAGACCCTAGGGATGGGATTGGGCCCAACCAGGTCACCCTGCCAGCTCCAGCCCAGCCCCCAAACCTAGCTCCCCCTAGTGCTGCCCCAGCATCAACTCACCTTCTCCAGGGATATGCAGATGGTGCAAGCCAGGCGGCCCTTCAGACTTTCCTGGAGGCCACTCTGCAGGACATCCGGGCAGCACATCACAGTCGTGAGCAACAGCTGGCCCGGGCTGCTAGGGCCTACCGAAAGCACCTGGCAGATCTGAGCCGTAGGCATGAGGAGCTGCTGGCCACACACAGGTGGGCCCCACTCTCATCTGGGCACTTGGGGTGGTACGGCCCTACATGACCCCACGTATGGCTCAGTGTGCAGCAGGAGCAGCCGCAGGCACTAGCAGACCCAGACAGGACAACTGGGACCCTCAAGGCTACCTTTACTAAAGCCACAGACCTGAAGCCACTGTCTGTGCCCCTGGCCACTGAGCTCAGCCACCTGCAGGAGAAGGATGAGGTGAGCTCCTCTCCCTGCTAGCTCACACTGTCTAGGGGCACAGAGCTCCAGAAATGACCCCAGCCTCATCCCAGGCTCAACAAAGTCCCAGCCCCAGGGCCTCAATGGCCTGCCTCCTTCAGCCAACCAAGGGATCTTTTATAGCACAGCCAGTTCAGGATGCTGCCCTTGTGCCCACGAAAGGGACCTGGTGAAGCCTCCTCCCAGGAGACCTCAGAGCCACTGTGAGTGCCCTCCTGTGGGTGAGTGGGGAGAGGGCAGATCATACAACACTGAAGCAGAGCTTTCTGCCAGTCTAAAGTGAACAAAATGGCTGGTCTCTGGCCCAGGGTCTTCCAGTTTGTACAGGGGAAGTAAGGTGGCTGCTGGGCCAAGTACGGATGTGTGAAGAGGGCCCTGCCAGGAGAGAGGCCAATCTTGAATGGAGAAGATCAGGGAGAGCCCATCTGAGGGAGGACCATTTCAGCTGATACCTGAAGGACCCAGGATAAAGACAGGCTGGGAGCAGGTTGCCTGGTGACCTGGCCAGCCCTTGCCTCCAGGCCTCTACCTCCCCAGCTATACAGTGGGCAGGGCTCTTGAGGTGGTACTTCCCAGGATTTGGAGAACAAAACACCCAATGGGTTAACATCGCAGTAGACTGGGGTCACCATCTGAGCTTGCCCATGGCTTAGCATTCCCTGAGTGGCCATTGGGCCCCTCATGCACAGGAGCTCCAAGGCCTGGGCAGGGTACGGTGTCCCAAATCACTCCAATAAGTTCCAGGTCAGCCTTCAAGACTGCCTCTTCTCCCCTCTCACAGGAGCCTGGATACCAACTCCTGGGCCCAGATCTGCCAGAAGCTCCAGGACTTCGCCCGAGGCACTCAGGTAGTGGGTAGGGCTGGAAAGGGCCCCTCTGCACACTCTGCCCTGGCTTAAGGCTCATGCTCCTCCCAGGCAGAGCTGGAATGTGAGCGAGCACAGCTGCTCGTGCGGGCCACCAAGGCTGAAGAGCAGCTTTCAGAGCTACAGGAGTATGTGGACCAGCACCTGGGAAGGTGAGGTGAATGGGAGAGGACTTTAGTCTGGGTGGGGGAAGATAGTCCATAGTCAGGTAGATGATTTTAACCTGATTCCTCTGAGCAGGTATAAGCAGGAAATCCTGAGGCTGAGGAAGCTGGTGGGTGCAGGGGACCCCTGGAATGCGGGAACCACACCTCCAGCCAATCCCTAACATCCAAGGACACAGCCGGCCTTCTGAGGAGCACAGAGCAGACCCCTTCGTAGCCAGCAATGGAGGCTCCCCCACACCCCAGTCATCCCTGCACCCAACAACCCCACTATCCACAAAATAAGCCTGTGATCTATGAGCCTTTATTGTGTCCAGTCAGCCAGCCTGAGAATTGGGGAGGCTGGGGGCCAAGGCAGAACCAGGTCCTGGGGTGGGCAGGATGGAGCAGGATGTGGCAGCAGGTCTGGCATGGTGGACGTCCATGTCGACATCGTAGGCCCAGACCCGATCTAGGCCTTCACCTATCACAGCCACAGGCTGCCAGGTGGGTAGGGGGAAGCGTCCAGATACCACACGAGCCCCAGCAGGCAGCTCTGCCAGCAGTTTATCTTCCAGCAAGGGGAGCTGTGGGAGAGAGAAGTGGTGAGGAGGCGGCAAGGGCAGCAGGACCCAACCTGCCCTTGTCCAGCATCCATCCCCAGGCCTCAATGCAGCACATGCCAGTGTGTGGCCCCAACTCTCGGTGAGGCTGCAGACCTCAGACCTACCACGCTGGGGGCCAGGAACACGGACACGTTTCGGCAGTCCCTCAGGCTCACCTGTGAGAAGGAGAGACACCGGCAGGGGGAGGGGGCTGGCGACCTGGGTCCCTGCAGTTTCAGACCTGACCCCTGGCCCACCCAGGAGTCAGAGAAACCTGGGGCTGCCAGAAGGCTGACCAAGGCAGAATCTGAAGCATAATCAGCTGTGGATCTCAGGGGTCTAGGTCCCCTAGGTTACCTTCCAGAGATCCTCACGAAGGTAGCAGACGCTGCCAGCACAACCGGCCCTCCAGGCATGCAACCTCGCAAGCCCCACAAGCCACGGGTTCAGTTCGTAGCCCACAGCCGGGCGGAGACCGCACCTGTGGGCCGCCAACACCTGCCGGCACCAGCAGTTCAGGACCCGAATGTTGGGGAGGGACCACCACACCAAGGGCAGGGAAGACACACAGGGACACAAACAGGCCTTACAATTCTGCCGTCTCCAGAGCCCAGATCCACCATTTTTCCCGGGCGACCACGCAGCAACGACAACACATGCTCAACCTGCCGTGCACTGGCGCCTACATAGGGTACCTGGGCGAGATTAAGTGGGCGGGCTGAGGGCCAGAATCCATGGGCCACGTCCCCTCGCAATCACCAGGTGGGGGCAGAATTTGCCTCCTGGACAAGAACTGGAAGTTCTGTGGTGGACTTTCCTGCCGCACCCAGAGCAGGTGTCAACCCAAAGCCCAGCCCAGCGTTTAGCTGCAGTCACTTTTCCGCACACCGGCGCGGTCCCTGTCATTCCAAGGCGATGCCTCCGCCCCACACCGCAACCCACGCCGTGTACCTGCCCAGAGTCCCACCCTTAGTGGTCTCGCCCTTCCACACACCCCAGTCCCACCCACCGGCCGGGCCCGCACCCTTCCTAGTCCCACCCCTTCGCAGCCCCGCTCTTAACCCGGTCCCGTCCCCCGGTCAGGGACCGAACCACTAGTGGTCCCGCCCCTCCGTACTCTCTGCCCCCGGCCGCGGTCCCGCCCAGCTGAGGTTCCGCCGAGCGGCCAAGCCTCGCCCGCACCTGCAGCCGCAGCGGCACTCGGCGGAAGCCTGGCTGCAACAGCAGCGCCCACACGGCGTAGGCGGCCAGCCCCGAGCCCGCCGCCGCCTGCAGCAGCTCCAGCGCGCCCAGCCGCCGCTCGCGCAGCTCCGTCAGCGCCTCGGCAGGGTCGTCGTGCTCCATGGCTGCGGAACAGGCGGCTCAGGGTCCTCCCGCTTCCAAGCCCTTTCCCTCCGCCGTGCCCCGTCGGTTACGCGCCTTCCCAGCGCTGCTCGGGCGAGTACCGGTGGCTGAGCGGAGGCCGGGACTAGACGCCGGAAGTTGCCGCAGGCCTACTGGCTGGTGGGTCGAGCGTTCGGCTCCGCCGGCCCCAGCCCAGAGCTCTCCCTCGGGTTCCGGGCGGCGGCGCCCTGCGGTTGCAGCGGCCCGGGTGGTCAGCAACCCTCGCGGACACACGGGGCCGCGGCCTGCTCTTAGCCGGGGCAGTTGGCTCGGTCGTCCCACAATGCGGGCGACTATCGGGGCCTGTCCTGGCATGGGAACGTCCGAGCGGGGGCGGAGGCCCCAGCCTCCAGAGCGTGCACCGGAGAGGGGTGCGTTGGTGGGGCCGACGGGAAGGGTTTGCTGCGGGCCTTGGGTCATAGCCAAGTCCTCACAAGGCTGACTTGGAGACCGGCGCGGGTTTCGCTGACCAGGACACCCTGGAAGCCAGCCAAACCCAGAGCGGTCCCGGGAGGACATCCTGCAGGCTCCCTCCCACAGCGAGGACCGTTAAGCGGGAAGGGAGGATGCGCTGGAGTTGGAGGGCCAGGGAGGAGGGGCTTGACAGGAAAGACTGGGGCGAGGAGACAGATGTTGGCTCTCTTCGGAGTGTGGTGGGAGGGGCGCCGGATGCGAGAGGCTGGGCCTCTGGCAGCTGGCCCAGCATTGGGGGTGGAAGGCAGCTAGGGGAGCCCTGAGATCACCTCCTCCAGAAAGTGAAAAAGGGTTGAGTGGCTCCTGGTAAAGCCCTGGGGTGGAGGCGGCAAGGAAAGGGACAGAACCTTGGGTCAGGCAGCTGGTCACCTCATCACCCCAGACTGAGGACGAATGTTCTTGAATGTCATTGCCATGTCTGTGCACACAGCCTGGCTTGGCTGCTCAGCCATTCACGTCCTGGTCAGGGGACTCACAAGGATGGAAACCGCTTCCAGAAAAGTGGGTGTGCCCAAGGCCAACCCTTCAGCCCCAATTGCAGAGTGTCTTCCATGCCTGCCTGCACATTGGCCCTAGCCTAACCAGACTGAGGGACAGTTGAGACAGTTGTCCCTGGGCAGCAGCAAAGCCTCCGTGCACTGCACTGGGGAGGAGGCCTGTACACCAGCTCCTAGGGCCCTATATCCTAGGGGGCTATAACTGGGCCCTCCAAGAGAAGGAAGGATGTGCACTGAGCTCCAGGTGTGGAAGCCCTGTTCTTGGGGGGACTCCTTGCATTATTTCCAGTACCTGGAGCCATGTCTGGCTCCAGTAAGGCTCTCCGGAACTGCACCTGGTGACTCTTACACTCACATCAGAACTCTGCTCTTCTGCCTTTGGGCACTCAGCAGCCAAGGCCTGCCTGCCTAAGTTCACACACATGAAGGCGTCTCTGACCTTCATGGAGCCCTCAGGCCAGCTCCTGCAGTTCCAGTCCACTTCTTACCCACACCATTTCCTTTGCTATCTCCACTCTCCCTTCTTAGGCCTTGGCCACTTGTCTCCTGGGACTCCTGGAGCACCAAAGTCTCCTGTGCCCTTCTGTCTGAGAAGCAGAGCACTGTTGGAAAGTCTGATTTCTCTGGATGGTTGTGTGGGTAGGATGTTCAGGAACCTTCCAGGCTACATGAGTTGAGGGCCCCCCAGTACACCTTCCCAGTGTATTTGTGGACTGGTGAACTGGGAGGTGGTCTATAAGCATCAGTGGATGTGGCCCAGAGGGGAGGTTGTGGAAACAGGTCTCTGCACTGACTGTGGGAAACTGGCCAGAGAATTAAGCCAGGTACCACAGGTGAGGATGCTACTCAGCCCTGGGGGAAGAACCTCCCCAGAATAGGTGAGCAGTGGGAGAGCCCAGGGTTCCCTCTTTCTCTGCTCCTGAAGATGCTGGGGGGTGGGAGTAAGGGTCTGGAGTCCAAGGGGTGGTCCATGTTGCAGATGAAAAGTGGAGGTCTGAGTGCTGAGGATGCATGGTTGAGGAGATGAGAGGAAAYAGTGGGAGGAGACCCAGTAGCGCCTGCCATCCATGGGTGCTCTCTACCCTCCTCCTCAGTCTCAGGAAGCAGGCAGTTGAATTCATGGGCACTTAGATAGCCCGTCCCCTGGAGGTTCCAAGGCAGCCACTGAGCAGTCTGTGTGGCACAGGGCACTTGGTCAGCCCAGTCTGGAGCAAGGGTGTGTGGATCCTATACAGGTTTGTCCCTCTCCTAGCCTCAATTTCTTGCCTGAAAGATGACAGACCCATTCAACCTCTGGGTTCCATCCCTGCCTCTGCCCCTTTCCCCAGTGAGAGCAGACAAAGATGAAAAGCTTGGCCCTGAGGTCCCCCAGCATTAGAGCTGTGGCTCTTTCCCAATAGCTGAGGGGTTGAGGGTAAGCGGAATCTACTCTTCCAGGGCTGGAGAGCCCTAGTGCACACCCCCATGCAGGGGCTTTCAGCCTCAGGGCCTTGAGCTTTGTCCAGGGCCTCACTAGCCCTTATGCAGCTGGGAGGCTGAGGAAGAAGGCAGGGACAGCAACAATGGGACCAGTGGCGGGAAACGGTCCTTAGAGACCCTATTGTGCACCCCACTCGCCGGAAACAGACAAGCAGGATCCCACAGTGGAGACCCCACACCCTGCAGGCTCCTCGCCATGTCTGGATGCTCAGCACGTTGCAGGGGCCTCTGGACAGAGGGGCCCATTCTTCCCGGAGGGCGGGACTGGGCCAAAGATGACTGGCTCACAACAGCTACAGAGGGAATTGGCACTCTGCCAGACTGCAACCCCTTTCCTTCACAGGATGGGCTTAGAGCTGGGGGTGATGCCTACCTGCCTGCCCCCACACACCTGAGGGACCCCAGACCCCTTGGCCTTGGGAGTTATGGCACCTTTCGCTCCTCCTCTGAGCCCCAGAAGCACCTGGTGTTGGAGGCAACAGCCAGCCAATAAGCCAGACGCATGGGTAAGGTCCAGGCTGAGAAGGGGTGGGCAAAGACAGTAGAGGGAGAAGGAAATTAAATGAGGCAGGTGCAGGGTTGTGCTGGCCAAAGGAGACCAGATCTACCATGTGATCAGTATTCTTATTGATTATCCCTAACCCTTGGAAGCAGCTGGGAACATAAATGYATCCAGAAGCCACCCCTCCCCACCTCCCTCCCACACACCTTCCCTAGCACCCTGTCCCCTGAAAAAGGCCCTCAGTCCAGTGTCACCTCACAGGGGTGGAGGTGGGCAGCCTGGGCAGATGTGTAGGCTCGGGTGAATTCTTGGACGCGAGGGGCACAGCCCAGCCAGGCTTCACCAAAGCGGCTCCAGCCCATGAAGAGGAAGGTGCCTGGGCCAGGGCGGACACCACAGCGCAGCTGGGTTCGAATGAAGACCTGCCCCTGGCCTGCAGGCCCCCCCATCCCCAACAGTGGCAGTGTCTGGCGGAGGATATGGGTGGCCACCACAGTGATGACAGACTCCTGCAGCTCCATGTCATGTGTGACCCTGTGGATGGTCCCGCGGATCACTGCGGGGAAACATGTTGGCCAGGGGTGGGCCATCAGGGGAGGGCATGCCCCAGGCTCCCCCACACGGGGACACTCACCAAAGTCACTGGTACATGCAGCCAGGAGGAGCTCCTCATCACTGCAGGGCCTGCAGGCACCTGCATGCAGGAGGGATCATGAGCCCAGGCACCACCAGAAGTGCAGTCACATGGCATGTGTGCACACCTGTAGTCAGGAAATACCCTGGCAGGCAAGAGCCTGTGTGACACCCACCACAGACATGAGTCTGGGGGCTGTGTCCACCTGGACAGTGTCCTGGGGCACTCTTGAACACCCATCTCATATATACATACCAGCATTCGGGAACCTTCTGTGACTTCCCAGAGTGGCCTTCTGGGACCCAAAGAGCAGCAGCCCTGCCAGAGTGGCAGGAGGTTATTGTGTGCTCTGGCTCTGGGGTTCCCATCTTTGGGGAAAGAGGTCGGAACAGTGAGAGCCCCATCCCCTGCAGGGTCAGGCTGAAAGCTCCATGAGCAAAGAGCTGGGCCTGGTGCCCTGCAGAGGCAGGACTGCGTCTCCATGGTGACGGGGAGGCACACTGGACTTTTGTTGGCTGGGCTGGGGGAGGGGCATGAGGTCACCGCTAGGCCAGTGAGGACAGCTTTTGCCACAGGCTTTGACTCTGCCCGCCATCCCCTCCCCCCAGCCCTTCAGGGACCCAAGTTTGCCAGCTTGGCCACCCCTTCCGCATTGCTCCCTGCCGGTTCTTTCCTTGATAAGAATCCCGAGGGTGGGGAGCTCAGCCAGAACCAAACAGGTGGATGGCTGACAACCGGCTGGACACTCTGCAGGGGGCTTACAAGTCCCATTCCAGCCAGTCCAAGGTAGGGCGCAACCTCGTGACTCCAACCTCCTCCCATCCAATTGGTCACTCACCATCCTCACCAAGGCCGTGGACTTGTGGAGGCAGTTCTGGGTTTCGGTCTTCACGCAGTTCAAAGCGGAAGGCAGCCACCCGGCGGCTGATGTCGCGGTGCGGTGTGGCCTGCAGGAAGAGGGCCCGGCGCTCGCGGGGACCCCAGTGCACGCAGCGGCCCCCTGCCAGGCCTGGACCCTCGGTCAGCAGCAACTCCAGGGAGCCGCCCTCCCGTTCAGCGAAGACCTGGGCGCCCGCGAAGGGCCGCGCTGGGCGCAAACAGGTGATGCCCGGCCTCGTGCCAAAGTCAGGAGCGCCCAGAGTCAGGCGAAGCGCCCCAGCCGGGTATAGCCACTCGATGGCGCCCTCCACACAGGCCAAGGTCAGCTGCCCCACGCTGCCGGGCTCCTGCGTCAGGCCGCTGGGGACAGGAGAACAGCGCTGAGGCGAGCTGCTGGTGTCCTTGGCCCGCACAGCCCGCTTTCCCGTAGTAATCGCAGAACACCGGCGCCCCCTTTGTGAAGGACACCGAGGTCCAGCATTCCTTGGATTCCTGGGGGAAGCGCACTTGGGAGCGACGCAGTCTCCCAGATTCTCCAAAAGGGAGCACAGCCGGGCTTGCACGTAGGGCCCCTACCTGCCCCTCCAGCTGCAGCGGTCCTCTGAGTAGCCGGCGCGCGCTGACACAGCCAGGAGGCTGCAGCAGAGTGCACAGAACAGCGCCGGGGGCGGCATGGCTCAGAGACGCGCCGGGGCTTCGGGTCTGGGGTCTTGGGGTGCTGCCTCTGAGCGGGGCGGCGGCGGGAGCAGCCCGGGCGCCGCCGCCCAGCCCGGCGCGGCTAGTCCGGGGCGCCCTCAGTAGCTCTGCGCTGCCCTCCCCCGCTGCCCGGGCGCAGGGGGCCGAGGGCGGGGCGGAACGCTGGCCAATCAAGGCCCACCGTGGAACTTTCTGCCAATCGCAAAGGCTCTCGAGGGCGGGCCCAGTGCTCGGCGGGAGGACTGTCCAGCCCGCAGGGCCAAGTGGGACCTGTGGCTGTCCCTGCTCTTGCGCTGCGTCGCCCTTGCCGTCCTCCATCCCTGCCTTGCCGGTACTGAGCCATCCTGGTCACCACTGTCCTCCGAGTTCTGGAGCCCTAGATGGAGTGGCTGAGGGCTTGGGTCCACCAGAAGAACGAGGGGCGGCTCACCCAGATGTTCCTGCCACGCCCCCTGAGTGGCAGCAAGTCTGGTCCTTTATGAGAGCGGGAGCTGCACTTCTAGCCCACCCACCACCCGACCTGGTTCCTCTGCCCCTTCCCCTGAGGCAGCTTGTACCCAGGGAAGAATGGCCAATACCAGGGGCTGGGGATATAGATCAATTGGTAAAGTGCTTGTCTTGCATGTACAAGGCCCTGGGTTCAATCCCAGCACCAGAGAGAGAGAGAGAGAGAGAGATATCAGTAGCAGGAGGTAGGAGCGCTGTCAACCTGTTGCTGCCCTCCAGGACGGGCAGGGTTGAGCTCTCTTAACTCTGTCTTCAGATATACAGGCGTCACACCTCAGGGTTGTTGGATGAATTCTGTGGAGGATGGAATCGTCTGGAGGAGCTAGTATGGGGAAGACCTGTGATACAGGTAATTGTCAGGTAGAAGGATACCCTGTGCCACAGAAGCAGACCCTTCCAAGTCCAGACCAGCTGGCCTTCCACTTTCAAGTGAAGCAGGGGGTCAGGTGAAGYAGGGAGTGGTGAACTTCTGAGTATCAGGGGTCTCTGAGTTTGGCCTGAGGGGTGTGTTGGGGGAGGCAGCAGGAAGAACAGACAGTGTGGGCAAGACTCTGGGGGAGAGTTCTTGACCCACCAGGAAACCTTGAGATGCCAGCCTAGACTCTGAACCCTGTGCCCACTGCCTCAGCTTCCCCTGTAGCCCTGGATTTGCAGCTTATAGCAGTCAGATGAGACTGGAGGGCCCCAGTGGGAGAGAGTGGTTGGAGTCCCCAGTCAGCCCCAGCAGGCTCTCTAGTACTGATGCCCTCTCCTGTCCCCAGAACCTTCCCAAACCAAAGACAGGCCAGGAGCCATGGGACTCAGGTGGCCTGCTGCCTCTGGCTAGGGAGCCAGAACAGAGCATAACAATAGCCAAAAAACGAAAGTAACCCAATGTCCATGGCAAACACATTATATCCACAATAGGTTATTATTACTATTATATCATTCTGTTATTCAAAACAGAAAAGTTCCACACCTGCTATAATATGGATGAGCCCTGAGGAAATGAGCCAGTCACAAAAAGACAAATACTATGCAGTTCTATCTATATGAGGTTCCTAGAGCCATGACATTCACAAAGGTAGAGGAATAGTTGGGTTTTACAGGCTTGGTTTCAGTTTGGGGAGATGGAAGGAGCTCAGGAGATTGGTTGTACACTAGTAAGAATGTGCTTAATACTACTGAACCTAAGAGGGTTGATAGGCTGGGTGCAGTGTTGCACACCTGTCATCCTAGCTACTTGAGAGGCCAAGACAAGAGGATCTAAATGTTCAAGGCCAGCCAGGGCAACTTCATGAGACCCTGTCTCAAAAATACGGGGAGGGGGGGGGCTGAGAATATAGCTCAATTGGTAGAGTACTTATCTTGCAAGCACAAGGCCCTGGGTTCAATCCCCAGTAGCCCCCCCCAAAAAAAATCCAAAATAAATAAATGAAAAAAGGGCTGGAGCTCCATAGTAGATCACCCCTGGGTTCAATCCCCAGATCCAAAAATTTAAAAGGAAAAAAGCGAGAGAGCCCAGTGTGAACAGAAGGTTCATCAGATATTTGAAGAAGGAAGGGGGGACCCTTGGGTCAGCTGCCACAGCTGTCCTGGCCCAAAGGCTGCACCATCACCTTCTCCATCATCACCAGGCTGCAGCTACCCAAGCCCAGGCCCCTGGGGCATTTAGTGGGCTCCAGGCGCCCTCTGGAGGCATGTGAGGAGTCAGCCTCAGAATCGCGCCAATAACTCCAGCGTTCACCCAGAGAAGGGGACAGTGTTGTGGGTGCAAGAGACGGGTTCCCAGAGGGTGACCTGGTCTAAGCTGCCTCCTCAACACTACGATCCTTCTGCTGCTTGCACCATGCCCATCTTTTGGTGATACTGCGATGATGTTGTTACCAAGAGAGAAAACCCAGAGAGAAACCATTTCTCATAGCTCTTGTCCCACCCAGGGAAGCACCTCAGTGCTTCAGCCATTGAGCTCCAATGCCATGGGCAAGGATCCTGAAGGCCATGTGTGGACTTAGTTGCTATGGATACAGGATACAATGCACCTGGTGCCTGTGCTCAGTAACTACCTGGAGAGTAAATCAGGGAAAGGTTAAGTGAATGAATAAGGTCCTGACCTTGGGGAACTTGCCGACTGCTGCCAGTTGGGGCTTGCTTAAGTGTATTCACATCAGACCTCGAAGGCTTGAATTCCCCCTGTGAGAGTGAAGAGATCTGAATGGCTGTCCCCCCTTTCCCAGCTTCTGCTCTGCCTGGCTTTGGCCAAGTGGCATGCAGCATCCCAAAGCCTCTTGTCTCAAAGAGAGGTGGCCAGCCTGGGAGAAAATCCTGAGGCCTGGCTTCCCCAAAGGAGCCTTGGAGAAGCAGCCTGATGGAGGTGAGGAGCAGTGGAGGCCTCAGGCACTGCCATAGGGTGTCACCTCTCAGATGCCCACCTCTGCTATTGCACATCCCCCAGGAACAAACCCCAGAGCAGAGTTAAGGGGGGCAGGGGGCAATGGCCTCAAGACTGATGGAGCTCAGAGCAAACCCAGACCACTTGGAGTGGATGGTGGGGATGGCAAGGCCAGCCCTGCCAGCTTTACTGACCAAGGTGAGCTTGCCTCAAGGTACCAGTGAGCAGAACTCTGGAGGAAATGACCAGAAATCCCAGAGAGAATAGTCAAGTCTCCAGCTTGMACAGGGTTCTCTGCCCAAGTCTCAGATTTCACTGGTAGCCAGGTGAGGGAGAGATGTGGGTGACCTGAGGCTGGTCCTCCCTGTGTCCTCAGATAAGGACTTGGCACTGAGATCCCTACAACCAGGAATGGTCACATGTGCTGCTCTGGATGGCCCTGGTATAGTGCTATAGCCCTGGGTATAAGGAGATAGTTTCTACAACGGAGGGATGGGGCTATCAGAGCCATCCAGTAACATGCTCAGTGGCATCCATCATGAGCACTGACCTGGGTCATCCACACAGCTTAATCTATGGAAACTCGGAGTGCTCTCAAGCCACCAGCTCTTTGGGCTGGGGTTCCCAGGAACAGTCATAGCTGCCGACTATCCAGGGAGCCTGTGCAACCTATGGCTCCTGCCCACCTTCTGCCCTGCACCTCAAGGTGTGGGAAGCAAGATTCCTATTTCAGATGTTTTTCTTCACTTGCTGAGAACCCCCCCCCCCCCAATCTCTGGAGCTGAAAATGCAGCTGCTGATTGATTTGCACTTGAGCTAAAAATAGCTGCTGGCTCCAGCCAGGGCCAGGAAAATATCCCATTGCTAGGAGACGACCGTTGCTGGGAGACCGCCATCGCTAGGCGACTCCGTGTTGCTGAGGTGACAGATGGGCCCTGAGTCATCCTCAGCCGTGACAGGGGGCGGGCCAGGACGGAGCAGGAGCTGAGGGCAGCAGTGCCACACCATCCTCACCCATGGCCACCACAGCCACCTTGGCCACCATGGCCATGAAGTTCTCACACCTGTGGACATGATCTTCCACAGCCAGATGACCCACCTGCCTATCCCCAAGACTCTCTGCCTATCTCCTCTGCCTCCAAGCAGGGTCAGGGGAGTGGAAGCAGGGTGCCCCCATCTGGTCCCAGGATAAATCATTTTGCTCTTGAAGGGGCTCTCACCATCAGTACTGTGCTGAGATCTTCAGGGTCTCCCTGTAGAGTCCAGACCCATTTCCCAGGAAGGGCTCAACAAGGGGGAATGCCTGAACCTCATCTGGGGAGGGTGTGACCTAGGTCTGTGGCTCCAGGGCACAAATTCCATCCCAGAGCCCTCAAGGACCTCCCATGAAAAGACTGCAGCAGGCTTCAGAGCCCACTCCATGTGGGGTAACATTTTTAGCTCTGATGTTACCATTACCCCCTCTCACAGCCCTCCAAGGCCTCAGGGCCAAATGTTCCAGCAGCCTCTGGTCCTCAACCCTCCTTGACTCCAGGACTGAGGCCCACAGTGGCACAGATGTGGAAGACTCCTCTGATCTGAGGCATCAAGGCAAAAGGTACTCCAGGTGAGGGTCTCACTACGTGAGGAGTGCTCCAGGTGAGAGAGTGCTTTAGTTGAGGGAGTCTCCAGGTGAGAGGGTCCTTCAGCTGAGGATCCTTCAGGTGAGTCCAGTGAGGGATGCTGCATGTGGAAGGTACTCCAAGTGCCCTCAGGAGCCCAGGTCACAGGCCCTCGAATACCAGTCCCCAGAACTGATAGAGGAAATGAGCATCTTCTGTGAGCTGGCCCCAGTCGGTGCCCCACACTTATACATTCATATGTATATAACTTTATTTTTTTTATGTGGCGCTGAGGATTGAACCCAGTACCTCACATGTGCTAGGAGAGTACTCTACCACTGAGCCCCAACCCCAGGCCCAGTAACCCATGTTCTCTTTTAAAAATATTTATTTATTTTGAGGTACYAGGGCTTGAACTCAGGGACATTCAACCACTGAGCCACAACCCAGCCCTATTTTGTATCTTATTTAGAGACAGGGTTTCACTGAGTTGTTTAGCATCTCACTTTTGCTGAGGCTGGCTTTGAACTCGTGATTCTCCTGCCTCAGCCTCCCGAGCTGCTGGGATTACAGGCATGCACCATTGTACCCAGCTTCGTACCTCACATTCTTTAAAGGAGATTAAAAGCCACTTAGCAGCCCAACCTCATTGAGGTCAGTTTTCTCTGGGAGTAAATGCTGTTCTCCAAAGACATCTTATAAAATGGGACATATCCCCACAGGGAAGCCCCAAATCCTGGTGCTGGCAACCTGTCCTTCCTCCTTCCCCACTGTGTGCTGGGCACCTGTGTTGTGCTCAGTGCCCAGGGGCACAGCAATGGGAAGGAAAACACCCTCCTGGCCCCCAGAGGAGGCTGTCAGCCAACAGCCCACTCAAACACAACAACAGACAGMCAGCAGACAGACCAGGAGGGCATAAGAAGGGAAGGTCTTGGGGGAGAAAACAGCTGTCAAGGTCACTGGAGTCATCCAGGTGCATGGGAATGAGCAGCAGGAGAGACAGCTGATGCAGGTGAGGGGTAGACCACGTTAGGGTGCTACAGGCAAGGGACATGGCACCCTCCTGGCCTCAGAGGATGACCAGCATGGCAGAAACTCCAAGAGCCAGGTAGAGCATGAGGCTGTGGGCCATCAGGGCTTGATGTTCAGGGCTTTGAAGAGTACATCCTGGAATGGACAGAGCCCTGGGAGGGACTGGACCATGCCTGGCACCTGAGGAGAACAGAGGGGTAGAGAGATCATGCTGACAGCCATGGAGGAGGGAGAGGAATGCACCTGACATGGGGAGGGTGACAGAAGTGGAGGGAAGCAGGTAGGACCTCTGGTGATAGGAAAGCCAAGCAGCCTTCTAAATAATAATCTCTAATGTCCCTGTGAGCAAACACTATCCTTGCTCAGATTCTTCAAAGGCAGGGCTGCTGATTGGGGCCCATTCCAGGGCTGTGTGATCCCAAATCATTATGTGCGTTGGCCTTCCCCACGTCCCCCCTGTGCACTTGGGTGTGCTCATCTAGTGGAGCCAGGAGCCAGGTCTCAGTGTCACCTGAAGCACTCATAGTGCACACCTGCTCACAGCAGGTGGCAGAAGCAGCTGCTGGAAGGTGACGGCACAGGTAGGACAGATGCCCTCTTAGCACCAGAATCTTCTTGGGCTTCATCCTACCCATCCCATGCCAAGCTGCCTTCTGTGGTCCACATTCAGGCAAGGCCACACAGATGCTGCCCTCACCTGGCTGCAGTACCCTGGACACAGTGAGGACAGCAAGGAGAACACTCCACTGTACCCCACCAAACCAGCCTGGGTCCAGCCAGCCTGACCCTGCTCTCCATTGCTCTCAGGCCTCATGCCAGTCCCACTGAGCCCTGCTTCCCAACACCAGCTGGCTTCATTTTGTTAAGACACCGAGTCCTTTAACTTTTCCCTGCTTCCAATACACTGCTCTGCTCTCCCCCACCTGACACTTCTGCCATTCTGTTCTCCAGGATGGGGCACCATTAGCATCTCTCCTTCAGCCCTGAGGCTGCTGGGAGATCTGGTGCACCCTGTAGCCTCTACAGGGGCTCCCATATCCATCCTTACCCTGCCTGCAGCAACTACCCTTCCTGACCTCTAGTCCATATCTGGGGATCTTTGCACTCCACTTTCAGAAACACTCCTTCGTCTCACCCTTCAGGTCTCAGCTCACGGTGACATCCTCAGGATCACCACCCTCTTGAGGTCACCACCATGGTACCCTTTCATCATCACCCTCTGAAGTGATATTGAGTCACTCGTTTGCATGGTTCCGCAGGTATGTGCCTGTACCAAGAGGGTTCCTGAGTCTGGCCCGCAGCAGGTGTCAGGGATTGGGAAGCCAGCAGGCCTGGTCTCCAGCTCCCTTGGAGGGTGCCAGAGGGTGGGGACAGACCACCTGGTCTCCTCAGACCTGGCTTCCCCTTCCTCGGCCCAGTAGGTGGCAACTACAATCCACTGCACGCGCAGGGCTGGCTCCCAACCCCGAAGGACCGCTGCCTTGGCCAACCGCTGGCACCAGGGATCCTGAGTTCTCCGCCCGCAGGTTGCGGGGTCGCCACAGCTTCGCGCCGGCGGGCCGCTGGAGGCTGCTCTCCGGCAGCACGCGCTGCCCTTCCCATTCCTCCCCTCCCGCGACCTCCGGGTCTCACCGCGTGCCTGCGTTTGTTATTGTACGGGCGCCCGCAGCGAAGGCGGGTGCCGAGGCGCGCGGGTTCTGGCGCGTGCCCGTTGACCACGAGCCAGGAGCGCGCTGAGCGGGGGTGAGGGTGGGGGTGGGGCGGGGCTCAACATCCCAGGCGCCCCCTCCCGGCTCGCGATCCCGGATTGGTTCTGACGCCGGGAGCGCGCGAGGGCGCGGCGCTTAGGGCCGGGCTGGGGGCGCGCGCGGCGCCGCGAGCGGCCGCGGAGGAGCGCGGGGAGGAGCGCGGAGGAGGAGCGCGGGGAGGAGGGCGAGGGGAGGGAGGAGACACCCGCCCCGCTCCCTGCAAAGCGGCCTTATTTATCTGGGCACAGCCACAGCCTCCCCGGTGGGAGGCTCGGGCGGCCGATCCTCTCCCACCGGGGAGCTCAGCTCCGGGCGCGGCGGAGGGGGCCCGGCGGGGCGCGGGGCGCGGCCGGGCTCTGCCCGCCAGTCCAGCCCCTCGGCCGCCTCCGAGCTCACCGGCGCCCATGCTGGGCTCCCTATGACGCGAGGTCGCCGGGCGGACAGCGTGGCATGAGCCAGGAGCCCAGGCCAAGGTAAGGTGTGCGCGCGCGGCCAGGCTGCGAGGCGGGGAGGGGTCCAGGCCAAGCCACGGCTGTGGCCACAATGAGGAGGGGACAGAGTGGGGGCTTAGGACCTCACAGCCGCCGCCGTCGCCAGGAAAAGGCTTACGTAACGGCAGCCCCTTCCCCACTGCACCCCGCAGCCGCTGGGCCTTCAGCCCTACCAGGCCCTCCGTAGCACCTCGCCCCAGAAGCCTRCCTGAACGAGGCCCGCTCCCCAATGGCAACGCGGTCAGGGCTGTGGATCAGTGCCACTGGAGCCGCGGAGAGGAAGCTCCATGCCCCCGCCCCAGGACACAAAATTGCAGGTCCCCAGCCCCCACGCTTCCTGGCTGGGTTTTGGGCTCTGGGCCCCCTACTCCAGTGTCCTTAGCCCTTGAGTCTAGTGACAGGTGTTCTATGTAATTAAACTCCAGGAGGAACCATGTGGGTATGTGGCCTGGGGGCTGGTCTCCTCCTGGATACCTTCCACTGACATGGACCTGTATGGAGCTGCCACCCATGATGTGGGGTGGCAGAAGGAGAAGAGGGAGTGGGCTGGCATGTCCCTGGTTTGGGAAGGCCTATTAGGCCTTAGCCAAGGCTGAAGGGCCTTAGATGGGAAACTGGGCACAGGGATCCCATGCCTCCTGGAGGTTTGGGTGGGTGGGGAAGGCTTCCCACTCACCATCCCAGGAGAAGCCTGTTAGAGCTTCAGAACCCATGGCCCAGCAGCCACTCCTCCGGCCCCTTCTGGCTCCGAGCAGGCAGATTGACCTCTGCAGGAGGACCAGATGGCAGATACCACTTCACCTGCCTCCCTCCCTCAGGCCCCTAGTCCATAGCCATGTTGTCACTGGTCAGTAGGCAGCTCAAACCTCCATGGTGCTTACTGGACACAGGGCCCTCTCTCCCAGCCGCCCCCTCCAATAAAATGCTGGACAGCAGCCTCAGAGCTGAAGGCCTGGGCTGGGCAGGGAGCCTGAAGCTTTGGGGCTGCTCAGGCCAGGGACTGGATGAGGAGCCATCAGAAAGGAAGGGACATTCAAAGCCCAGCTGTAAACATGGGCAGTGCATGGGGATGCCAGGACTCAACTGGCATTGTTCCTATCACTTCCACTACCTTCTTCTCAACCACTGCTTACCTTGCGCCCAGCCTATCAGCTGAACACCCCACCACAGGGGATGTTCAGGGWGCAGGCTCACCCCTCCAGCCCACACCCACTTTCAAGGTACTGAACAAGTTCTATTCTCCACTGATGAGAGGAAAACAAGTCCCCAGGTAGGAGGGACCTAGGCCCAGGAAACCCTGAACTGCTGAGATATAGGTACGCCCCCAGGGTGGAAGAGGGGCTATTCCTCTGGCATGCACTGACTGCTTGCAGAACCTGTCTCCTCCCTTGTGCTATGCCTCCAAGGCTGGTGCAGGGGGGAAGGTAGGGAGGGCAGCAATGGAAGCTCTAGGGGACTAGTGGATAGCCCAGAGCCTTCCCACCAGTAAGTAGCCCAGTTGGAACCAGTGGCTGCACCCACTGCAGAGGGTACATGCAGACTATGTCCTTTCATTTGGCAAGCACCCAAAGCAGTAGGTACTAGGGGAACTATCCTAAGCCTTGGATGCTCATATTCTTTAGAGCAGGGGAGCCAGATGAGCCTGAATCCAAGGTCCACTCCTTAGCCCTGCATGACTGAGCTGCCCTGGACTTGATCACAGGGCCTCAGTGTGCTGGAGCATCTACATAGGTCTGTCTCAAGGCCCATGTGCACCCTGGGCTAAAAGTCTTGTGCACCCCAGAAGCATCTCCAACTGAGGGTGGAAGGTGCTCCCCTCCCACCCTCAACTGGAGACACGTGCAGTGGCAGGGATGTGCCTGAGTCACGGGGTTGTCATGGAACGTGTCAGCCTGCACCGTGCCCCCAATCCCAACTACTGTGGTTGTCACCCTGGTCCATGGGGGCTGCCACTGCAGACAGCCTGATGTGAGTTTTTGGTTACCCATGCCTTGCCTAGCTCCCAGGTCCTCAGCAGGCAGAAGGAGCTGGTCAGTACAAGTTCTCTGGAAGTCACACCTCCCAGAATCCAAGACAGGTTATATCCTGACCTGGTGCTCAGAGATGGGGCTATCAGAGATGGGAGAAGAGTCCCCAAAACTGGGGGAGATAAGAGGCAAGGATGTTGGTGGGCATACAGATTGCAGCCTCTGGAGAGAGAGCAAGAGGACAGTAGGAATCCTGCTGGGTGAGGCTCAGAGAGACCACTAGCCYGAATCCCAGCAGAACACAGAGAATCCCATGAAGCAGAAGAGGACAGAGCAAGAAGCCATGGGTGTGCACTGCAGGGGCACTGGGGAGCAGATAGACTAGAGGTCTTGGGTTAATCACAGCTTTCACAGCTTCTGAAAAATTGCCCTCTGAGTTTTGCTTTCCCAACCCCTGGTCAGGTGGTATGGGAAGAGCTCAGGCCAGCAATGGGAAAGAACTAGGCAGCATTTCCCTTGTCCCTCTCTCCTGGAGGCACCTGCCCTCTTCCCTAGGGTCAGGCCAGATTATGGGGGATGGACAGCCAGTGTCTTTATCCCCATAGCTCCAAAAGGGGGACTTAGCAGAAAAATAGATGCAAGGTGTCTTCTTTTCCCAGGTTCTGCGTATTCCAAGGCCTATCTCAAATCCCCGGGGTCTTGGGAGTCTTCCCAGTGACCACAGTACCAACTCAGTCCCAACCCCAGTGGCCTTCCTTCCCTATGAACACTGATCCCTATCACAACTGTGATTAAGTTCTTGATAGCCTGCCTCCCCTCTCAGTCAGCCTCCTGTTCTCCCTTGAGCCTCTCGGGCCTCTGTACAGCCTTGCTAACTGGGCTGCCATTTCTCGCCTATATTTGCTGTCTGTTCTCAAGAAGTCCCCAAGCCAGCAAAGAGGTGGATAGTGATGACAGCCCAGGAAGTGGGTGAGACCCTGGAGATGCCCAGTCATGGAGGCAAGAGTGGGGCTCACACCTGCAGCTGGAGTAGAGGAATGGGGGACTGGCTGGGCCAGGTGTGAGGGCTGGAGGGGAGGCTCTGAGGCCTACCTGGGTCTTAGGGCCCAATGACCTGGTAGGCAGAAGAGGTAGCTCCTTGTGGGGCTCCAATATGGCCATCTGTGAGTCATAAAACTGCCCAGAGCTGGAGTCCTCTTGGGAGCCTGCAGTGCCCACTGCACTCCTTTAGCTCCTGATGTGACTCTGAGGAGAACAGAGTCCAGTCATCACTCCCCAGAAGCACCCTGATCTGACCCTGGCTTGGGCTCACAAGTTCAGGATAATAACCACTGCTTCTCTTTTCCCCAGTAGCCCCTCCACAGCCTATTCCAACAGGGAACCTCCCCAGAATTCCACTCTTAACTGACCAGAACACACCAGGACTGCAGTTGTCATGCAAGCTTGGTTGACGTTTTCAAAGCCTCTATTCCCGGGGTCAGCTCCTAAGGTGCTTGTCTCTAAGGAAGAACCAACCCTGAACAGCCTGGCAGCTGTGCCTGCACTCCTAGCAGGAAGCTCCAGGCAAGCTCTCAGAGTCACCCTGTTGGAGAGCAGCTGCAGTGTCAAGGCAGGGGGAGAGGGCCTTGGTCACCATCCAGCAGAGTGGCAGGGACAGGCAGAGGGGCCCTTCTCAGAACCCTCCAGGGACCTCTTGTCTAACTGGAAGGAAGGCCCCAGTCTCCCAACATGAGCTCCGCCTTTTCCCAAGGCCTCAACCCATGGACCCAGGTGTGGTGGAGGCTTCTAGGGCTGGGTTAGTCAGGCCAGGAATGTGAGCAGCCGGAGCCCCCATAGAAAGTGGACACAAAGTTGGGGAGTGGTGGGGCTGCCTCTGTGGTGCAGTTCCAAGCCAGGGCAGAAGGCCTTGGATGGGAGTGTGGGTTGAGGGTCAGTCAGAAGCCATCCTCAGCCTGTTCCTCCCTCCACAGACGCTCAGACCACCTTGTTTTCACCACCTCTACCCTGAGGCCTGAAGGTAGGGGTGGGACTTGAGCTCCTGCACATGTGAGCTCCCATGGAGGGACGGCAAGGAGTCCTGCAGATGCCCGGGGCACCCACGTGCATCCCCCCAATTTGGGTGCTCCACGTGCACACCCGCGGCTGGGAGCATTTTCAGGCTAAATCCGCACAGCTCTTGGAATATTTCTTCCTTGGTGCCGCCTCCGCGCCTCCTCCGGATCCTAGCCGAGCAGGCCGCTTCTCCCCCCCGCCCCCCTCTGCCTCTGGGGGCCCCTCCCTGGTGAGCTAGGTTTGCCAGGCTTTGGGTTTATTGGAACCTCCCCCTCAACCCCCGTCCTCCTCTGTCAGCGGCCGGCCTGGCCCCCGGGAGCATGCACGGCCGCTGTCCATGGTGCTACAGGCTGGGCGCTGAAACTTGGTCTTCGGGAAAGGGTGGAGTCCGGGTGGGTGGGGCATTCTGGACTTGGAAATCAGGGCGCCCTAGGTCTAGGGAGCAGGGTGCCCATTCTGGGGACATGGTGTATATTCAGCCGGGGGCTGCCTCTCCATTCTCTGTACAACTTCCAGAACGGCCTTGTTGGGGCAGGAGTGGAGGCGGTCACGGGCCTCACCCTGGTCCTTTAGGGGGTGCCGCTGTCCTACCGTGGTCCACATTTCCCTGTACTGACACTGGAGTAGCTCTGTGTTAGGCCTCCTCCACAACTGTGATGACACTGTGACTCACCAGCACCTCAGGTTCCTTATCTGAAAACTGGGGTACCAATAATGGCCACCCCCCCACCTCCCTCTGCCTCCCACCGTGGTTCCTGTTCTCTTGGAAACTGTGGGGGATGGACAGACAGCGTCCTCAGTCCTGCAGCAGCTCTAGATGGAAGATGGTCAAAAGGGGGACAGGAACTGTTCTCTTCCTGAGGGTCTGCATATTGTATCCAGCCCAAGCCTTGGGAAATCCTTAGGATTCTTCTCAGACACTACTATGGTGGTTCTGTCAGACTTCTGTGAGGTGATGGCCCATCTTCATCAGGCAGGAGGAGAAGGGAGAACTGGAGCAGCTCCTGCCCTTCCTCTGAGACTGTGGGGCAAGAAGATGGGGACCTGCATGTAGGTTCCTGCTTGGTCCCAGGGTCACCTACAGACCCAAGAAGGTAGATCATGCATTGCTTTTGGTTCTGCCCTGAGGCCCAAAAGCTAACTCCAGGTCGCTGTCCAAGATTTACTGGGCACCATGCAGGGGTTGAAGTGAGGAAATGGAGGCTCTGAAAAGGCCAGTGGCTAGCTGAGACCACAATTCAAAGCGGGGCCTGTTTGGGGTCCAGAGTATGGGACCTCAAGTGTGTACCAGTGAGACCTCTGCGTGTTCTGCTTCCTCAATGGATGTTGGATGGGGTTGGGCAGGAGCCAGATGATGGCACTGTGAGTCTCACTGCTTCCCCCCACCATAGCTTTCTGTGCTGTGTCTTGTGCCACCTAGTTATAGCCTGAGGAGGGGAGCTGGACTAGGTGTGGCCTTACTCTCATCCTGTGGGCAATGACCCTGGCTTGAGAAGGGTCTTCCTTGGGGCTCTCATCAGCCAGCTGTGGTCCAAACTTTGACTCCATCATTTAACTGATCATAGCCTCAGACAAGCAATTCACCTAACCTTGGGCTTGTCTTCCTCATCCATACAATGTATACAGTCACCACAGCACTATCCTCATCAGCATAGGTGAAGAATTATAGAAAAAGCATGTGTTGTGCTGGGATGTAGCTCAGTGGCAAAATGTTAACCTTGCCAGAGCCCTGGGTTCAACCCCCAGTTCCAATAAATAAATAAATAAATAAATAGTGTGTCCAGGGCTCACCATGCTGGGGAAAACAGCTTCTCTCTCTCTCTCTCTCTCTCTCTCTCTCTCTCTCTCTCTCTCTGGGCAGACCCTGAGGCTCAGAAGGGTACAAGAGGCCCTTCAGAGAGCTGTGCTGGCATCCTGTAGAGGTGGGTTTCCAGAGACTGCCCCAAACTCTATCCTCAGTTTCCCAGTCCCTGACCAGAGAGTTAGGGTCCTGGTGATAGGCAGAGGAACACAGGTGAAGGGAGTGGTCAGGGACTTCATCTCTCCACCTCCATTCTCTCATGTGTGAAATGGGAATAAGCATCCAAGAGTACCATGAGCAGAGCAGGTTGAGTTAGTGCACACAGTAGGTGCTAAATGAGTACAGAGATCATTGCCTCCCCTTGCTGCACTCAACCAGGGAGGTACACACTTAGAGCTTGGTTCTAGGAGTACCATGGTGGGGGGCACCCAGGGATGGGAAGGAGCAGGCTTCCTCAGCCTTCCCAGAGACTGTCAGACTCACTTGCCCCTCTTGGCCTGTCTGCAGAACATTCGAGGAAGATGTCGAGCCCCGGTGTCAACGGCGACCCCAAACCTCCATGCTTGCCTCGAAATGGCCTGGTAAAGCTGCCGGGCCAGCCCAATGGCCTGGGAGCAGCCAGCATCACCAAGGGCACTCCTGCTGCCAAGAACCGTCCCTGCCAGCCACCGCCCCCACCCACCCTTCCACCTCCCAGCTTGGCCTCCCCGCTGTCCCGGGGCACACTTGCTGGGGGCCCCTGYCCCCTGGCAGGTGGACCAGCCTCAGCCTCGGTGCCTGGACCCCCAGCAGAGCGGCCACCACTGGCCACAGATGAGAAGATCCTCAACGGCCTCTTCTGGTACTTCTCAGCATGCGAGAAGTGCGTGCTAGCCCAGGTGTGCAAGGCCTGGCGGCGTGTGCTCTACCAGCCCAAGTTCTGGGCAGGCCTCACACCTGTACTGCACGCCAAGGAGCTCTACAACGTGCTGCCTAGTGGTGAGAAGGAGTTCGTGAACCTGCAGGGCTTCGCTGCACGTGGCTTTGAGGGCTTCTGCCTGGTTGGGGTCTCCGACCTGGACATCTGTGAGTTCATCGACAACTATGCGCTCTCCAAGAAGGGGGTCAAGGCCATGAGCCTCAAGCGCTCCACCATCACGGATGCCGGCCTAGAGGTGTGCCCCCAAAGTGGTCCAGGTGGCAGGGACAGACAGCAGAGCTGTATGGGTGTGGAAGGGTATGGAGCACAGAGGAAGCTTAGCACAACAGAGAACAAAGAAGCATATCATTGCCCTAAGGAGGAGCACTGCCAGGGGTCAGGGAGGACTGGCTACATAGTTTGTGGGACCTGATGCAAAGTGAAAATGTGGATGCTTATTCAGAGATGATTAAGAATCTCAAGATGAGCTAGGTGAGGTGGTGCATGCCTATAATCCCAGCAGCTCAAGAGGCTGAGGCAGGAGGATCACAAGTTCAAAGCCAGCCTCAGCAATTTAGTGAGGCCCCTAAGCAATTTAGCAAAACTTTGTCTTGAAATAAAAAATAGAAGGGGCTGGAGGTGTGGCTCAGTGGTTAAGTGCCCCTGGGTTTAATCCCTGGTACCAAAAAAAGAATTTCAAGGGGGCAACAGCAGAGCAATTAAGTATGAAACTGAGAAGGAAAGTCACTTCTCACTGGCCTTGGGTGGGTAGGATGCTAGAGGAAGGTGAAAGGGAGGGAGGTGAAAGGTAGTTGAGGAAGGGTCTCCTATTAGCAAAGGTCAGAGGAGCAGTGAACAACCTGCCCAGTCCCCACTATCTGGACTATACCAACTGTTCTGAGCACCTACTCTGGCAAAGCCATGGCTCCTGGGGCCCCTGTGCCATGCCCCTCTTTGGAATGTTGTTGAGGTGTTACACTATAAGTGCAGTCCTCAGAGTTCAACATACTTGCACAAGTCCACACCCAAGAGACTACTGCTTCCTGGCTCCCAGCAGCTCATTCCAACCCATCTCAGGCAATCCTCACCACACCCTGAGGGAGGAGCCTACTGGGGAGGGTTGGGGAGCAGAGCCAGGCATGGCCCTGACCCGTGCTGCCCACAGGTGATGCTGGAGCAGATGCAGGGTGTGGTGCGCCTGGAGCTGTCGGGCTGCAACGACTTCACTGAGGCAGGGCTGTGGTCCAGCCTCAGTGCCCGGATCACCTCGCTGAGCGTGAGCGACTGCATCAATGTGGCTGACGACGCCATCGCGGCCATCTCGCAGCTGCTGCCTAACCTGGCRGAGCTGAGCCTGCAGGCCTACCACGTGACGGACACGGCGCTGGCCTACTTCACGGCTCGGCAGGGTCACAGCACGCACACGCTGCGTCTGCTCTCTTGCTGGGAAATCACTAACCACGGCGTGGTCAACGTGGTGCACAGCCTGCCCAACCTCACAGCACTCAGCCTCTCAGGCTGTTCAAAGGTCACCGATGATGGTGTTGAGCTCGTAGCCGAGAACCTTCGCAAGCTGCGCAGCCTCGACCTGTCGTGGTGCCCTCGCATCACAGACATGGCACTAGAGTATGTAGCCTGCGACCTGCACCGCCTGGAGGAGCTTGTGCTGGACAGGTGCGCATGTCCCTGCACCCACTGCGGGGTCACCATGTACTGGAAGCCTAGAGTGGGTGGGTCTGAGTCCATGGGCTTCTGGTGTGGGCGAGGCTGCTGAGGGGACAGACAGTGACAGATCTATGGTGTAGTGGGCAGCACCAGCGAAAGCAAAGTGCCAATAGTCGGGGGAACTACAGCAATGTTTGGTTGAACCCAAATCCTTCCCAGAAGCTGGTGCTAGGACGTGCGGGGGGGGGGGGTGTTGAAGAGGGGTGGGCTACAGGATGGTGGGGCCATCGTGAATGAGGTGGGGGTTTGCACTAGGGACAAGGTGGGGTAGGGGGTAGGGCGCGGCAGTTTAGGGGGCGGGTGAAGTGATTTGAAGGTGGGCAGTCCCCCTCTGGTGCCACCACAGGTGTGTACGCATCACGGACACTGGCCTCAGCTATTTGTCCACCATGTCATCCCTCCGCAGCCTCTACCTGCGATGGTGCTGCCAGGTACTGGACCTTCCTGCCTTCTGTGATAGGGAGATAGGTGGGCATGGTGGGGGGTGAGGGGAAAGCACCAGTCCAGCCTGCTTACCTTTTTCCGGCCCCACTCAGATCCCACAGGGGGCTAAGATCCATCTGCACCCATTAGCGAACCTAGACAGAACAGGTGGGGACCCCAGGGTCCTCAACAGCACTTCCCAGCCTCTGGCTGGTGGGAGGGGGGCGTTGAGAAACCTCCATCTTGAACCCTGCTTCCAGCAACTCCTGCGGCTCCAGGTTCAGTTAACTTGCCCTCTCCCACTTTTGCCCAGGTGCAGGACTTCGGGCTGAAGCACCTCCTGGCTATGAGGAGTTTGCGTCTCTTGTCTTTGGCAGGTGAGACCCTCCCTCCCCTGCATGCCTCCCAGGCAGTGTCCACTACACTCATCTAGTCCTCCCTTGTGTGGATTCTCACCTGACTTTGGCTGGCTGAGTTGCAGGTTCAAGTTAAGAGAGGGGCAAGCTGTAGTCCATCTCAGGCATCGCCGGGCTCCTCCCAGAGCCACTCGGCCCAAGGAGGCCCCTGCCACTCAGCAAGGACCTAAGAGCCCAGCATGGGCCTCTCCCACTCAGCTGAAGGCCATCCACAGAGTGCTGGCCCGCGGGGTCCCAGTTTTCTGTCTCGCAAAGCTGAGCCCCACCATTGTTCCCACTGGTTTGATTCAGGCTGCCCACTGCTGACCACCACGGGGCTGTCGGGCTTGGTGCAGCTGCAGGAGCTGGAGGAGCTGGAGCTGACCAACTGCCCGGGAGCTACACCTGAGCTCTTCAAGTACTTCTCGCAGCACCTGCCCCGCTGCCTAGTCATTGAGTAGCGCTGGGCTCCCAGCCAGGCCTCGGAACCCGCCACGCTCTGGGCGGGGCGAGGGGCTCTTCCAGGCCCCTCAGTGGACCTTGCCCAGCAGCCGCGTATGATCCCGCGCGGGAGGCGGGACGAGTTGAGGACAGCCCCTCCCCGCGCCGCCCTCGGCCCCCTCCGCTCCTCTTTCTGTCCGCCCCGGGCAGGGGACGACCGGGCCAGCCCCACGCACGCACGCACACTCGGGGACTTTGTGCATGCCCCTCGTGCCCGCACTGCACGCCCGCCCTCCACCACGCCACAGCCGCCGCCATCACTCGCCCGCCCCGCTGCGGGGCTCGGTCCCTGGGGGGCACTCTGAGCCCACCCGCCCCCCTCCCCCGCCGCTGCCTTCCCTGCCACACCCCGCTCTCTGCCTCCCTGCTGTCCCCCATCCCGGGCAGGGCCCAGAGGATTGGGGGGCTGGGTCCCCCAGGACTCAGGGGCCCGGAAGAGCCTCAAGGACCTTCAACATCTTCCACTGCACGGCGCCTGGAGCCCTCTCTCTTAGGGGCSAGGGGACTCAGGCCACTGCCAAAGCCATGGCCCAATGAGGAGCCCAACTCCAAGCCCCCTCCTCCTCCCCCATGCCTGCCCAACACAAGGGGCCTTTTTCCCTTACTGTTGAGTGGGCAGTCCCTGTTGGCTTCCCCTCCTACCCCCCCACCGCCCCCAACCCCACCGCCGCCCACACTGGCCTTTTACAGATCCTTGGCCCCTGGCCCCTAGGATAGCATTGAGATGGCAATGACCTTGGAATAATCAACATTAGCCCAGCCAAGTGCAGCCCACCTCAGTCCAGGAGTGGTACAGGCACCTAGAGAGACCCCAAGTTGGAATCATCCTTAGGGTTGTCAGGCTTGGGAGCAGTCTTGCCCAGCCACAGCCCTGCGCCTGTGGGGCTCAGGCCTGTCAGCACCTCGATTCACCCTGGGCAAGTTTGTGCAGAAGCGGGCCAAGACAAGGGGTCAGGATCAGCACTGACCAGCGACTCTGATCTTCCAGTGGCCAGCACACCATCCACACTCTGCAAGGAGGGAGGGCTCCATTCTAGCCCCACCCCATTTGCCCCTCCCCAGTTTCCCAAACCTCTTCCTGCCCAAATGGGCTCTAACCCTGTCCCGTGTCCTGTCTGATCCCAAGAAGTTTGGAAGTTCTGGGGGATGCTGGCACATCTTGACAATGCTGAGGAGGGGGCTGGGACCCCTTTCCATCCCAACCTTGATCCCCAGATTTAGCATCCACACCAATCTTGGGTCACCCCTATTTGGTTGGAAGGGAGTAACCAGTTTCCAGAGAGCCAGAGAGAGAGCGAGTGAGAGAGAGAAAGAGAGCGAGTGAGAGAGATGCTGTTGAAGCAGAGAAACAGTTCAACAGCCCAAAGAGTTCCCTGCCCCCGAGTGCCGAGGAGGCTCCATGTGGAAGTGGTCAGGAGCCAGTTTCTTCAGGCCCTCCTCCCATAGCCCCCCCAGTAGGGAGGGGGCAGCTGTCCATTTGCCCAAAGTATTAATGCAACTGAAGCTGTGATATTTCCAACGACTGTAGGAGGAAAATTTAAGGGGAGAAAGGAAAACAAACAAAACCAACCAACCCCTAAAATCATTTTCTTATTGTACATAACGACCTCATTCTCCTGTATATGCGGAAGATATAACCTTATATTTGGTAAGTGTTTCTTGTGCTATTTTATCACGTGACCTGTTTATAAAAATATATATTAAAAAAAGTTGTAAAAATATGAGTCTGGGTTGTGTTCAGGTCACCACATGATAGTGCAGGAGGTTGTATCTGCTGTGGGTGGTCCTGGTCTCTAGACTCTCAAGTACCTCTGGATTCATCAGATGTTTGTCTTTACAACAAATATGTAGAGGCTGCATGCCCCTGCCAAAAATAAAAACTCGGCAGTGATAAGCACAGAAGCTCCCTAACCCTCTACTGCATACAGGCAGGGATGGCACTAAAATCATTACCATAATATTCCCTCAAAAATATTTAGGGTTAGCAGGGTGCATTGGCCCATGGCCTCGAATACCAGCAGCTCCCAAGAGGCTGAAGCAAGAGCACTGCAAATTTGAGGCCAGTCTTGGCAACTTCTTTTTTCCTGTCTCAAAAGGAAAAAAAAAAAAAAGGCTGGGGATATAGCTCAGTGGTTGAGCACCTGGGTTCAATCATCAGTAATACAAGGGGAAAAAAGTAAGTATCTAGGATCTAGCTCACCACCTGTCCAGAAAGGCAGAAATGAACCTTTTGTCCTGTGCACAGGATAGCTGAGATTAAGCAGGGGCGAGGATGTCTCAAGAGATGGCACTGTGAATTGACAAGTTAATTTACTCCCAGGAGAGTAAGGGAGGCTGCAGATGAACAGGGCCACCAACTGAATGGGCAATGTCAGGCCCTGGGAGATGGAATCCCTCTGCGGTGGCCTTCACACCTCTGTGTGACAAACAACTACCAGTGAACAAAGGAGCAGGCTGTGACAAGCGCTGGGGTGGCGACTGTGACTGGTCAGGCCCCGTTTGATATGGTGCTAGAGAAGGCAGAGGCTGAGCATTGAAGGATAAGAAGGGCAGAGCTGGCGCTCTGCTAGCTGGACGTGGGCGCCTGGAAGGGGACCTAGCGGCACTGCTGTGGAGTCCGGAGTCTGAGGTTTACTGGCAGTGCGGTAGGAGGCCCCAGGAAAAAGAGGGACCGGACTGCCGCGCGGGGTTCAGACGGGGACCGTGGGCTCGGACAGGCGGGGATACCGCTCCCGCGAGCTGAGGGAGGGAGGAGGGTGGAGGAGCCCGGCATGACAGACTCCGCTKAAGAACCTGAGCAGAGAAATACGCACCGCTATTACAGTACTGAGATTGAAATAAGAAACACGCCTGCCTTCCAGCGACGCCGAAGGCTGAGGCAGGAGGGTCGCAAGTTCAAGGCTCCAACTCGGGCCGCTTAGCAAGACCCTGTTTTAAAATTTAAGAAAAGAGGGGGCGCTGGGGATGAAGCGCAGAGGAAGAGAGCCCCTGGGTTCAATCCCCATAACCGCAAGAGAAAAACGAATTAAGAAATACAGGAACAACTATCGAGGCGGAACCGGGGAGCCSGCGGGCCCGGGTCTGGGCTGCTCCGGGACCCTCCACCCGTACTGCGCCCTGACCCGGAACTATTATGGTGCGGGCGAGAGTTCCTGCCCGCTTCCGGCGAGGGGCGAGTAAATACCGGACCACTTCCGGCGAGGGGCGTGATGGTGACGGAGGGTTCCCCACGCCACGGTGTGCTGCCGGTACATGACTGGAGTGCTGAGGGGAAGGCCACCGGCCTTGAGCAGCTCTGTTCCCTGGGTCCCTTCAGCCCTCTGCCTCCTCCCCTCGTTTGCGCCTCTCCGGAGCCCCGCTGCCTCGGGCGCCCCGGGCTGACCAGTGTGGACGGCGGGAGCCACTTGGCTCCCCTGCGGAAATCGACTGACCTGCGGTCCAATGGCGCAATCACGGGAGGCGACTGTTGGAGAGATGAGTGCCTTTGGCCAGAACCAGCCATGTAAGGTCTTCTGGGGAGGTCAGACGTGGGACTAACCAGGCTCAGGGCAGCAGCGGAGTCTTCTGGCAGATTCTGATGGTTTGGAATTCCCCTGTGATGTTGACTAGCTGATGGACTGCCTTGGTCTAGACAGCAAGTTTGACCAGCCCAGGCAAAGCAGTGAAAGGTCTGAACTGATTCGACAGACACTAGACTGACTAGACCAGCCTTCTTCACTGATCTCCTGACCCCACCACCAGTGTAGCCATGGAGAAGATGTCCCGTGTGACAACAGCCCTAGGTGGCAGTGCACTGACAGGCCGCACCATGAACTGCCACTTGGATGCTCCAGCCAATGCCATCAGCGTCTGCCGTGATGCAGCCCAAGTAGTCGTGGCAGGCCGCAGCATCTTCAAGATCTACGCCATAGAGGAGGAACAGTTTGTAGAAAAACTGAACCTCCGTGTGGGCCGCAAGCCCTCACTCAACCTGAGCTGTGCTGATGTAGTCTGGCACCAGATGGATGAGAACCTGCTGGCCACAGCAGCCACAAATGGTGTGGTGGTCACATGGAACCTGGGTCGGCCATCCCGCAACAAGCAGGACCAGCTGTTCACAGAACACAAGCGCACAGTGAACAAAGTCTGCTTCCACCCCACTGAAGCCCATGTGCTGCTCAGCGGCTCCCAGGATGGCTTCATGAAGTGCTTTGACCTCCGAAGGAAGGACTCTGTCAGCACCTTCTCGGGTGAGGCCCACAGAGGCAGGTCAGGGCAGATGTGTGACTCTGCAGGTACCTGTCTAGGCAAGCTAAGAAGTGCTTTGTGCATTAGAGGCTCTCAGATGCACTCCTGGAAATAAGCCAGAAGTAGAAGAGTGGATGGGGGCAGGCCTGGGTGAGGTGTGAGCCAGAGCATCAATAGTGGGGAAGAGGCAAGAGGCAGGACTACCAGGAATTGAGGCTGGGTGTGGCATGAGAGAGGGCATAGCCCCACAGACTCAGCCCAGCTCCAGGTTACCTCATTGCAGGATGTCTACCAGAACCTCCAAGGTTCTCAGCACAGGGATGTGGAGGAGGTGAAGTACACTGTCTAGTCCTTGCAGGGCCATCCCTGAGCCTGCTATCACTTGTCCACCTTGATGAGACCAGGTGAAGCACAAGGCAGAGCCCTGGGGCCTTGGAGAATTTGTGGGCTTCTTAAGACAGATCATGAGCTATCTGTGTCAGAAAAAGGCTGAACACTGCCCTCCCAGGCTCTTGGTGTGGTGGATTTGTAGGGCAGACGTGTTCCCTGTGTCCTCTAGTCCTTTGGGAGCTCCAGCCCCAGGTAAAAAGGTTGGACTCCTTGGTTCTCCTACAAGCCATGGCATCCAGGGGAGTTGAGCAGATAGCCAGGTGGAGTTTCTGTTCTCCAGTACTCTGAAACTCAGTTTTGCCAAGGACTAATGCAACATGTAGATTCCAGGGGAAATAGGCCTGGGAGTTTGTGCAAAAAACCCACCCTAGGAAGACCCTGGGGACAGTCTTTTCTGCACTCTTGGCCATCTGGCCAGAGGCAGGTGTGTGACACCATCCCACAGCCACTCCAAGTGCTGCCCCCCACACACACCATGGGCCAGCTCCCTCACCTCTGCTTCCAATGATGCCCTGCCTGCAGGCCAGTCTGAGAGTGTACGGGATGTCCAGTTCAGCATCCGAGACTACTTTACTTTTGCCTCCACCTTTGAGAATGGCAATGTGCAGCTCTGGGACATCCGCCGTCCTGACCGATGTGAGAGAATGTTCACAGCTCACAATGGGCCTGTCTTCTGCTGTGACTGGCACCCCGAGGACAGGTGTGGTCTGGGCTGCAGGGACCACAGGGCTGAAGGCCTGTGAGAGAGTGGGGAGTGGCAGGGCTTGGGGGGGTCCCTTCTCTCTTAGGAGAAGTCACTGAGGGTTTGGGGGCCTTCCTACAGGGGCTGGCTGGCCACAGGTGGGCGTGACAAGATGGTGAAGGTCTGGGACATGACCACACCTCGTGCCAAGGAGATGCACTGCGTGCAGACCATTGCCTCTGTGGCCCGAGTCAAGTGGCGGCCCGAGTGCCGTCACCACCTGGCTACATGCTCCATGATGGTAGATCACAACATCTACGTGTGGGATGTGCGCCGGCCCTTTGTGCCAGCTGCTATGTTCGAGGAGCACCGTGATGTCACCACAGGCATTGCTTGGCGCCACCCACACGACCCCTGCTTTCTGCTCTCAGGCTCCAAGGACAGCACGCTGTGCCAGCATCTGTTCCGTGATGCCAGCCAGCCCGTGGAGCGTGCCAACCCTGAGGGCCTGTGCTATGGCCTCTTCGGGGATGTGGCCTTTGCAGCCAAGGAAAGCTTAGTGGCTGCCGAGTCTGGACGCAAGCCCTATGCTGGCGACCGGCGCCACCCCATCTTCTTCAAGCGCAAGTTGGACCCTGCTGAGCCCTTTTCTGGCCTTGCTTCTAGTGCTCTCAGTGTCTTTGAGACAGAGTCTGGTGGTGGCAGCATGAGTTGGTTTGTGGACACAGCTGAGCGTTACGCTCTGGCTGGCCGGCCATTGGCCGAGCTCTGTGACCACAATGCAAAGGTGGCTCGGGAGCTAGGCCGTAACCAGGTAGGTGGGGCTGGGCTGCGGGGAAGTTGGGGTGCAGGGGCCATGACTTTGGGGTAGGGATTGGCTGCTCTGCCAGCTGCATCCCCATCCCAAGATCAGCACCAACCCTTGTCTTAGTAACAGGGTGTCAAGATCACATAGGCAGAGTGGACCAGATCCTGGGGCTGCCCTCTTGGAGGTAGAGGTCTAAGGAGTCACAGTTGATGCTGTCACCATTTGGGCATGTGCTCCATGCCTTCCTCTTGGTGCTGTACCTCTTAACAGCACCTAGCCCTCCTGAAGAGAGTGCCTGCTCTGTGCCAGTCTCTCACCCTTGGGTCACTCTGCTCATCTTCACATTGGCTGCCTCCTGGTTTTGCTTCTTCTGCTTCCCATGGGCTACATTTTCCCCAGTATGGTTGGGGCAGGATATTGGGATGTTGGGTCCCCAGGCAGCTGAACATTGGTGTGATTCTGTTCAGGCGGGGGGGGGGGGGGGGGGGGGGGGGGGGGGGGGGGGGGGGGGGTGTGTGCCTGGGGTATTGGGTGCCCAGGACCCTCTGAGTGGCTGGTGCCTGCCCCTAGGTGGCGCAGACATGGACCATGCTGCGGATCATCTACTGCAGTCCTGGTCTTGTGCCGTCTGCCAGCCTTAACCACAGTGTGGGTAAAGGCAGCTCCTGTGGCCTGCCACTTATGAACAGGTAGGTGTCTAGGGCTAGCTCTCCCCAGGGGGTGGGGCTACTGGAGCCCAGCCACCCATGAGCCTTTCCTGTCCCCAGTTTCAACCTGAAGGATATGGCCCCAGGGCTAGGCAGTGAGACACGGCTAGACCGGAGCAAGGGGGACACACGGAGCGACACGGTTCTGCTTGACTCCTCAGCCACACTCATCACCAATGAGGGTAGACTGGAGGGCAGGTGGGGATGCTGGCAGGAGTGAAGCTGAGGCACTCCACAGCAAACCACCCCTGAATGTCCTCCCTCCCTCCCGGGCAGATAATGAGGAAACTGAGGGTAGCGATGTACCTGCTGACTACTTGCTGGGTGACGTTGAGGGTGAGGAGGACGAGCTGTACCCACTGGACCCAGAACATGTGCACCGTGAGTGGGGGCTGTGGTAGGGTGGAGGGAGGTGGCGGGTAGGGCCAACATGCCCACTGTGAGTGGGGGCTGGGCAGACTGGGGGTTTGGGGAGTGCAGGGAGGCAGTGGGGTGGCCTAGGCCCACTTGCCTGACCCTGCCTCCCAGCCGAGGAGCCCGAGTACGTGCTGCCACAGGAAGCCTTCCCATTGCGCCACGAGATTCTGGACACACCTTCTGGGCCCGAGCACCTGCAGGACAAAGCCGACTCACCACACGTGAGCGGCAGTGAGGCAGATGCAGCCTCTCTGGCACCTGTGGACTCTTTCTCCCTCCTCTCCATCTCCCATGCACTCTATGACAGCCGCCTGCCAACAGACTTCTTTAGTGTGTTGGTGTGTGACATGCTGCGCTTCTATGCTGAGCAGGGTGACGTGCAGATGGCTGTGTCTGTGCTCATTGTGCTGGGTGAACGGGTTCGCAAGGACATTGATGAGCAGACCCAGGTGTGTGCTGGGGTGGGGAGGGTCTTCCTAGAAAAGCTCCCATGCCCCAGGCTGTCTGACCACCCTGCCCTCCTTGGTTCTCCCTGCAGGAGCACTGGTACACATCCTACATCGACCTGCTGCAGCGCTTCCGCCTCTGGAATGTGTCCAACGAGGTGGTGAAGCTGAGCACCAGCCGTGCGGTTAGCTGCCTCAATCAGGCGTCCACCACACTGCATGTCAACTGCAGCAATTGCAAGCGGCCCATGAGCAGCCGTGGCTGGGTCTGCGACAGGTGGGGCAGTGTGGGGTGGGGGGACCCAGGGACACGTGGGCAACCCAGGAGGCCCCAGCTGAGGCATCCCCCACCCCCAGGTGCCACCGCTGTGCCAGTATGTGTGCTGTCTGCCACCACGTGGTCAAGGGTCTGTTCGTGTGGTGCCAGGGCTGCAGCCACGGAGGCCACCTGCAGCATATCATGAAGTGGCTGGAGGGCAGCTCTCACTGCCCTGCCGGCTGCGGCCACCTCTGCGAGTACTCCTGACCCAGCGCCGGCTCGCAGCTCCAGTGCCGGGGTGGAAGGGGACCAGACTTGTGAACTCAATAAAATAAGTGGGAGCTTAAGTTGCTGCTTATCCCCGAACGTACCGCGGGCGGGCGGTGTCGCCCTGGCTACAGGCGAAGCCTCCACACCACCTTCCGGGGCGGGGCGGGGGCGGGCCTTGTAGGCTTCCGGCCGTTGCCATGACGACAGTTCGGTCGGGCGCTGGCTCCCAGCGTGCTTCGCGAGGCTCATGGCGCGGGGGCCGCGGGCGCTCCTGCTCGCGCTGGCGGCGCTGGCGACGCTGGCTCGACCTGGCTCCGGCTCCTGGGAGGCGGGCGGCGGGGGATGGTGAGCGGCGCGGGCGGGAGGGCGCGCTGGGCGTCGGGGCACGGGCGGCGCTGACCGGGCTGTGCCCGCAGGCGGCTGGGCGGGCCGGCGGCGGCGGCCGTGGCGGAAGAGGAGCGCTGCACCGTGGAGCGTCGGGCGGACCTCACCTACGCCGAGTTCATGCAGCAGTACGTGCGCGCAGAGCCCGGGAACGGCGGGCTCGGCCCGCAGCTCGCGGGGGGCGGGTACGGGCGTGCGCCGAACCTGAGCGCGGCTCCTCCTTCCGCAGGTACGCCTTCCTCAGGCCGGTCATCCTGCAGGGGCTCACGGACAACTCGGTGAGTGCTGGCGCCCGCCGCGGGCCGCGGGCTCTGCCCGCCCTGCCGCTAAGCCTTCTGCTGGTCCCCGCAGAGGTTCCAGGCCCTGTGTTCCCGAGAAAGGCTGCTGGCTTCTTTTGGGGACAATGTAGTGAGGCTGAGCACTGCCAACACCTACTCCTACCGGAAAGGTGAGCTTCCACACCAAGGGGGACCAACATGCTTAGTCTTGAACGCAGAATCACCCGGTCCTGACCAGTGTTTTTTCCCCAAAGTGGATCTGCCCTTCCAGGAATACGTTGAGCAGCTGCTACACCCTCAGGATCCTGCCTCCCTGGGGAACGGTGAGCCAGACCTAACAGCAGAGGTATGGGACACTTGGGAGTCCCTGGGTGCCAGATCCTGGCACCGGGGGACTTCCTTCTTTGCCGGCAGACACTTTGTACTTCTTTGGGGACAACAACTTCACTGAGTGGGCATCGCTCTTTCGGCACTATTCACCACCCCCGTTTCGTCTGCTGGGAACCACCCCTGCCTATAGCTTTGGAATCGCGGGTAGGTGCTCTTTGGGAATCATGTGTGAGGGTGTATGCAAGCCAGTGCAGGTTGTTTTAGTCACCAGCTGCTCATAACTGACTCCACAGGAGCTGGCTCTGGGGTGCCCTTCCACTGGCATGGGCCGGGGTTCTCAGAGGTGATCTACGGCCGCAAGGTATGTATAGGCTGAGGGCTGAGGCTTGAGGCTTGGGACTTGCTGGTTACAAGACCCAATAGTGACTTCATGCTCCTGCCAGCAGCGTTGGTTCCTCTACCCACCTGAGAAGGCACCAGAGTTCCATCCCAACAAAACTACACTGGCCTGGCTGCAGGACACATACCCAGCCCTGACATCATCAGAGCGGCCCCTGGAGTGTACCATCCGAGCTGGTGAGGTCAGTGACAAGTAGGGGGACCAGGCCAGGCCCAAAAGTGTCCAATCTTTATGCTCCACATCCCCCACCAGGTGTACCATCTGGGCCAGTGAGATTAGTGGCTGGCAGCAGGGGCCAGACCCAAACTTCCCTGACTAATATCCTCTCTGGTCCAACCCTCAGGTGCTGTATTTCCCTGACCGCTGGTGGCATGCCACTCTCAACCTGGACACCAGTGTCTTCATCTCAACCTTCCTTGGTTAGCCAGAGCAGGCAGCTGGTGAGCTTGTCATACACCAGCACGTGCCCCTGTAGTGCTCACAGATTTTATTACAGAGACAGTGGCAGCAGCAGGGGCCTCAGCCCAGCCCACCCTCACCTGCTTTTCCTGCCCAGAAAGGGACAGGGGAGGCTCATGGCCCAGCAAGGGCTATGCTGAAAGAGGGAGCAGTCCAGAGCCCACTAGCAGAACTGATGGGGATGGGCCCAGAGACACAAACTATGTACAGGTTCTGGGGCTTCTGCCTCAGGACCCTCTGGGGCGAGGTCCTCAGTAGTCCTCCACCCAGCCGTTTTCAGAGATGAATGCATCGATGACTTCCTTCATGGCCAGGTTGGGGATGAGCTGTTCCTGGGTCAGGGGGCTCCGAGTCACAGGGTCAAAATGGCCCACACGCTGCAGTTACAACAGGGTCAGGGTGCTCAGTGTGCTGGAGCTGCGCCTCTAGCCCTGGTCCCCAGGCCCATGGCCTTACCTGCAGATGCTCCTCAATGTCTTTGCGGTCATAAGTGATGCCACTTGGCGTGATGCAGGGTTCCCGCATCAGCTCAAAGCTGATCTTTCCACACAGGTAGTCAGGGATGTCTCGTTTCTGTAACAAAAGAGCAGTATCAGAGATAGAAAGAGACACTGTTCTAGTACCTTCGATTCTCAGGCTTCAGGGAATATATGCTCACCTTTCTCTTCTCGTCTACCTGAGAGAAGAGCTCATCCATGTCCGCCATGTATTTGTCCTGTGAAGAGTGGAGCATGTGTGGGCCATGCGCAGGCACATAACCCAACATCAGTCGGGGGTACCCCTCTGTTTCACACACACACCCCAACACACACACATGGGCCAGGGGCACCCTCACGTGCTTGGCCTCGATGCAGGCTTGCTGGGCACGGATGTGGCCGTCATCCTCATCACCTTCATGGTTCCGCTGACACTCCTCCAGCTCCCTAAGGGTTGACCAGGAGCTGGTCAAAACGGACCTGGGCAGATGTCAGAGCCCACCCAGCCTTGGGCATCTTCCCCCCAGCTTCCTCTGTGCCACCTTAGCTTTCAATAAACACCTGTGCTGGTGACTCAGTTTAACCCAAGAAGGCAGCCTGACAAGGAGCGGGAGGGGCCCACCTCTCGCGCTCTGCAGTGATGAGCCGTGAGAGGTAGGCATGCAGCTCGCTCTCCTGGTGGATGCGCCGCTCCTCGATGCTATTCCAGCGTTTCTTCTTGGCGATGCGCAGAGCACTAGGGATGTCATCCCCAAAGTTGAGCCGCTGCTCCTTGGCCAAGCTGTAAGCTGGGAAAGGAGACTTGAGATTAGTCTGCCCAGCCCATCCCTGGAGCCCCAGGTGCCCCAGGCAAGGCAGGGTGTTGGCCCACCTCGCTGCAGATTGGCAATGGCCTCGTCATAGCTCTCCATCTCCAGCTGGCACTGACCCAGAAAGAAGTGTGCCTTCACAGACTGCCCATCCAGCTCTAGAGCTCGCCGACAGTCAGCCAGAGCCTGCTCTGGCTGCTGCATCTTCAGGTAGCACAGGGCCCGGTTGGTATAGTACACTGCCACCAGGGGGTTCCGAGTCTGGGGACCAAGGCCAGCACGAGAGGGTGTGGGCCCGCCTTGCCCTTCTGCCCCAGCAAGCTGACAACCCGATGTCCCAGGTCCTGTCCCAGCTTTGGGGCCATGGCTGGAGTCGAGAAACTAAAGGTTTCTCAGTTGTCAGACCCTTGGGTTCTGACACCCTCATGACTCCAATTCATTGATTTTGTTAAAGTAAGTTTCCCAATCTTGCTGAGGACCCCGGCCCAGCCGGCCTCAAGCATCCCACCCGCCCGATCCGGGATCGGGTCGCGCATAGCCGCCTGTGGAATGAGGTCGCCACCGAGTCTCCGCAGCCCAAAGCCCCGCGGGGCTGGCGGCGCCCGGGCTGGGGAGGAGCGCCGGGCGCGCCCCCGCCCCGCGCACTCACGATGGCGCGGCCGTAGCAGGCCGCCGCCTCCGGGTACTTGCGGCCCACGAAGAGCCGGTTGCCCTGTTCCTTGAGCTCCTGCGCGCTCGGACTCTTCTCTGGGCTGCCGCCGCCGGCGCCTAGACGCGCGCCACCCTCCTTCTCCTCCTTGCCCTTCATGACGCCGCGCGGCACGGACTGGGTTCCGCTCCCGGGCTCCGCGCCCGGCCGCCCCTCACCCGCACCCCGCGCCGCGATCCGCTCGGCCCGGTCGGGCGATTCGCCACCGGAACTTCCGGCGCGGGGCGGGGTTGCAGAACGAGAACGCGCGCGGAGCCGCGCGACCGACGACCTGGAGGCGGGGCGCTCCCGGCGGGCTCCGCCTCMGGCCCCGCCCCGTGACCCCGCCCCTCAACACGAACATGGCGGCCCTCAGCAGGCTCTGGGGCGGCGAAGACCCGAAAAGCTGGGCCGTCATCTCGACGCGCCACAGAAAGTTGCTTCGGGAGCGCGCGAGCGCCAGGGGACAGCTGGAGGTCCTGGACCACTGATAGGGCGGCAGGGAGGAGAGGGCCAGCAGGTAGGGCGTCATGGACTCCCCTCACCACCCTTCCTCGGGTACTGGGAAGGAGCTGTCAGCGGCCAGCCTGAGGCGAGTGGAGAGGCGGCGAGGGACAACGGCCAAAAGAAGAGCAACGGCGTCCGCCGGCGTGGAAACCACGGCGAGGGGCGGGGCCCTGGTGGGCCGGGCCTCCTCCGGGGCGGGGCCTCTCCGGGGTCGGAGCCTCTCTGATGAGGTCCCGCACCTGGGCTTCCCTCAATGCACTGTCTGCAGCAGCTTGTGGCCAACAACCCCCAGAGCTGGTGGTGCAGCGTTCAGCCACTGCCTTTGGCAGCTTTCCGAGGGAGCGCGCCGCAGTCACGAAGCTGTGCACCCTCGGTGTTGTGGGTGGCGCCACCGTCTTGGGGAAATCAGGCGCAGCCTGGGCACCTGAGTGCCCTTGCTTGTGGAAAGAGTTGGTGATGTATGACATGGTCTTGAGAATCCCCCCATCTCTTGGGGGGCAGCTGGAACCCCCCAATTGGCCACAGTGCCAGGCCGGCCTACCTTGCAGTATATTCTCAGGCACTACCTGCTGTACCTGGACCAGGGGCAAGAGAGTGCTGCAGCCCTGAACAGAGGTGAGTAAGCAGCTGGTGGGCTGGGAGGACATCCAGGACCATATCAGGGAGCACTGGTTGGGCCCTCAGGGCCCACTCCGGCTTCTCCCCAGCTTGTGCCTCAGGGTGATGGACCCCCTCCCCTTGTGAAGACAGTACAGTGGATGTGGTCTGTGAGCCGAAGCTGTGCCAGACCTGCTGCCCCATCTCAGCACCAGCTCAGCCACCCACAAGACACTAGGCTGGTCAAGAAGCACAGGACTCCCACCAAGTGAACCTGGCCATGGGCCAGGGCCTGCTAACCTGCCACAAGACCTCAGGACACAGGTCTCTCTGGATGGCAGGCTGACCAAATAGGAGACTGGGTGCCACAGGAGCTCAATAAACACTTGCTAAACTCAGTTTGAGTAGAAGACCCACAGTCCCTCCCCAGGTGCCACCAGCTCCTTCATAGCATGGGGTCATTGGTACTCCAACTCCACTCTCATCTAGGTTCAGAGGTACAAGGAGGAAGGAAGTCCAGGTTCTCTTCAGTGTGTGGCGGGTCTCCTGTGATCTGGGTTAGGGGCAGAGAAGCCTCCAAAGCCCTGGGACAGGTACCTGGCACCGTGTAAAATATTTATTCATTCTCCCCAAAAGGCTCAGACTGCAAGTCCTTGGGGTGGGTTGGGGTGGGGTTGGTAAGGTGGTGTCTTCTCTGGGGCTGTCTTCAGGGATCTCTGTCCAACCCTGGCCCAGCAACCTCCTCCCCAGGACTGGGAGGGGCAGCCAGGGCTGGTGTTAGGCTTGGCCTCAGCTCAGTGGACTGCAGGGCCCACCTGCCCCACAGAGAGCAGCAGCCTTGAGGTGTCTGTTCACCAGGGGCAACATGCAGGCCTGCCTGGTGGTCAACCCACCGCATGCTTGGCCTAGCCTAGGTGGCCCTGGGAGTAAGTAGGTCAGGGCGGTGGGGGGATGTGGGCACCCAGCAGATCATAGGCAAAGATGTTCCAGAAGATGGCGAAGAGCAGGAAAGTGCCATAGGCAAGCAGCACCACCCACCAGCCGCACTGGTCCTGCAGGCGCTCCTCGTAACTGCGCAGGATGGTGAGGCCCATGCTCACCCCCACCACTGCGCCAGCCAGGTGTGCCATGAAGCTGGGCTGTGGGCCCGAGGAGGGCAGTGGTGGGGAGAAGCGCAGCCACACGGCCCGGCCCACCTCAGAGCTCACTGCAGAGGGAGCAACAGGTGGGAGTTGTCCTGTTTACAGACTGCGGCCCCCCATTCCCCCATCCAGCCCCCTACTCACTGCACACCAGGGCCAGCACCATCCTCAGCAGCTTGTAGGGACACCTCATCCCAGCCCAGTTCTGATGGCATGCAGACAGAGAGGCCGTGAGGCAGGCCAGGTGGGCCCCTTCCCACACCCAGCCTCCAGGTGGCCCCATTACCATGACAACGTTGGCCAGGTGTGCTGAGCACAGGGCATAGACCCCTCCAGAGCCCCCCACCACAGGGGCCCGCATGTCCGTGATGGAGACAGTCAGGGAACCTGCAGAGCAGAAGGAAGTGTGAAGAAGCAGCCAGCCAGGGCAGTGGGCAGAGGGCCCACGCCTGCCTTACCTGCCAGCACACCCGCCAGGTAGAGCAGGCTGATGCGGAGGAGACCATGCACCATCTCCAGGGGTACTCCGATCATCAGCTGCAGGAGGGCATTGAACCCCAGCTGCTCCAACCTGGCCGCAGGAGGGTGGGGTCAGCTGTGTTGCCCACCTGTCTCCAGGCCCACCTCAAGACTGCATTTTTCTGGCTGAGCTGGCCTGACATAATGGTGCTCACGACAGGCACAGCAGCCCCACTCACCCAGCGTGCATGAACATGTAAGTGAGGAAGCGCCAGGCGCGAGCGCGGTGCCCAGGGTGGTACACCAGGGGGCTCTTCATGTACTCGGGGTGGTAGGTCTGCAGCACCCACTTGTTGAGGCGTGCCCCATAGCACAGGAACACGATGATCTGGGGACAGGAGTGTTAGGTCTGGGTAGGGCAGGGCCGTGGGAAGCTCCTAGGGCAGCAGGTGGGCAGGCCCACCTGGGTGAGGGTGACTGAGGCCATAAACACAGGGGGCGGGCAGCTGCGGTGCCGGTAGAAGTACCAGCGGCGGTCTACTTCACAGGGCAGTATCTCATAGGCTACGTAGCGCACAAACCGCTTGTAGACACCTAGGCCAGGCTCATCCAGCAGCCCTTCTCGGGGCAGTGACCGCTGTCCATTAGCGATGGCCCTCTTGAAGCTGCTGGAGCGCTTGCTGCTGATCTGGGGGACAGGGACATCAGCATGGGCTGTAGTGTCATCCCCCACAGCACCCTGCCCCTTAGGTTGCCCACAGGGTCTGAGGCCCTGCACTGCCCCAATCTATGAGCCTTCCCCAGGAAGAAGCCACCTGCCTACCCTGCTCTGGCCAGGGCAATGTGCCTGTCCAGGTCTGGGCCACCCCCCTGCTGCCCACCCACCGTGGCACTGACCAGGTCCACCAGTTCCTGGTAGCAGACCTGACCCCGCTCGTTGCTCTGGGCCAGGGCCACCAGCATGTCCAACTTGGCCGGGTCCAGGGGTAGCTCATGGCTGTGCACCAGCCCAGCGAAGGTGTCCGCACCGATGAAGCCTGTGTTCTCAGGGTCCAGCTGCTGTGGTAGGGGAGCCGCCGACCAAGGCTTGAGGGTGCGCCCACCCGGACCATGGGGCTGAGCCGGGCTGGCTAAGAGCAGCAGGCTGGTTCCTGGGACCTGGCTTGTTCCCAGGTCCTTCCAGGGCACGGTGCCCGGGTCCCCAGGGCTCCCCCCACCTTATTTCCACCCTCCCCGTCCTGGGAGGGAGGGCCCGAGTCAGAAGACGAGACCACCCTCTCACCGCTGTTTTCCTTGGAAGCTCAGGCATAGGGGCCAAGGGGCACGCGGAGAGGGGGCTTGGGTGGCGGGTGTCCGGCGGGGCTGTCTGGAAGCCCGGTCCCTCCCCCAGCCCGGCGCCGCAGCGGGAGGATCGTCGGGGGGCGGTGCCGGCCCCCACCCCACGCACCTGCTCCTGGATGAGCTGCAGCAGCGAGCTCCTGTCCATAGAGCCGGGCCGGGCAACGGGCCGGGGTCGGCCGAGGCCGGGAGGGGCTGCTCTGCGGACGACTCCGCTCCGCCCCTGCCGGCCCACTCCGCCTGCTCCGCTCGGCGCGCGCCGCGCTCAAGTCGCGTCACGGAACCGCCCGCCCCGCGCACACGCCGCCACGAAACGCGCGCCCCTCGCACACGGACGCGCCGTCCCGGATGCACACCCTAGGTAGGAACCGGCCTCCTCCAAGCGGATGGTTCCGATGCAGGCACTGTGTGCGCCCTCCGGGCAGCTGAAGCTCCTCTGCCAAGCTCAGACGGCGATTCAGTCAAGGTGCAGTGTCTAAAACTCCGCCCAATCAAGACCTTCAGCTTTCCTTTGCAGCCTTCTGGGGCTCAAGCTTCAGCATGGGCCTCCCTTCCTCCAAGAAGCTTCTCCTGACCGCTAGGCTTCCTGACTCCCCAAGTTGTGACCCTGCGCTCCCGTCGCTGGGCTGGAAGATCCTTAAGTGCATTTGTCCGGCAGCTGGTGACCCCTGCTCCTCTCCCCAGTGCCACAGCAAGGAAACCTCATAGCCCCAGGTGGGTAGCAGAGGTGGGAAAGGTCCTGCCACAGCTGCTCCTGCTCAGACGACCAAAACAACCCTTTTGCATCCCCCCGCCCCCCACCCCAGGGGCCTGGAGGAGTGTGGAAGAATCAGGGCATCAGGGCCTCCCAACCGGGAAGCCCAAGACAGGATAACAGGGGGCATCCACACGGACAGCAGTCTTCAAGGGCAGGGCTGCAGCTGGGAGAAGAGCAGCTGCTCCTGGGCAGAGCAACTAAACCCTTCTAATGATGGAGGTGATGGGTAAGGAGAACATGAAGCGATGGCAACTGGCCAAGGGCCGAAGTTGCCCACTGCTGCAGATACAATGGAGCCATTACTTAAGGCCACTGGGCCTCAGGGGACATTGTGAGCTAGAAATAGCATCTCCTGTCCAGCCTCAAAGCCAGTGGAACTAAGTTGGCAGAGAGGTGGGGGACATCAGAGTCCAGCTCGAGACCCTCAAATCAGGCATTTCTGTGGAGCAGGCAGCACACAAGTTCACTGGGACACCCACTTGCTACTCCTTAAAGGCAGATGAGGAAGAGGGGCTCAGGTTGGGGAAGCCATGTTGTGGTTGAAGGCCCTACTCATCTCAGGCCAGAGCTCCCTCTGTCCATGTTTGTGGTGGGTTGTTACAGCAGCTGGTTCACAAGAAGCCCAGGTAATCAGTGCAGCTCAGCCAGGCTGACTTGAGTAGAAAGGTTTGGGGAGGCAGTGTGGGGGCCCAAGAAAAGGGAGGGAGCACAGAGAATGCATGTCAGTGGACATTAAGGCTCTTGGACCACAGGTTACCCCAAACTGGACTTTCCACATTGGCCTGAGGTCACATGATGGGGACTTAGGGATGGAAGGGAGGTGAGGGGGGTCCAGTGACACAATCACACCAAGACAAAGAACATACTTTAGACTGATTCAAGAAAAGCAGTCTTCAGAGACTGAGATCCCAGAGAGGAAAAAAACAAGTGAGGTTTAATCAGGAAACCCAACCTCTGTCTTCTGCCACAGACAAGGCTTCAAACTGGATGGGAAGGTGGGGTTGTACAACAGCCTAGCCACTTACTGGCCCCTGCATACCCACTGACACCAGAAGCAAGGGAGAGCCCTAAGAATTCTGGGTCTAGGGTCAATGGTTACCTTACCCAATACCCACAAAGGTGAGGAAAGGGCCTCCCACCAGGAACATCTGCCATGGAGCCCTCAGGCCAGGCAGTGGAGCTTCTGGGTCACAAGCCCAGGTTCTCAGCACAGCTCAGCCAGGCAGACTGGGCAGAGCTTTCATGGGGCAGTGCTGGGGGCACACCCAGCCCTGAGGAGGGGCCTGAGGAAAGGGCAGGGGATGCAGGGGCACCACAGCAGTGCCCCAGGGGCTCATAGTCATGCTGTGAGGCAAAAGCCTGCACTAGACTGCCCCTGTGGGGCCCCACTAGGTCAGAAGAGGGGGCTGAGAGGCATCATCTGCTCTTCACCAGGATTCTATAGAGTGAGAAGCTGAGGACTGCAGCCACGGTGGCCCCAACAACCACCAGCATTCCCCGGAGCCAGGTGGAGGTGGGGCGCAGCTCTGTGTGCACCAGGTGTCTGTGAGGGAAGATGGGTACTTAGGGTGCATATCCCCCCACTGTGTCCCAGGCCGCTGGCAGAAGCTAGGCCTGGAAGGCTGCACCAAGAACAGCTCTCAGTGCCACAGAACCCCACTCCACAGCCCGCACCCAGCACAGCCAGGTGATCAGCACCCTTAGAGCCCCGGTATAAGGCAGGCCACCCTCCTCCCAAAGCCTTGGTGCAAGCACCCACGGAAAGGCAGCCATGGTGGCCAGTTGAGTGAAGATATCAGTGCTGGGCTGGGTCAGGCCGCTGCAGGAGAATGGGGTGGGGGCAGGCAGCCGGTGCCTGCGACAGAACTCCCCAGGTGACAGGCCTGGTGGGGCGACACCTGCAGGCAGGTCGGCCTTGGACGACACAAAGAGGCAAGGGGTCTGGCCATCCATGTAATGGCGCTGTGGGAGGAGGAGCTGTGTGAGGCAGGGCCCACCAGCCACCTGCCCCAGAGCTGTCCTCCACCTGCAGGGCTCCCAGTGTCACCCTGCCTTGTACACGGTGGCGCAGAATGCAAAGGATGCAGGATCACTGCCATCAAACATCAGGCAGGCAACATCACAGGCGGTGTCCAGGGAAGTGGCCAGCATGCTGTCCACATCCACCTCACATAGCTGGAACAGATGGGGCTCTGAGGGGTATTCCCAGGAGTTGGCCTCCCCAAGGGCCACCCTGTGACAAATCTACCAGGTGGCATGGGTATCTCACTCCCAGCACTCACAATCAGGTATTTCTCTTGTCCGCTGACCAGCACTGTATTGATAACGTGGATGGGAGCCTCCCCAGGGGATGCCCTGGTGTCCTGGTGTCACAGGGACAAAGAGAGCCTTATGCTTCCTGGTCCCGCACTCCCCACAGTACCCTCTCCTGCCCCTGGGTCCCCAGGAGGAGACTGGGGTCTCTGCAGATGCTTACCCTCAGGCTGTGGCCAAGAAAGGCCTGCAAGAAGGAAGACTTGCCCACTCCTCGGGCCCCTACCACCTTGCACATGAGGACATTCCGCTGGGTCTGCCCCTTCTCCTGATCCAGCCTCTTCTCACGAGTGACTGTGAGCAGAGACTCAGGTGAAGAAAAATGCTGGGGAGAGGCTGGACCGAGGGCCTGGTGAGGGTAGATGCCCACCTGTGATGGCCTGTGCCTGGGAGTCCTGCTCACAGATGGTAGGGTAGCCTAGGTAGCCAAGGTGCTCGAGGCAGCGCTGGACATCCAGGTAGGTCACTAGGCTGGAGGCACGAGGCACAGCGTCAGTGAGGAAGGCAGCAGGGGGTGGGGGCAGGGGTAGAAGGGATGTGCTCACGTCCACTGGCAGAGGAAACCATGCAGGGGTAGCCGGCTGGTGTCAGTGCGGACAGTGCGTGGGAGTTCAGGGCCCCAGGGGGCCACTGGGAACACACTGAAGAGGTTTTGCAGCTCCAAGGGTGAGAGGGCACCATCATGGTCCTGTGGGCAGAAGGGCCATAGTCACAAGTGCTGGGGAACGGCAAGGGCTGACCAGGGTGGTAGCACTCACCTGGTCATGCTTCTCAAACACCTGCTGCAGAAACTGGTAGCCGCGGTGGTTAAGCTCAGTGCTGCAACCAGGGGGTACATGGAGCCTGCAGAGATGTATGGGACATCTAGCTCCCAGGAGATCCTGTGCTCTACAGTAGTTCAGCTCCTGCCTCACCCTGCCAGCACCATCCATGTGGCCAAGGCCCCGCTGAGGCTCCTATGGCTCCTCAGCTGGGGCCAGGCAAGGAGGATGGCATGGTCTCTGGTACATGAGGCCTGATGCAGGGGGCCCTACTCAACCCAGTCCTCTATACACACAGGGACCCAGGCAGACCAGAGTGAGAGGCCCACACTGCAGAACAGTCTCAGCTGTCCTCTGAGCAGGACCTTACACACAGGTGGGTTGGCCCCAGGCCCCACCTACCACTCACCGTGGGCAGAGGTAGTCTGCTGTCAGCTCAAGTGAGTCACTGTAGCCAAAGCGTCGAAGAATAGTCCATGTGGTCTCATGCCGTCCACGCTGGATGAAGAGTGTGTTCAGGAAGAGGAAGCCTGTGAAGGGCAGAGGCGGGTAGCACCTGGAACAACGTGGCCCTCTCCCCACATACTCAGGTTCAACAGAGCATCTGGCCTCACCATCCAGGGTTAGTCTGTTGTCCTGCACGCCGCCCACCACATTCTTGCACACCACCCTCTTTACATCTTCCAGGGCCTGTGGGGCCAGAGGGTGGCCAAAGCAGGACTTCTGTCTCCAAAAGGAAGTGGTTTCAGATCAGCCAAATGCCCCAGAACAGCAGGGCTTTATTACCTAAGGATGGGCAGTTGGGTCAGGGCACACCTGGAAAGCACTGAGCTCCTCATCGCTCAGTGCCTGGTCCAGGTCCTGGTCGGAGAGCCTGAAGATTCGAGTGAGGGCCTGGGTGCACGCAGGCTTCAGCTGCAGGAACATCTACTCAGCACCCTAGCAGCCTTTGGAAGGTCCACCCTGCCACTCCCATCTGCTCACTCTCCATACCCAGAGAAGCCACTGCCCACCTGCTTGGTCTCAGGGTCATACAGGGGGGCTGTAGGATGTAGAACGGCCTTCTGGGCATAGTAGAACAGCTCTGAGATGTTCTTCAAATGTTTGGCAGAACACTGTAAGAGCACAGCACAGGCTCAGAAGGCAACCGAAGAGGACACAGATGTGGGGTCAGGCGGGCCACCATGAGCACCTGCAATAGCAACTCGGTGCTTTTGTACTCACCAGAGCCCCTTTTCTTCTCGGCCTTCACCCTGCTTACCTCCACACAGGTCTCTATCTCAGGAAACTGGCTCATGATGGGTAGCACAGCTTCCATGGTGCTTCCTGAGCGTAGGTCCACCTTGTTGCCTACCAGGATGATGGGCAGCCTGGGRAGAAGCCCATGGTTACCAGGTACAGGGAGCCACTGGAGCTCAGTCCCACTCCTTCTCCCTGTCAAGGTCCTGCTTATTACCTGGGCCCCCTCTCAGTTCTCCCATTCACCAGTGGAATCCACTTGGTTCGTATCTGAAAGGCAAAGCCTGGCCATGAAGGGAGGCATCCCACCCAGTCCAAGATGCCCACCCAGGGCCTGCACCAGGCTCAAGGAGAGGAGGGGAGCTTGAGGCTAACTGAGGCCAGTAAGAGAAAACGATGGAAAGCAGGGCTGCGTCTAATCTGAGCAGCTACAAGCCCCTCCAGGCACACTGAGATCCTAGACCTCAGGCAGGCCCTGGACCTTTTTTCTAAGGCTATCTTTGTTGGAAAGGGAAAGGAAATGCTGGCTTAAATAGAGCAATCATCCAGGTGCTCTGTGGAGAAATAAGTACCTCAACACAGAAATGTGGGGCTTCCTGAAATGCTTAATAGAGATGGGGCTGGTCACAGGCATGGACAAAACTTTCCCTAGGCCACTGACTACTACCTGGTCTGCACTGGGGACTGTTGACAGAGCCAGTGGCAGGGACTTGGGATGGATGGGGTGCTCCCTCCTGCTCACCTTCTCAATTGTGGTCTCGTTAGACACATCGTACACCACACACACCACATTTGCCTGCAAGAACAGCAGCAAGGCACAGGGTGACCAGAAACTGCACAGGGTGACCAGAAGCTGCCCACTTACAGTGGACAGCTCAGACCATTCCACACACCCCAAGACTCCAGCATGTCTCAAGTGCTTCTGAGCAGCACAGGATGCAGCTCCAAAGCCTCGCAAGCCCACCCTACCCTGGAACCTGACCAATTACAGCAGGTACTCACAGGGCAGGGTATCCCTGGCTGGATCACCCTGGGCCAGGCAGCTTCAGACAAGTCCCTCCCTGCCCCCAAGAGGGAGATACCAGGCCCCAGCACCACAGCTCTGTTTTGTAGGCCCAAGTGCTCAGGACAGACCCAGCCACACCCCTGATGAGCAAGCTACTTGTAAGATGAGACTCCTGACTCCACCTCCCACTTTCAAGTCACAAGCAGCCAAAGTCCAGAGAAGGACAGCAATGTGCCCTGTGAGGGCTGGGGGGCTGCCCCTGGGTTGCTGTGGCCTGCACACAACTAGTGATGGATACAACCAGGATACAATGGAGACTGCAAGAGCTAGATCCAGGGGCTCTGATAGCAGATGAGCCTGGAGATCCTGCGCAGTGAACCAGAGTACAGGGCAAGGGGACTGCAGAGGAGTTTAAGGGGAGACTGTGCCTCCTTAGATGCCAGGGAGGAGACGGAGGGAGGGCCCTCTGCCTCTGGGCAGCACTGCAGGCACTAGACTGTCCTGGATCCCTGAAGGGGGTGTTGCAGGAGTCCCGCTCTGGATGCTGACTGTCAGGGCCGAGGACGGCCGGCGCCTCCATCCACGCAGCTCCCGCACCTTACGGATCTCCTCTCGGAGCTCCTCATCCGTCTGCTCGGCTTCTGGAGAGAGAGAACCCGCTGCAGGCGCGCGCGGACAGGCCCGGCACGGGCGCCGCGCGGGGCCTACCTGAGAAGTCCACGATGTGGGTGGGCACCCGCTCCGGCGTGACGGCGGCGGGGATGGTGATCTCCTCGGCGCGCGCAGGCACCTGCAACAGGCGGCCTCAGCCCGCGCCCAGCCCGCGCCCGGCCCGCGCCCGCCCGCCACTCCGGGCCGCCCGCGCGCACCTCCTCGGGGAACTCCTCGCCCACCAGAGACAGGATCAGCGACGTCTTCCCCACCTGGGCTGCGCGGGCGGGTGGCCGGGCGGTCACGCGAGCGGCGAGACCACCGCGGCCCCGCGCCCCCGCCAAGGTCCCCGGCCCAGCGCCTACCCTCGCCCAGCAACAGGATGCGCACGTCCCGCCTCATGGCTGTGCCCGGTGCCCCGCCCCCGGCCCCCGGCCCCCGGCCCCGGGTGCAGCCCAGACCCTCCCCAGCCTTCTTCCTGGCGTTCCCCTAGCGCCCTCACTTCCGGTTCCCACCGCGGTGCTTGAGGGACACTTCCGGCCCCGACAGCGCAGCCGCATCAGCGAGCCCTGCGGGGCAGAGGAGTCGAAGTGTGCGGTTGCGCCACCACTCGGGCGAGCCCGACACTGCAGGTGACGTGGGCGCAGGTTTGGAGACCTGAACGGCCATCCTAGCTGGTAAGTGGAGCGACAGGGCCTTTGGACAGGGCCTTTGACTAGGAATTGGGCGGGCTGGGGGAGATGACTTCAAGACTGGAGTGACCAGCGGAGGTGAAAGATGGGGCAATAATGAAACAACGTAGCACAATGTAATAAATGTGCATGTTTATTTAAATTCTAAAAGATAGGAACATCAACAACTCCTTAGAGTAAAAGGCAACAGGTCTTTTTGTTTTTAGTGCTGGGCATAGAAACCAGGGCCTCATACATGCTAGACAAGTCTCTGCCACTGAGCTACATCCCACGCCCTATTGTCTGTTCTGGTCACTCGAATTCAAGGGAGCTTGGTGCTGATGACTTGGTGCTGAGTCCCAGCCTGTCCAGGCCATCTGGCTCTGCATGCCACGATCCCAACCTGGCTTTTCTGTGGGTGCCCAGCAGGCCATTAGGGACCTAAGACTGCAGTCACTCTGCATCCATGGCCCATGACCTCCCACACCAGGATCTCATTGTGGGCAGCTGTGAAGAGCAGTCTGGCAGATGGGGTGAACCTGCACAGATGCACAGAGTCATCATGGCCGGTGAAGTCCTGGGCTACCCCTGACATGCAGTCCAAGAGCCTCAGTGTGCATTCTGTGGGTAGACAGCAAAGGTGAGGAGGGCTAGGCAGTGCTCAGTGACCCCCAACCCTCCCTGGCCATGTCCCCAGCTAGACATGGTGATGGCATCAGGAAACCTGAGACCAGAGGGGTCAGGGCTGTAATCTCCGCATGCTGGGCCCCACTGTGGAGGTCTTGGCAGGGTGAGGCAAGTCCTCCTTGGTGCTACAACTAATCTTCCACTCACACCCAGTGCCTCCCGCTCTGTCTTCTGGGCCTGTGACGCTCTGGGACAGGTGCCCTCACACTGCTTCAGGAGTAAGCATCCTGAGGCATATGTAAACTGCGTGTCTGGGAGGCAGGTGAGCCTGCCTGGCCCCACCTAAGACAGGCCCAAGTCTGTACCCACCACACTCACCAGCAAAGCCAATGGCTATGAAGCGTGCCCCTGGAGACAGGCTCAGGGACATGGCAAAGAAGGGCAATGACATCTTCTCCACCACCTGTGGGGCAGCCAGTGTGAGGCTAGGGGTCTTGGCCTAGGCAGGGGGCACTCCCGCTTGGGGCCCAATCCAGGCTCCCTTGACCCCATGGCCCTATGGCCCTGGATGCCTGGGCTGCTGGCCCAAACAGGTATATACACACACCTGCTTCTGGCGGAGGCTGTAGAAGACCACCTCTTCATGTGCACCGAGGCCCACGCACACCAGCAGTGCCCCATCCCAAGGGCAGAAGGCAGCAAGGGAGGGTGGAGGGAGGCCTGAGGCCTGAAGAGGGATGCAGCATGCTGTGGTGGAGTGGGCAGGCACTGTTCCCCCAACCCTCCCTTTTTTTTGGGGGGGGGGGACTGGGGATTGAACTCAGGGGCACTCGACCACTCAGCCACACTCCCAGCCCTATTTTGTATCTTAGAGACAGGGTCTCACTGAGTTGTTAAGTGCCTAGCCTAGCTTTTTTTTTTTTTTTTTTGCTGAAACTGGCTTTGAACTCACAATCCTGCCTCAGCCTGGGATTACCAGAATGTGCCACCACACCCGGCATCCCCCACACACTTTTTTTGTGGTGCTGGGGATTGAACATGTGCATGTGAGGCAAGCACTCTACCAACTGACCTATGTCCCCAGCCTCCCAGCCCCCCCCCCACTTTTAAATCTTTGTTTTATGTTCTGTTAAGAATCAAACCCAGTGCCTCACATGCGCCAGGCGGGCACTCTACCACTGAGCCACAATCCCAGCCCCACCACTGGGATGCTTACCTCCAAGGTGGCAGGTGCTGGGAAGCTCAACCAGTCCAGGAGGTCGCAGCAATCCCGCAGCCAGTCAGAGGCCCAGACGCTGATCCTTTGGTCCCCGCTAGCAGCCAGCCACAGGTCTGTACCCTCCACCCCTAGATCTCCATACTGGGGAAGTGAGGGCTGTGGGCCCTCCTGCCCCATGCATCACCCTCCCGCCCTGCCACAGCCCAGGACCCTCCCACAGCCTGCTCAACCTTTTTACTTGTGCTCTGGATGGTAGAGATGGGGGCACCCTGGTGGTCACTCAACACACGGAAGGTTATCCCTGTGCGGAGGCGGCTCACAGCCACAACCCCATCCTTGTCTCCAGAGAGGATGGTTTGACCTGGGCCAGGTGGGAACATGGATACCTTGTGAGTCAGACCCCAACCTGGAGATCTGATCTAGGCCTGGGCAGGGGAAGCCACTGCTGCCCTGTACAGTCCTGGTCCTCACCATCAGTGGAAAAGGCCAGGGCCATAAGGGCAGCCCGGTGGGGTTGCATCTTGAGCTCCATTGAGGTACGGGCAATGCTGAATACGCGCAGTGTGCCATCGCTGTAGCCGGCCACCACCTGCTGCTGCTCTGGATGTCCACAGGATGGGGGGCTCCATGCAAGACAGAGGCAGCTCTGGACATCCATATAGGGGAGATCAGCACTACCCCACGGACAAGGCCAAAGTCAGAGGGAGGGCTCAGCAGGCAGGATGCATGGTGGCCTGGGCCCTGACATACCTGGTTCAGCACCTGGAACTGAATCACCAGCTCCATGCTGGCCAAGGACCACACCCGTACACTGCCGTCCTCACCCCCTGTGGCACAGTGAGACTCGTCTGGACTGAAGACCACCTCGTTCACCTGTAGAACCCGGGCAGCTGGGTCTGGGCCTTTCTTTTCTTTTTTTGGTACTGGGGATTAAACCCAGGGGCACCTAACTATTGAACAACATGCCCAGCCAGCCCCTCCCCCACTTTTTAAAATGTAACTTTTTTTCTATAGCTTTATTTATCTATTTATTTATTTATTTATTTGGGTACAGGGGATTGAACTCAGGGGCACTCGACCATTGAGCCACATCCCCAGCCCTATTTTGTATTTTACTTAGAGATAGGGTCTCACACAGTTGCTTACTGCATCACTATTGCTGAGGCTGGCTTTGAACTCATGATCCTCCTGCCTCAGCCTCCAGAGCCCATGGCATTACAGGCGTGTGCCACTGCGCCCAGCTACCTTATTCATTTATTCTTATGTGGTGCTGAGGATTGAACCCAGGGCCTCACATGTGCTAGGCAAATGCTCTAACCACCGAGTCACAACTCCAGCCCTTATTTTTTATATTAGTGACCCTATCTCACTAAGTTGCTTAGGGCCTCATTAAGTTGCTGAGGCTGACCTTGAATTTTCGATACTTTTGCCTCAGCCTCCCAGGTGGCTGAGATAACAGGCCTGGCCACTGTGCCTGGGCTGGGGCTGGGCCTTTCTGATCTAACCTTCCAGGGTCAAGGCAATACCCTTCTGCTGCCCAAGTCTGCCTGGTCCACTACACCCACATGGGTGGACCCCACATGTTCCTGGGACTTGGGATTCCACAGAAAACCCTGGCAGCATCTGAGACACAGTGATGTGACTTGTCTCCAGAGGGATGCAGATTGCAGACGAGCCCAGCAGACACCCCTGCTGTTGTGGTGGTCATGACAGTGGTGGCCTGCAGTGCTCAGCACACGTCAAGGCAGACAGCAGATGTGTCAGCATGCAGCTGCCAGTTGGCAATTGAGATTTTGGATAAAGGGTGGCACAGATGCCACACTCTAATGTGGCACAACCAAACAGCCTGGAGCTGAACCTGTTTCGGGTACCCGTGTGAATTCTTGATACGTCTTACCCAAGAGGACTCAGGGTGCAACAGCTCAAGAGGCAGAGGGCTGGCCTAGCACGCATTTGACCCCAGCTCAGTTCAGAAGAGCAAGAGTGGGCCCAGAATGTGGCCTCTGAGCCCTGCAGTCCCACACCACCTGAGTGCCACCAGTGACAACCAGCTCAGCTCAAGGACTCGGGACACACATGGTATGCCAATACACTGGAAGTACTTGGCCATAAAGTGGGAGCACTAACAATAGCGACAGCTGGGATGCACCTGAGGACAGGTGCTCAAGGAGGGAGGCTGGACACAGTCCACTCATAGGAACTGTCCAGAAAGAGCACATCCATGTGGATAGAAAGCCAACTTGTGGCTGCCGGGGCAGAGAGGAGGGGAAATGGGGACACTGACAGGTATGAGGTGTCCTTTTGGGGTGATGAGAATGCTCTGACATTGAGTGTGTAATGATTGATAACTCGATGGAAGATGCTAGAACCACTGACTTTAATGGGATGATGGCTGGGTATGGGGTGCACACCTGTCCTAGTAACCTGGGAAGCTGAGGCAGGAGGATTCCAAGTTCAAGGCCAGCCTCAGCAACTTAGTAAGACCCTGTCTCAAAATAAAAAATAAAAAGGGCTAGCAATGTGGCTCAGTGGCAGAGTGCCCCTGGGTTCAATCCCTGGAATAAAAAATTAAAAATAAATAAATAAATAAATAAATAAATAAATAAATAAACTCAACCTCAGGCTGGCTGGGCACAATGGCACACTCCTCTAAAAGCAGATCCAACCAGACCCTGACCCTCTAGAGACCCAACCAGAATAGACAACAACCCAGCCAGAATTGACCCAACTCCAAGTAGACCTGACTCAGATCTGACCAAACCCTGACCAGACTCAAGCTGACCTAGCCAGAACCAAACCTGACCAGACCTGCCTGGCCTCCTACCAACCCCGGGCTTCGACTGCACTGGATGGTGTTTGCACAGCCAGTGTGGGAGGTGCTGGGGCAGATGGCACAGGCCTTTAATAAGTGAGTTTAAGAAGAAAGGAAGGAAGGAAAGGTCTAGAAGCCTGCAGAGCACCTCAGGCCCCTGCCTCACATAGGCACCACAGATTCTGGCCATCCTGAGGCTCCCTATTGGTCACTAGTGAGACATGAAACCTCAGGGGGCAGCCAGACAGGCTTGCTTCCCTGCACAACCTGCCCTACTGAGGTTGGAGACCTCTGAACATCTCAAGCCACCCAGTGGCTCACCTTGCTCCTGTGGCCGCTGACGAGGCGGGTGCTACTTCCCTCAGCCCAGCTGACATACCACAGTGTGCCAGCCGTGGTGCCCACGATGCCCATGTCCATGCTGCTGTCGAAGCTGGCACTCACCACAGCCCCATCCAGGGTCAGCTCGTGTTCCATGAACACAGAGCTGGACCTAAGAGCACAGGGACAAAGGGCAGCTGGTCTCAAGGCAGGAGATGGGAGCCAGCTCAGCTTGCCAGGTGAAAGCCGACAGCCATCATGTCTGAGGCCCAGCAGTGCTCCTGGGTGGAGATAGCAGCATGGAGCCTAGGGCTGTGGCCTCTGGGGCTCAGGCCATGCGCAGACAGACCCCTAGGTGACAGCTCTGCAGGCAGCCTTGCCTAGGAGTAGCAACGTGTGCAGGAGTGCTAGTGATGATCTTCAGGGCTACTGAGGACACCAGAGGACCCGCAGCCAGAACCCATGGGTACCATGTGCAGCAGAGGCCCCCCAGCTCACCTGGCACCAGAGCCCTTGCGTCTCAGCTCTGGCACAGCCCCCACGGACCACAGGCGCAGCCGTTTAGTGTTGCTACCACTGACCAGCCTTGAACCCAAGCACAGCAGCACCCCTAGGAAGCAGGGGTGGTCGCAAGCTGCCTTCCGCAGGCCCCGAGACTGGAAACCAGGTTCCCCATCCCAGGGCTAGGTCTGAGCCCTTAGCCATCCAGGGGTCCTCCCACTGGGCACCTACCAATCTCGCCATCATCTGCCTCCCAGGCCAGGAAGCAGCGGCCAACACATGTGTCCCAGACACAGACCTGGCCAGAACTGGAGCCACAGTACAGCAGGGGAGCAGCCCCATAGCAGAGTGCGGTAAGCTCCATTGCCCCCACCTCCTCAGGGACTGGCTCTCTGTGCATCTGGCAGGGCACAAGGGTGACTGTAAGTTAGGGATGTCCAGACTCCATCCCTGAAAACTTCTTGGGAACCTAAGCACCCGATCAGGGCCTGGCACCTGGAGGTTCACGTCTGCTCCACGCTGCTGCAGGAACCAGAAGGCAACAGAACCTGTGCCCACGCAGGTAAGCTCACTGGCATCCCAGGGGTTAAAGGCCACACCATGCATGGACTCCAGGAGGCAGGCAGAGGACACGAGCTCATAGGTGGCTGTGTTCCACAAGGCCAGTGTGCAGTCACCATAGTCCCCTGGGGATGTGTGGGCAGTCATGTTGTGAACTCAGCCAGCCTCCCCGGGGTCCCAAGAAGCTCTGCTTCTGCCTACCCTACTCACTGACCCAGTGACACAAGAAGCTTGTCATCTGGTGAGAAGGCCAGTGCCTGCACGGCAGTGTTGTGGTGAGAAATGAGCTGCTGGCAGAGGCCCTCAGGCACATCCCAGATGCGGATCTGGCAGCGGGCGGCTGCACTGCTGCAGCAAGATGCAGAAGCCAGGACCTGGTAGGTGAGAGGTGGGCGGTCAGTGGAGAGCATGCAGCAGCTGGCCTGCCCTATCTCTGGCAGAAGGGAGGCTGGGACAGTGTCCTTCCCACTGACTGGGCAACAGCCAGGCCCTGGGCAAGCACCTGGGAGTTGTGGCTGAGGGCCAGTGTGGAGATCTCCTCAGGGTGGCCAAGCCAGTGCTTCTGGGCACCAGAGTGCAGGTCCTCCACCACCACCAGGCGGCCACAGGTATAGGCAAAGAACCCTGCAGCAGGGAGAATGCCAGCCAGGGCCCCTGGGGTGCCTTTTCCCTGTCAGTGCCAGCAGCTATGCAGGCTCACATCGACAGGTCCTGCAGCAGCAGAGCCCCCCCAGAGCTCCCAGCTGACAGCCAGCACTCATTTGTTGAGAGACCTGGCCTGGGATGGAGTTGGGTCCTGCCCTGCTGCTCCTCTGCCTGCACCCCTGGGCCTACCTGTGTCCGGCTTCCAGACCATGTTGGCCCGCCCGTTCCCATTGTAGCCCACCACGGTTCTCAGGCGCAGTTGCTTGGCACCCTCAGGAGGGAAGGAGGTGCTCTGAAGGGAAGCAGACCCTGATGCTGGTGCTCAGCAGTCACCTGGACCCCTGACCCGAACGTGGGAGCTGCTCTGGGGGACATCCGGGCCAGCTAAAATTGGGAGCTGGGGACAGGTGGGGACCCCAGAAGCTCTGGGCGCCTAGAGCATGGGGAGGTTGGGGAGGGGCAGTGGTTGATAAGCGGCAGAGGGTGGGTAAGCAGGCCGCCACCAGGTCCATGCTTGTGGCAGAGAGATGAAAGGAGTGTGAGCGCAAGAAGGAAGAGTGTCCCTCTAGGAACAGGCCCTGGAAGTCCTGGGAAGGAGGGCTCCCAGAAGCCACCTTTTTTTTTTTTTTAAACATGTTTATTATATTTATTTATATGTGGTGCTGAGGATCAAACCCAGGGACCTCACACATGCTAGTCAAGTGCTCTACCACAACCCCAGCCCCAGAAGCCACCTGTCTGCAGAGAGGGCACAACCAACCTCGGCCAGTGTGGAGGCCTTATAGCGAGCCATGAAGTGCTTGTAGGAATCTGGGCGGGCTAGAGGCTGAGCCCTCGCTTCCTGGATGCTCCGGGTACCTGGCAGGGAGAAGAAAGAGGCCACAGGATGTTGTGCTTCCTCAAACCATTCAGAGACTCCTCCCCTCACACAAAGTCCCATACACTGCTGGGCAGTGAGAGCTGTGTCCCACCCAGCCCCATGGACATCCCAGCCTCGCCCTGGCTCTGCAGGTTACCACATCTTTCGGGGGAAACACCCCAAAGGTCAGGGCAGTCAGAGCTACCTAGGCCCCTTAAGGCCTCAAGACACTTGCACACTTGCGCCTGAGACTTGGTACCCTGTCACCAACGGTCCCCACCCACCCAGCTGCTCTGAACTGCTTACTGGACCAGCTGTGGCAAAGGGGAGATATGAAGAGTCCTTGGGATCTCCTCACAGACCCCCAGGTCGCACTGCCAGCCCCACCAGTCTCCCTCTCCACAAGCACGGGTGGGCCCTGGCTCTCCTTGCAGAGCTCTTCCTCATTGGACATGCAGAACGTACCTGGAGGCAGCAAAAGGAAGAGGAACCCACACCACCTACCCATCTGCACCCCCCTGGGGCCCCAGGACCCCTGCCTCTCACCATCATTGCCCTCAGGGGGCATGGCACACATGTCCAGCCTCGGTGGGGGTCCCTGAGATGGCACAGGCACCTGCTGCCGGGGGAGCCCGTCGGCCCCACATGCTGCACCCTCCAGCTGCCCGGGACCTGGGCCTGGGGATGCAAGGAGCATGTGGTGTTCACAGCTGGGCACAGCAGGGTCTGCCAGGGGAGGCAAGCCTCTGGTGGTGACGGGTACATGGATATGGGAGAAGAACAGGTGCCACTCTGCCCAGTCTGCGGAAGGCCCCGCCCAAGCAATACCATGGTGCCACAGGCATCCCCACACTGCCCTCCTGCAGAGCCAGACCACTCACCAACCTCATGGGCTAGGGGCACTCTGGGCATGCTTCGGCCACTGGAGGCAATGAGAGAGGGTGTCAGGGGGGCCAGCGGGAGGCCCAGCTGGATATGGTCAAGGGCAGACACTTGCCTGTCAGGGGTGGCCAGGACATCCCAGAGAAAGATGGCGTCCCCCACGCTGATTACATGCTGCTGGTCTGGGGTGAAGGCCACAGCCTGCACTGGCTCTGAGTGGCCAATGTACACCTGGGGGCAGTGGGTGTCACATACAGGGACCCTGACTATGGCCAGAGAATGACTGTGCTCCCAGTATCTCAACCTGGCAGTGAGCCCCAGACCTGCAGGGCCAGAGACTGACAGTCAATCGTGTGACATTAGGCCTTGACAGGCAAAATGAAGGTCACCTTCCCTCCCATCCCCTACCCGTCTTATCCCTAGAGAACACTGTACCACCCCTCCTAGGCCCACAGGGGTCTCCCCAACCCCCTGTGGAGGCTCCCAACAGCAAGGGCCTTCTGCTTGCCACAGCACCCACCTGGCAGCTGGAGTCAGCCTGTGTCCAGTAATTCCACACCCTGATGGCCCGGCTGGTGGCTGTCAGCAGGAAGTGGGCATCTTCACTGAGGGCCAGGGAGGAGCAGACTATGGGACGGACACTGGGCAGCTGCAATAGAGAATTCTTGGAAAACACCCCCTCATGGTGGGGCGGCAGGCAGGCTGGAGCTTCCCCTTCTCAGAGTGCATCTGTGGCCCCCCGCCTGGCTACAGGGGCTGTGGGAACAAAGGGAAGCGAAGGCCAGGCCACAGCCCCAGGGCTTACCTCCCGGATGGTGCGTCCTGACAAGGCATCAAGAACCACAACCTTGTCGGATGAGATGGACACCAGGAGGTGGCCCAGGGCTGCAGGCCCAAAGCAGATGGCCACAGCCCAGTCCAGGTGGCTGCTGGCCAGATCCAGGGTGCTGACATCAACCCGCAGCAGCTGGGGGTAAGAGTGGCTGTGGGTCTCAAATGAGCCAGGGAGGGAGGCAGCTGGAGGCACAGACCTGGGTACCCAGCACCACCCCTAGACAGGAGCCCCGCCTTACCAGGACACAGGGCTGGCTTAGTAGTCCACTTGGCTCAGCGACATCTCTGCCCACAAGTGTAAGGGAAGCTACGGCTCGCTCCCAATGACCTTGGCCTCCTGCCTCCCTCATGAACCCCTTTGTACTCCACACCCAGCCAAGGAGAGCCCCTGGGCCCAAAACATCCTGCAGACTCACCTCATTCAGGGAGGCTGAGTCCATGACTGTCACTGTGTACTTAGAGGGGCCCACGAAGGCCAACAGGCGGCTGTCCCCACTGACTGCCAGGGTGTTGGGGCCTGGGTGGGCATCCTGGCACACCGCGTTCACTGTGGTGGCACAGGGCAGTAAGTAGGGAAGCACCTTGGGCAAATGGGCCTGAGGAGGTCCACCCAATCCTGACCCACAGGACACCAGCCAGGGAGAGCAGCATGTTCCACAGAAGCCTTGGCCTCGGGCAGAAGAGCACCCAGAGGCCAGCACACCCCAGGAGGGCTGGGGGCCAGGAGTGACCAAGCAAGAGCTCTGAAAGCCAGAGTCCCAGGTCCACAGGGAGGCAGATGCCTCCATTAGTGCTGGACCCCACCTGCAGCCCCAGGTGATTAGCTGTCTATTGCCTGGGGCAGGACAGACGCAGACCCTTCGGGTGAGCTTTGAACCTAGCCCTTGGTAGGGGTCTAGATGAAAGGTTCTGGGAGGCAGCCATGCAGGGCCTGTGGGCCCTGAGTGTCTGGGTGCTGGCCTCCTAGGAGGACCTGCCCGAATGGCGCTAGGAGCCTCACCTGCTACACAGAGGATGGGGCACTGGGAGACAGCACAGCTGTACTGGGCCAGGGAGCCCTGGGAACAGGAGCTGAACAGGAAGTTGCCATCGGGGGTGACAACCAGGCCAGTGATGGTTCCATGGTGACACCTGTACCACATGAGAACAGCCATTGGTCTCAACCCTGGGAAGCCAGCTAGGATACAGGAGCCCAAAGAGCCACAGAGGGCAGAGCTCTGGGTACCACTGGCCTTCCTGAAGAAGGCCCTCCTCCATCTGGCCAAACCCCCACCCAAGGGATCCCATAGGCCACCCCAGCTTCCACTGTGGGGTCCCTGTGGGGTCTAAGCCTCTCAAGGACTGGCAGCTGGCCAGGCACTCACGTGTGTTCTGCCAGGACCCCAGCTGTCTCCAGACTGAAGGAGCGCACAGCCCCGCTGCTGAAGCCACAGAAGACGGCTGGGCTCTTGGGGTGGAGGGCAACAGCACTGGGGGCCTCATCAGAGGATGTGCAGTCATACAGCTGGAAGGCAGAGGCCACTGTGAGGGCCCAGACACTACTGGAGGACTAAAAGCCTTGTGGGCATCCATCCCCTCTCTGCCTAGCCTGCCTTTGGCCGCTTCCCACCTGCCGTAGGGTGGCCAGGTCCCAGATGCGGACAGTGTGGTCCAAGGACACAGTAGCCAGCTGTCCACGGCTCCGCTCTGTGGAGATTGCCAGCACGGGGGCCATGTGGGAGCGTGCCAGCACAGTGTACTCCTGGGATGGGATGTCCAGGAAGCCCAGGTGGCCTGAGGAGGTGGTGGACAGCACACGCAGGCCATCGGGGCTGAAGCAGACGGAGCTGACAGGGCCTTCCTGCTCTGTGGGTAAGGCAGGATCAGCAATTGCCAGGCCCACTGGTACCAGAGCTGGCCTAGGCAGATGTGCCACTGTGCTGCCTGGCACAGAGGTGCCGGAACAGATAATCTGCTCCCCATAGGCCAGGAGGAACAGCTTCCTTAAGACCACCACTCCTGGACCAGATGGGGCCAGGGCTTTGAGGGTACTTTCCCCCTCATCCCTGCCCTGTGCCCTTCTGCAGAGCTGGCCTGCAGGCGTCAGTGGACCCCATGGCTCAAGACACAGCCCCTGGTCCCTTAACTCCCTGTCTAGCCCAGAGACAGCACTGCCAAAGTGAGAGCCAGAGGACCTGCCCTCACCCACAGGACTCCAGTGCCCCACAACCCCACACAGGCCAGGGTCTCATTGAGCAGGTACAGCCAACACACACATGCAGCCCACCTGCCTCCAGGAGCAGTGATGAGAAGTCCAGGGGCCAGAGTCGCAGACAGCCGTCCTCAGAACCCACAGCGCAGACAGTTGGGGAGATGCTGAGGCTGCTGATGGCAATGCCCAGGCCTGCAGAGTGTGGGCATTAGCACCTCTGTTGGCCTGAGGCCACTTCCACCAGAGCTGTGTCCACCTACCTGAGCTGAAAGTCGACTTCTGGGGGAGGGAGCTGCCAGGGGTCCGTGAGGGCAACAGGCGGTGAATGCACCTCACAGCCATGCGCTGGTGGTCAATCTCCAAGATGTGGCCATTACGGCTGCACACATAGCTGCCCCAGGAAGTAACAGGTGAGGGAGGTCTGAGGGCACAGGGAAGGCTGGGTTATGGGTAGTGGGGAAGGGCAGGGCTCACAGTGTGTAGTCCAAAGGTGCTCGGTGGCCATCCGGGGCCTGCACGAAGGCAAGGTCAGTGAGCTCCAGTGTACAGTACTCTCCCAGGTCCACGGAACAAGAGCGTAGCGTCCCACCACGCAGCCGCCACAGCCGTAGGCTTCCTCGCCCACAGGAGGCCATCCTGTAAGAAGCAAGGAGTAGTGAGCACCACCCAGGGAGCAGAGGGGCTGAGGCCAGGACCCTGCTCCAGTGCCAAGAACTGACCATTACCTGGTTCCATCAAAAAAGGCAACCCGGAAGGCCTGGATGTCAAGGTCAGTGTGCACCTTGGCAAGAACCACTACCTGGCCACCACGGCCCACCTGGCCGGTGCTCCAAGCCACCACCACCTGCAAGGAGCCCATGCTGAGCCCTGGGGCAACCCCCAGGGCCCCCTCTACTCCTTGAGGCCCAGCTGAGTCCACAAGTCAGCAGCTTTTCTCTTGTGCAGAAACCAGCCTGTTGAGCACTTGGGTGTGGGATCAGGCCCCTACACAGATGCTCCCCAAGATGTAGCCAACTCTGGGACTTCTACAAGACAAGCCTGAGCTGGTATCACAGCAGTGTCTGAAGAGACAATAGAATGTGACCCAGAATTGAGTAAATGAAAAGCAAGAGGCAGCTGGGTGCAGTGGTCGCTCCTTTAATCCCATGGACTCACTAGGAAGCCTGAAGCAGGAAGATGACAAGTTTGAGGCCAGCCTCAGTAACTTGGCAAGACCTTGCTCAAAATAAAAATAAAAAGGGCTGAGGTATGGCTTAGTGGTAGAGTACCTGGTTCAATCCCTGGCACCAAAAGAAGAAAAAAAAAGAAAAGAAAAAGCAAAGTCTTGCCAGGCAGGAGGCAAAGGAGCATGGTTTCCTAGGCTGCTTGGCTATTCTTTTTTTTTAGTTTTGGTCCTTTACTTTTTTATTTCATTTCTAGTTGTCAACAAACCTTTATTTTTATTCATTTATATGCGGTGCTAAGAATTGAACCCAGTGCCTCACACATGCTAAGCAAGCATTCTATCACTGAGCCACAACCCAAGCTCCACAGCTTGGCTTTTTTTTTTGAGACAGGGTCTCAATATGTTGCCCTGACTGGCATCAAACAATCCTCAAACCTCAGCCTCCTGAATAGCTGGGAGTGTAGGTGCCACTGCACCTGGCTTGACTTTTCTAAAAAAGAATGAGTGTTACTTTGATAAGTAGAAGTAAGTGGAAACGGATCTTTAGGAAGCACAGACTGGCTACAGCTCCTGTGTACTTGATGAGGCTGCCCCATCACCCTGTGCCGGGCTCAGTACCGTCCTGCCATGGCCATCCTTGCCAACGCCATAGAGAAGAGCTCCGCTGCCAGAAAAGCTGTGGAAGTAAAACAGGGGTCAGCACCACCTGGGCAATCCCCTACCCAGCCCCAGTGTGGAAGCCTGGTTCCCACCTGAGGGAGTAGATGGTATGCATTGGGCTCTGGAACAGGGACAGGCATCCCCCAGTCTGGAAGTCCCAGAGCCGCACCACGCTGGGGGGCTGTGCCTGGGCTGAGGCCAGCAGTGCACTGCTCCCATCCAGGGCCAGGGCAGAGACCTGGGGAGGCACAGGGTAGAAGGAGAATGTGCAGCTGCGGGAGCAGGCCCACAGGCCCAGGCAGCACCCACCTTGTCTGTGTGGCCCAGGAAGAAGCGCTGCTCCCCAGTGTCAATGTGCAGGACAACAATGACGGCATGGCAGGGGTAAACAACAGACGTCCCATCCTTGGTCCACAGGGCCTAACACACAAGGACCAAGGACCACAGTCACCAGCAGCATCCAAGGCCCCTCCTCACTGCCTAGAGGCCAGCTTCATCTACCACCCAAGTCCAAGGAGGAGGTGGAAGGCCTGATACACAGGTATGCACAGCACAGAGTACACCTTCCTCCATCACAAGCACAATCCATGACTGCATACATACAGAAAGGATGGCTAAAACATGCAGGCCTCTAGTACCTGCCTGCAGTACAAGAGCCTGAGTCCAGGGGAGCTCAACAAGGGCCAAGGGCTGCCATGGGCAGGTGGTGAGCACTGCCTCCCCCAACTGGGGCTCTTCTCTGGTAGGCCCCCCGCACCTGTCAGAGCTCCACACAGCTGGTTGAGATCAGGGTGGGCCACCCTCATGGAGCAATAAAGGTGCAAACCAGGGCTCTTGGTCTTTGGAAGCACTTTAACCCAGCCATGGCTATCAGGCTTTGCAGAACAAACAGGGAACACCTAGGACCTGGAAACCCACGTGCACCCAGGATGTTCTAAGCATGAGTGGGTATGGCAGTGTTGGATATCTGGGGACCAGAGGGAAGCCCACAGAGCCTGCAGGGTAAAAGGACCTTGATGACCAAGGGGGATGGGAATCTCTCCCCAGTGCTCAACTGCCCAATGAGAGGTTCTGGAAGCAGCCACAGGATCCTCACCCATTTGGTGCTGTGACCCCCAAAGCCAATGACACCCTTGAGCCTCAGAATTGGGTCTGGGAGAAAATGCTGAAACAAATAAATATGTAGTGAGATCCCAGGAGACACGCCCCACACAAGGCCTGACCCTCTAATGCTGGGGCTGTGTCCTGCCACTCAACAAAAGGCCACCTGAGGTTGGGGTGCAGCTCCGTGGTAGGGCACTTGCCTAGGCATTTGCAAGGCCCTGGGTTACATCCTTGGCACCACCAAAAGGAATAAGAAAAAGCCACTTGAGTCCCAGGTGGCTCCTACTGGCAGCTTCCCTCAGACTGGAAGCCAGGACCCTGGCTGCCATTCCAGACCCGGGAGCTCTGGGTCCTGCTTTCCCAAGCTGCCTGGACTGGGGTGTTACTTAAGACAAGTCCTTCCTTACTCTTTGTGAAAGACTGCTCACTGGACATGCACATAGGGGTCATGCCCAAAGCTGTCTCCTGCCACCTCTGCATCCTGCCAGGAGCCTGCATGAGCAGGGACACTGAAGGCAGGCCTGCCTGATGTAGCCATGGTGAGCCCAGGCTGGGCAGCTCCTTACCCATACCCCACCCATACCTTGCTTGCTCTGATGGGCACTCACCTTGCAGGAGCCAGCATCAAGAGCCACAGGCATCTCAGTCGACTTGTGGGCAAGCACATGGCCATTACTGACCACTGTGTGCATGTCAGCAGCCTCTGCCCAGGTGATGGGATCTTGGGTACTGGTGTTAAGGCCACTGACCCTGGGCACCTCTGAGTGCTCACAGGACAGGCTGGCTTCTGGAAGGAGACTGGGTGCTGAGGGAAACTGGGGAGGCTGTGGGGAACCAGAGCACATTGGTACCTTGGCGCTGCTGTCCCCTAGCCCTCTCCTGGGGGCACTCACGGCTGTGGGGCTGGACATCTGGACCAGTGGGGACACATTCTGCATGGGCTCTTCAAAGACCACTGGGGGAGGAGGAAGTCGTGGTGCTGGCCCCAAGAAGACTGCAGCAGATAAAGAACCCTAGTGATTTTCTGAGCAGAATGACAAGATGTCTGCTGAGAGGGCTGGCAAGGGCAGGGTATCAACTGGCCCTGCTTGTCCACCCTGCAGAAGCCACACCACAGCAGCTGCTCGCCATCCCACTCCAGACCCTGGCATCCCCTCTTCCAGTGCCAAAGTTTGAGGCCCCCAGCCCACCTGCTGCAATAGGGGAATCACTCTTCTGGACCAGCTGGGAAGGCACTTTCGGGTTGTCCCTGGGAAACCTTGGTGGGCAGGTGGAGAGAGGGTCAGCCCTGCAGGCCAAGGGGCCACTTGCCCGTGCCCAAGGCTTCCTCAGGAGGGCAGACTGCTCACCGGACATGCACGTAGCGGTCATGCCAGCTCTCCCCCTTTGGCACTGGGAAAGCCATTTCTCGAGGCACAGGGGTGACTGGCAGCTTTGCCCTCCGAGCCTCAGCCACACTGACAGCTGTAAGGAGCAGGGCTGCTGCAATCAAGGCAGGCTGGTCCAGCTACCTCTTCTAGCCCCAGGCATGGGTGCTTTGTCTGGCCACTGGCCCAGCCACTACCCACACCCTAGGCTGCATCTAGAAATCGGGGGCTCTGGCCTCCAGCTGCATCAATTCAGAGCTCAAAGATGGCATGGTGCCCTGGTAGAAAACCTGGGGCTACAGGTAGGGATGGACATACAGAGGGAGGAGAGCTGACACAGACTGGGTGGGGTGTGGGGCCTGGCCCTCACTGGGGTCGAAGCACAGGTCGCTGGTGTAGAGGTTCCTGACCAGCAGGTTGGCACACAACCTGACACTCTTGAGGTGGCCGTAGCGCCGGCTCAGGTAGACTGACAAGATGTCACACAGGTCGAGCTGTAGGCAGGTCCAGCGGGCACAAGGGGGGGCCACACCTGCTAGGTCTGCAGGATATATATCCAAGGTCAGCGCCTACCCTATGCAGCCCCCACTTCCACAGTGATGATCCTGTACCCACCCCAGACCACCACAGCAGCCTGACTGGACCTCCACCACCCAGCTGTGAGGCTGCCCTTACTAGATCATTCACACTCCATCTTGGTATCACCTTTCCTGGATGTCCTAGCCTCAAAGACAAAAGGGAACTGCAGCCAAGTGGCAGAGGACCTGAACTCCTTGAAGAGGCTGGAGAATGACACACGGATGACCTGGCCATCCTGCTGGGACACAGCAAGGGTGTGAGGAGGGGATGACAGGCTATGGTGCCCACAGGCAGCTCCCATCCCAAGCCCCACACCTCGGTGGACAGGTCCAGGTGGATGGCAAAGTGCTTGGTGGGCAGAGGCCGGAAGAGCACATACAGGTATCTCCCAGTTAGCCCCAGGGACTGGGTGCTAGTTTTGGGAAGCAGGATGTAATTGCTGGCAGAGACAGAGCCCTGGATGCGATACACGGTACTCTTAAGGGCCTTGTCCTGGACAAAGAAGGGAGCAGCGTCCAAAGGGATCCAGGGCTGGGCGCGGTGGCGCTCGCCTGTAATCCCAGTGGCTCAGGAGGCTGAGACAGGAGGATCCTGAGTTCAAAGCCAGCCTCAGCAACAGCAAAGTGCTAAGCAACTCAGTGAGACCCTGTCTTTAAATAAAATACAAAATCAGGCTGGGGATGTGGCTCAGTGGTCGAGTGCCCCCGAGTTCAATCCCCAGTATCCGCCGACCCCCCCCCCAAAAATAAAGGGACCCAGGAAGCACCCAGGAGAAGCGTCCACAACGAGGTTTCCCAGCAGGAGGAAGGCCCCGCCAGTACCGTCACCACAGACACATCGCCCTCCTTGCTGGACCGCTTCCACTCGTCCACCCTGAAGTATCTGAAGATGTTGAGGAACGGGTGCTGCCACGCTGGGAGAGAGCGAGGCGGCTGAGGGCCTGGAGGGTACAGGGCCAGGGGGACCCTCTGCCTTCCCCAGAGCAACCACGCGCGCACGGAAGGGCTTCCGCACAGCAAGGCCGAGGCTCCCTGGACAGGCTCCGAGTGGTGGGCGCGGGGCCAGGTCAGCGGCCGGACCGGCAGGGCCCCTCGCGGCTCCCGCAGCCCCAGGTACCCCTAGCCCACTGGCCCTGGAGCCTTCCAGACCGGGACCCCAGCCCCCGAACCCGGGTTCCAGGACCCCGGAACGCCCGCCGCGCGCAGCTACCTCTGGCCATGGCCGGGCAGCTCACGCTTCCCGCTTCTGTCGGCGCCCTCCCCACGCAGGGCACGCAGCGCGGCACCTAGCAACGGCCGCCTGGTAACGGCGCGTCACTTCCGCCTCCATGGCGGCGCCCAGGACCCACGTGATCGCGGGACCCGGCCCCCCTAGAGACCAGAGCCTGCACCCCGCAGTCGCTCCCTAGGGCTGCGAAGGGCCTTCCCGCGAGGTTCTCCTTGGCCGCCATGCACAGGCCGCTCCTGCAGACCCTCCTGTGTGGAGGGACTGAGACGCACCCCACTACGAGTGGGGCTGCACGGGGCAGGGCCGGGAGTGGGAGGGAGGCTGAGCCTCACCTGGGCTCTGTAACCCTCTGGAGGGACCCGGACAGCACCCGCCGTACTCCAGGTCTTCTTGCCTCAAGACGGGCAAGGTCACCCTTGACCCATCAGAAAGGCAGTGCTAGTGTCAGTGCCCACGGGGGCCCACAGACTCAGGTTCCCAAACAACAATGTTTGTCCCCACAGGCTCACTACCCACCCCTAGACCTGCAGGACATCTTTACCCAGTCCTTTTAAGTCAGGCCTGGTGGCCTCAGAGAGTGGGACTTGGCATCCCAACACCTAGCCCCAATCTTGGGTGGCTAGATTCCCATTTCAGGRCCAGTTCTTTAGCCTCTCTAGGCCCTGTTGCTTTGGCAACAGTAAATGCCAATAGGAGAGCATTAGATGGGGCAGAGCTGGGTCCACAGACTTCCCAGCAAAAGGAGCTGGCTGAGGGCCCCAGGAAGACAGCTAGGTGAGAAGCCGAAGACAGAGTTGGACAGAGCTATAGCCCCTGCTGACCCAGAAGCACCAGAGTGGATGGCTGAAGGTACGCTTAGCTGACACAAGGACCCCACACTCTCAAGTCAAGGCCACTCCAAAGGGCAGTTTCTCAACTTTATTAGCCTGCAGCTCTTCCCTGCCAGCCCCAGGGCTGGTCCCTGGGCAGTGAGCCGGACTGAGGTCAGACAGGTTCCACTTCTGGCCCCTGCCAGCTTGGGACAGCTGGGCCAAGGAACCAAAGGTACAAAAGTCCAAATGTGGCACTTCAGGTGAGGCCAGCTTCTAGCCGACCACAAGGTGGAGGATATCATGGCCTTCTCTGGCCAAGGGTCCATCTTGGCAGTGTTCTTTCCCAGGCAGCCACTATGAACAGCTGGTGATCCTAGCCAGGAACTGCTGTGCCCACCACTCGTCCAGGTCGATGGGCACAAAGTCTGTGGGCAGAGCAGAAGCTGGACAGTGACACCACCTTCCAGACTGGTCACTGTCTCTGCCCTTAAGCTGAGCACAGGCCCCTCACTCAGATTCCAAACAGCAGGCATTGGGAAGAAGGGGTCCAGCTCAGGAGTCCCCTCCCCAAGCCCCTGGCAGGACCCAGGTCAGGACAGAGAGGCTAAGGGAAGATAGTAACATGGAGTAGGGCTCCCTGGGGTACGGGATCTGGGAGAATTCCTGGGAACAGGGCTGGGGGCTCACTCTGTAGCCGGGGATCGGGTGTCCTCTCCACGTACTGCACAGGCCTTGGCCCACTCTCACTGGCCTGGCCACCTTCCAGCTGTCGCTCCACCTGCTGCCAGGCTATAGGGGATGGGTGGTCAGGCTGAGCCAGACCCCTGGCAGCCCCTCCCTGCCGAGGGCCTAGTGGCCACCCTAGACTCAGGTCAGCATTGGGAGCAGGCAGTCTTCTGGGTGGTCACAGGACAGACTACAGAGAGCCAAGGAAAAGCACAGCCAGTCAGGCTGCAGCAGGCTGGAGGACCTGGGGTCATTCCAGTTCACCTCACTGGGACCCATAGCCCAAGCCATACCCTCTAGCCCTTCGCTACCTTCGGACACAAAGCGGACATTCTCCTCGTGGGCCAGTGTGTAGGTCTCTTGGGTTCTCTCAAGAGATGGGGATGTGGTGAGGGGCCGCCGGCCATTCACTCGATTGAACACAAGTCTTGGCCCTGGACTGTGGGAGGGAGGAGACAGTATGGTCAGTACCCATCCAGGCCCAGGTGCCACCTGGCAGAGCCCAAGGGCAGCCTTGGGCCATGCCCACTGCTCCAGACCAGGCCCAGCCTGGCCCTTCCTCAGCCACAGAGCAGTGGCCTGCAGCAGCTGATGGTGTAGGCCTCCCTTGCAGGCCCTGGGCAGTTCAGCTCACATCTGCAAACCTTGGTCCCAGGGAAGCAACTTTGGGCCAGGGAGGGTTCACCAGCTGTATCCGACCTTGGCAGAGGCACAGCCAGTGCCCCTCTACACTGCCCTTCACCCCCACCAGACAGGCCTTCAACAGCCCAAGTAGACCTCAGTCATGAGTAGGTCTCTTCCCCAGCCCCACCTGGCAGGCGCATTTACTCCTCTACCTATACCTGATGTGGGAGAACAGACCTAACAGCTGGATGGTCTCTGCCACTCCCACTCCCTGGCTGCCCCCAGGCCCTGAGGGGATGAGGACCAAAAGCCTGTGAGAATCAAATGGGGAGAGCGTGACCACAACCCAGCCCATTCCCCATGAGCCAGAGACAAGGGGCAATACAAGTGAGATGGCCCCCATGGTGCTGCACAGGATGTCCAGGGGGCCACTGAGCAGGTCCCAGCCAGGCAGGCCCAGGGCAGGGCTGAGCCCTGTGCACATGATGCCCACACGAAGCCCAGGGTGGGGCCGTGGAGGGAATGGAGCCGCACCTACAGCAGGAGGTGGGAGCCAGAGTCCTGGGCTGCGCCTGCCGCTCCACCAGGCACTCGCGGTCCCGGGCGGCCTGCTCGCCTTCCTGGGCTCAGGTGCCCCACGCCGCTCTGGGTTCCTCCTCAGGTGAGAGGGGCACTAAAATAAAGAGGAGGGTCTTGAGGGGCGCAGGGTCCTGCCAGCCCCAGGGCCGGCAGGGTCTTGTTGCCACAGAGAACCTTAGATGTGCAGGTGGAGACTGAGAAGGGACAGCGGCTCCTCCCCAACCTCGAGACTGCCTGAGCTTGTGCGCAAGCCGGGGCATAAAAGTCTGTCCTCCTCTTGGCAACCTCCCCTTGCCTGCAACCACCCCCACTTTGAAAGACTTCAAACACCAGGAAAGCTTGGAAATGGGACATCAAATTTTTAAGAGGAAGAAATGCAACTGGTCCTATGAACTACAAGGGATCTAGGTGGTGGTGCTCAGGCTGATATGGGGTCCCAGCAAGGCAACCCACTACCCCACCAGTTATATAAAGCCCAGGCTCTGTGAGGGGAAGAAACAGCCCCAGTATGCACCTGTGAAGGATAGCCAACCTATATCAGCTTTTAGGAATGCTGTGCAGGCAAGTGCCAGCCCACAGACCTCCTCTTTTATCACTTCCTCTCATGTATCCCCTCCACCACTTCCAAGGTAGACCAGCAGCCTATTTTTTTGGCCCAAGAACCTGGGCTGGAAAGAAGTGGGAAGGGGACAGCAACAAGATTCAGCATTAGTCCTGGCCTCAGAGCTCACACCCCTGACCCAGTACCAACCCTCAAGCCAGCCTCCTTCATGTGTTCTTGCTGGCCACAGGCCCTACCTCCCCACCTCTGGTGGTCCCTGCATGCCCCCTACCACCCTTGGGGACAGGTAATCATACTGCCCCATTTTGTCTCCTTCTCTCTCAACAGGACTGCCAGAGGTGCCAATCTAGCTGGCCTGTCCACTTTCAAAGGCAATGCCCACATCCATGCCTAGCCTGAACTGGAGCCCATACATTTAGCAGGTCAGGAACTCTGGGACTGCTGTGTGCCAGCAGGACAGGCAGTGGTCACCACTGCCCTTCTCCCACAATTGGTCAGATGAATGATGGGTAGTCAAAGATACTAAGCAAGGAAGCTATGGGAGTGTTAGGTGGGTGATTTTGGAGGGTGGCCCCTGAGAAGAAGCAGGAGTGGGGGCCACATATGGAATTGCCAGAATCTCCTAGCCGAAGGACTAGGACTGGGTGCAACCCACTGACCTCAGAGGAAATGAGAACAGTGAGCCCTGCCCAGTCCAGCAGAACTGAAGGCCACCCCCCCTCCGCTTTCCCCTCCAGCATGCCTGGCTTGGCTGACTAATGGAAAACCTCAGGTGTCCACACCACATCTGGTCTCCTGGGGGTCTATGCTCTACAGAAAACAGTGGACCTGGGGGTGTCCCTTGCAGTCCTTACCCACTTAGGGCAATATCATTACCTTACCCTCTTCCTTCCTGCCTCCTTGACACTGCTCCCAACTCTGCCAGGGACCTGCCCTTGCTGTCCGCAGCAATGGAGCCTTGGAGAGGAAGAAGCTCCCCCAGGTAAGAGGTGTGGGGTCCATCAGCCACTCCAGCCTACACCCCCTGAGTGAATAACCACACGGTGGCTACACACTAGAGTGCCTCAGCTTCCTCCACTGGGTGGAACAACCAGGACATGGACTGATGTCAGCCAAATGTCCCCAAGACCCCACTCACCCCCTCCCCAGGGCGCACCTCTGGCCTAGGACACTTCTGCCAGAGAGCCTCAGCATGTCAATGTGTCCCTCAATCAGGAAGCACCCCTCTCCAAAAAGTCAGTCACCTGACCCTACATCCCTCCACTTGTGGATTCTGAGCCCCAGCAGCTGAGAGGGGCATGGAGACACAGCACCCCCAGCTGTAGCTAACCTGCAATTCTGGACCCCTGGGGGCTGTCAGTTCTCAGCTTGGAAAGCCCCCACCTCCTGGGGTGTGCCCCACACTGCCTCAGGGAGCCCTGAGCTGATCCTATGCCACCCCCACCTGGGGCCTAGGCGGGAGCAAAGTCCACAGGCTCCAGAAGGAAACAGTGGAGTAAATTGAGCCAAAGGAGTAAAAGGTTCAACCCTGGGGGAGGAGGCTAACCTCCAGGTCAGGGTCCCTGGAGGGCAAAGTGGCTGGGAACGAGCCTCCTTGGGGCACTGGGCAGGCGGCTGGTTAGGAAAGGAAGGAAGCTGCAGGCCCTAACGCACCCCGGCATTTGCTGGAAAGGAGGGGACTCCAGTGCCCCAGGATGTCTGGGGTGAAGGGCAGAGGGCTGGGGCCTGGCAGAGCAAGAGGGAAACACGTGCACCTCTCCTACAAGGACACCCAGGAGACCTTGAGGGCTTGCGCCCTGGGCAGCTCTTCCCAGCCCTTGACCTCGGCCGTCCAAAAGAGGTCCGTCATACAGCCCAAGGTCGCCCGGTGCGTCTGACTCTGCCACCCGGAGCCCCCTTGACCCACGAGCGGATCACAGGCCGGCGGGCCCCACGTGGCCAGGAGTGTCCACGCTAGCCAGGCCGAGCCCTAAGGCCCAGCCAGGTGGGCGGAAGCACGAGCAGGCTAACCGGTGCGCCCCGCCGGCGTCCACCGACCTCTCCCCAAGGTCACTCTCCAGGCCGCCGGCGGCCACGCTCACCTCGACAAGGGCCAGGGTCCGGGCTGCGGCGCCAAGGGCTGAGCCCGCGGGGGTGGCGAAGCCGGCGGCGCGGGCTGCCGGCATTTCAGGAGCTCACCGAGCCTGCTCTCCACCTGCTGCTGCGGGGGACCTACGGGCGCGGGGAGGGCACGTCAGTAGCCGCGGGTCCGCGATGCCCGCGCCCGCCCGCGCTCCCGACCGCTGGGCGCACCTGTGCGGCGCTGTGCGACCAGCTTGCTGGGCCCCTTGGTGATGGTGTACATGGTACGCCTGCCCGCACCCAGGGCCGCTCCGCCCTCACTCGGCCGCCGTCCCCGCCCGCCGGCCGGATCTGCACCCTCCGACCGCTCGCGCTCCGCGGCGAGGCGGGCGTGGCCCCTTTAAGGGCAGCGGGCGGAGCAGGGCAGAAGGCGGAGCGGCTCGTGCACGATCCCCCGCCCTTAAAGGGGCCGCGTGCCGGTGCCGAACTGGCACGTCTCGCTGGCGGCGCTCCCAGCTGTGGGGCATCTGGTGGTGATGCGATGCTGCAGTGCAGAACGAGGTCGGTGGTCTTTGCGACCTCCAGGCGGAGTCCTCCCTGAGCGGTGACTTAGCCCTTAACCGGAGAGAGGGCGCTCTGCCTTGGATGCTAGGGAGCTTTACTGGGGGCCTCTCTGCATGGGGGTGGGGGTCTGTGCTGAGGGTATCTGTAGTGAGGGGGAACCTGTGCTGAGGGGTGCTCTGCACACGCTGGAAGCAAGGGAGCTTCTGCGTATGTTTGAAGGTCCTCAACCAAGTGCCTGGAGAGGTCTGGGCCGGTATTGGGAGTCACCTTCATCTTAGGGAGTCTAAGAAGAGAAAAGGGGTAAATTTAGCAGGGAATGGGAAGTAACAGTGCCCCCAGGTGGATGCAGGAAGCCTGGAGGCCCAACACCAGGTCTAAGCTGGGAAGGGTGGAGGAAGGTCAGCTCCACTCCAGCCCCAAGGCTACTCAGAAATCAGATCCTCTGTGTCCCTGCTGGGCTGCCCCAGGTGTCTGAGGCAGGAGGATCGCAAATTTGAGGCCAGCCTGGGTAACTTAGTGAGACCCTATCTCAAATTAAAAAGACTGGGGATGTAGCTCAGTGGTAGAGCGCCCCTGAGTTCAGTCCCCAGTGCTGTAATGTGTGTGTGTGTCTCTCCACCTGGCACCTCTTTATTTGGAGTAAGAGTTTTTATAAATGTAATCAAGGCAGCGACTTCAGCATGAATTTATCCTGAATTAAGGTGGCCCTAACTTGAGAGTTGGGGCCCTTTTAAGGGAGAGATCTGGACACAGAGGAAGGCTGTATGAAAATGAAGCATAGGGGCTAGGGTTGTGGCTCAGCGGTAGAGCGTTCACCTAGCATATGTACAGCCCTGCATTCGTTCCTCAGCACCACATAAAAATTAAAAAAAAAAAAAATTGGAACAGAGACTGGAGCAATGTGGCCATAATCTGACAGTTTCTAAAGTAAATAAATGTATTTTCTAAAAGTCACCATGTTTGGGGATAATTTGTTATAGCAGTTAAACAAACTGATATACCCAGGAGAGTGGTGGAAGGAGGGATGGGAGGGAGCGCTGCATAGGGCCTGAGAAGGAAAGTGGGGGTGTTGGACCCCCACTGGATAGTGGGGGGCAGGCAATGAAAAGTGGGCAGATGAGCTGGGATCTAGGAAAGAGGCTGGGCCCTGTTGTTGACTTGGGGTGAGGTGGGACATGGCCCACAGGCCCTTTTGTGAGTGAGAATGGCATAGGATTGACCCTCACTCATCAGGCATTGCCTAAGCATCTTCTGTAGGCCAGACCCCAAGACAATGACAGGCTGGGAGGACRGGGAGTGTGTCCAGGGAATAAGAAAGGATGAGGCAAGGGCCAGTAGGTGCTGCAGGACAAGGGAATCCCTTGTTTCTTTCCACAGCATACAACCAAGGACCTGTGGCTTGCTGAGTCCTGGTGATTTGGTCACATGTGGAAAGGTGGCCCCTGCTATGGTGCCTCCTACCCAGTATACATACATCTCTCAGGCCTAAATTCAGTCTCTGGCACTTGACTTCAACAAGGTCAACCCTGGCTATCCAGGGGAATGTTATCCCACAGAGGTCCCAGACTGCTGCTAGCATCTAACACACTTGCCTGCCAGGAAATGTGTGATCCCACACACGGACTGCGGAATAGCCGCTCCGCCACCTCATCTGCTTTTCTGCCAGGCGCTGAGCTCTGGCAGTGCGGAGGCCAGGTGGAGTGATGGATCAGCAGGGGTGGGGGTGGGGGTGGTATCGGCCAGAGTCCAGTACCATTAAGCATAATGCCATTTGCTGAACACTGTGAACAGTTCCTTAAAGCAGGATTCCTGCCTGTGTGCAGAGAGTCCCAGGGGAAGCCTGGGTTGTGAGTGGCACACCTCTACCTAGGTGGTTCCCTGGCTGTCAAAGTCCTCCAGGTCCTCCTGAAGCTACACCCTCACCTGCTGCAGAACCCAGTCAGGGTCACTACCAACACTGTATGTACATCAATATCCACTTCACAGGGCTGGGGCTGTAGCTGGTTTGATCCTCAGTACCAAATAAAAATAAATAAAATAAAGGTATTGTGTCCAACTACTTCTAAAAATAAATATTAAAAATAAAACAAAGGCATTCAATTCAGTCCATTTACAACTACAAAAAAAAAGTTAATAAAAATGAAAAAAATATATATATCCACTTCACAGTGCTGTTTGGAGGAGGGGAAGCCCGCCAGTCCTCAACTGGCTGCTTCTCTCATTTTAAAATAAAAATGGAAACAATACATGGTGCGGAGGATCCAACACAGTGCCTCACACTTGGTAGGCAAGTGCTCTGCCACTGAGCTCCAGCCCCAGCCCAACTGGCTGCTTTCTTGAGGGAGCCATCCTAAGTGGCAGCCCTACAGCATTGTCCCTGGGACTCATCACTAGCCCTCCCTGGTCTAAACACATTCACATCCCATCCATCAACCTTGGATATGCCCTCAGCATCTACCACAGGCTAAAGTCCTAGTCAGCGGCCACCCTCAGCTCTGGTCCGCAAGACGTGGGGTATGGGGGTTCTTGGCCAGTCCTGACTGCAGAGCACTGCCCTCTGCATTTTCTGGAATCGGACCCTCTGAGAGGTGGACCCCAAGCTGAGTATTCTAAGAAGCTCCCTTGAGTACACACACATCGCAACGTCAGACTAGATTTCATGGGTCTCTGCTCCCGCTATCTATCCCGCTAGGGACCCCGAGCGGGCGCTGGTCATCTCTGTGTTAGAGAGAAGTCCTGAGCATCACTGAGTGCCAGGCTAGACCAACTGGGTCCCAATGAGATCCCCCAACCAGGGCCCCAAATCGGGCCCTGCCCATCAGGCACCTTTCACCAACCCCAAGCAAGGCCCTGCCCACCAGAGGGCCTCACTAGGGCCACGCCCACCAGACTCCCACTACCGCTCCGCTCCCATCAACAACCGAGTGCCCATGGTTGTCATGGTTTCCATGGCCAAGGCTCGAATGAAGGCTGTCTTCGGATCTGCATTCTCCATCTGCGTTCGTTTTTCGGACTCCAAGAAGCATCTCGAGACCAAATTCAGGTGACGATAACGCATGCGCTGTGCCCGCTGCGCGGCAGGCTGCGTCATAATTCTTAGGTCTTGTGGCAGCTTCCTTTGCACAGCTGCGCCGCTGGTGTAGTGGTATCATGCAAGATTCCCATTCTTGCGACCCGGGTTCGATTCCCGGGCGGCGCATGTGATTGTTTTCCCTTTTTCCGATCTCTGGAACCAGCTCCAGCTCACCGCAGCCATGAAGAGCAGAGCAGACTTGAGGGAAGTAGGAAGCACAGGTTCCGGTGCAAGGAGAGACAGGCTCTCTGAAAACACTGGCGCGCAGTGGTGACGCGGTTCCTAACCAAGAGGCGTCCATAAACCAGCAGCATCGGCCGCCGGGGCCCCTCTCGGGGCTGCGGACCCACCCTTTAAGGTGTGTCGCGCGTCCTCTTTTCAGTTGTCCAACTCCTGGCAGCGCGGTGGCGATGCTGGTGGCGGCGGCCGCGGAGCGAAACAAGGAGCCCATCCTGCGCGTGCTGCAGCAGTACGTGGACCCCGCGCAACGCGGCGTCCGTGTGCTCGAGGTGGCCTCTGGTTCCGGCCAGCACGCCGTGCACTTCGCACGGGCCTTCCCGCACGCCGAGTGGCAGCCGTCCGACGTGGACCAGCGCTGCCTGGATAGGTGCGACGGGTGCGGGCTGCCAGAGAGGGTGGCCGGGCAGGGGTGCGGAACCAGGCTGTGGAAGCGGTAGGGCTGCGGGCCCGCTGCTCGGCTCTCTGGGCTCCTGGTGAAGCGACTGCAGGGCCCTCTGCCTCTCCCTCATCCGCTGCCCTCCACAGCATCGCCGCCACCACGCAAGCCCAGGGTCTGTCTAACGTTAAGGCCCCGCTGTACCTGGACGTGACCTGGGAGTGGGAGCACTGGGGAGGGATCCTGCCGCACTCGCTGGACCTGCTGCTCTGCATCAACATGAGCCACATCAGTCCCTTAAGCTGCACCAAGGTGGGTGGCTGCAGAGATGCCTCGGGAGAGAATGGCGGCCAGGATAGCCCTGTCTCCAGCAGGGGTTCTCCAGGGTCTGGGAAGGTGACTCACCCTGCCTTGCCTCCTCCTCCCCAGGGGCTTTTCAGAGCTGCTGGACATCTGCTCAAACCCAAGGCTCTGCTCATCACCTATGGGGTGAGTTGTCCTGCCCCAGGGCCTTTCCCCTCTTATGGCCTGCTGGGCTCTGCCCAGGCTCCACCTGGTTCTAGGCTTCCCCTTTTGGGGGCAGAAAAGGGGTGTCCTTTTCATTCTTCAGACCTCAGCCTGCCAGCATGTCCATGGCCCACTGGGGAATGACTGACCCTGGTTCTATGCCCCCTGTCCATGCAGCCCTATGCAGTCAATGGGAAGATCTACCCCCAGAGCAACGTGGACTTTGACTTGACCCTAAGATGCAGGTCAGAGCTGGGTGAGAGGGGCCTGGCTTAGGGAGAGGTGGGCTGGGTGTCCCTGGTTGGCCCTGGCCAAGACCCTACCTTCCTCCCTGCTGCAGGAACCCAGAGTGGGGACTGAGGGACACAGCCCTTCTTGAGGACCTGGGTCAGGCCAGTGGCCTGTTCCTGGAGAAGATGGTAGGCAGGGTGAGCTGGGGTGGAGTGGCCTTCCTGGGGCCCAAGGGCCACTCCAGCAAAGTATTTCTGTAGGTGGACATGCCAGCCAACAACAAGTGCCTAATTTTCCGGAAAGAATAACTCCTCCCCTTCATCCTGCGTGCATGTGCCCAAGTCTGGGCACAAACCAGAACTCCATCCCTATCTCCCTGGACCAGGTTTCTGGAATGACCAGCCCCACCAGTATGGGCTCATGGAACCTGGGCCCAGACTGCCTTGGAATAAAGCACTTTCTGCTGCCCATTGAGTATCTACCACACTGTGGGACGGGTGGGAAGAAGGGTCTGGCCTGTGGGCATCTAGGGCCTCAAGGGACCGGCAGAATGGAGTTGGTCCCCACCTGTGAAGCAGGAGGTCCCCAGGGTGAGCTGCTTCTCCTTGGAGACCTCAGATGGAGCCAAAACCCCAGTTGGTTGAAGACCCCAGCTTGGTAACAGGCCAAGGGATGGGGATACCTGGAAGGGTAACAATCCCCCACTGACAGCAGCCCATGAGTTCCAAGGGCAAGGAAGAGCTTTTATTCATCAGAAAGAAGGGCAGGGTGGGGAAGAGCAGGGCTAATCTTGGAAGCGGTTCAGCAGCTCACAGGCCTTCTTCTCCAGCAGCTCTGATATTTTCTTCACCCGCTTCTCGCTGGCGGCGCGCACGTAGCTGCCAGGGTCCAGCACGGCCACACCATCTCGTACTTCACCCATGATGACCAGTGGCCCATCACCGGCAGACACATTGGGACAGGGGCAGGCCCAGTCCATGCCGCTTAGTGTCACCTCCAGGTACTTGGTGCCCAAAAACTTGAGGCCCATCTTGTCATCCTTCAGTACGTCGTCCAGAGCCACACGGGCAATGCCACCCGCAGCCTCTGGTTCCTCCAGCACCTCAGTGAGCCGCCCCACGATGGCAAAGTCACTGCGACACAGGCTCAGTGCCAGTTTGCTTCTGAGGCGACAGGCCCGGCAGGGTGGTGTGCGAGGCACAGGGCAGGCATCCTCACAGCGCTCTCGGCTCTCAAAGTTGTTGCCATTACCCTCGCAGCCACTGTATAGGAAGGGCAGGCACCGCTGCAGAAGTGGGCTATAGGCCCAGCGTGGCTCCCAGCCCTGGCAAGGCCCCTGCACCGCTGGCAGGGTGCAGGCATCACCAGGGCCGCGGGTGCAGGCCTTTTGGCACGCCTCATATGTCTCGAAGCCCCGGGTGGCCCCATCACACTCGAGAGCGGGGAAGGTCATGCAGCCTCCGCGCTGTGGATCGAAGTTCCAGAGCACATGATGTGGGGAGGCAGGGCCTGAACAGGCCTGCGTGCCAGGCAGGCACTCTGCCAGAGTGGGCACGCCATTGGCCTTGTCCCTGGCTGGCTCCCGCTGGACCACAGAGAGTGGGAAGTCAGCCCTCAGAAGGCCTGCGGCATTGCGTGCAGTGCAGGTGTAAAGGCCAGCATCCTCTGGCCGGGCATTGTAGAGTACCAGCTGCCCGATGCTAGTGACCACCACATTGCCATACATCTGATCAGGGCGCAGGATAAGGTTCTCCTGCTGGTGGCTCTGCTTTTCCCAGGTCACAGCAGGTGGCGGGCGGCCACTGACCTCGCAGTGGAGGCTGGCCGTGCCCCCCACATGCACTGCTTGTGGGGAGGGACTGCTGTACAGGACAGGTGGCATGGGGGCAGCCCCCAGCATAGGCCGGGCTGTGGTCTCTGGTGGCCCTGGACTGCTGGGTGGCCAGCTGAGGACATGCTTGCAGGGCACCACATGTAGGTGTAGGCCTCGCAGGCAGGCCTCAGCATCCATGTAGCAGCGATTGTAGTAGGTGAGGCCATCGGAGGCACAGGTGAAGTGGGGCTCCTTCTCACAGCGGTCACGGCAGCGGCATACAGGCTGCCCATCCCAGATGTCACAGTCAGAACCCTGCTGTGGGCACTTGAAGCCCTCACAGGAGGCTGCTGTGGTGGGTGCAGCTGGGTCATCTGGGAATCGGGCTGCCACGCAGCTCTGCAGCCCACACACGTTGGCACAGCACTTCTCCGAGGCAGCACAATCCTGGGGGAGGCAGGTAGCTTAGCAGAGCCCTGAGGCCCTCCCACCTGGCCCAGGGTCTCCACCTTGCCCCTGCTCCAGGGAGTACAGATGCCTGCAGCTACAGCCCCTGTGGCCTCTCCCTGAGCTGGTTTTCCCTCTGGAAAGTGGAGGAAGTGCTTTTTGTCCAGTATGATAAGCTTCAAAGCTGGTCACATATCACCTAACTGAATCCTTAACATCCCCAAGCAGGACTCACTGTGGTTCCCTCCCCGTGTGCCAAGGCCCTGGCTCAATGGCAGATTTGGGCTAGGGTGTGGCTTAGTATGAGGGAGGACCTGGTTCTGCCCTGGCATCATACAGAAAAAAGCAGCCCCCCACCATCACAGATGGCCATGTGCCAACCCTCTGGTCACCCCTTTCCCAGTGTGAGGGAAGGGCGATGGCCCACAGTAAGATTGCTGTGCAAGGGAAAATTCAGAGGCCTGTGTCCACTCTGGTCTTCACAGGATAACTGCTGCCCAGGCAGGAAATAGACAGGTCTGGTGAGGAAAAGGGGATCCCATTCTCAGACAGATGAGGGCAAAGATAGGGTATGACCCGGGCCCCTTGTATGGGGAATGGCCAAAACCTTGGCAGAAGAATGTGGAGAGCCCCAGTAGGAAGTGGGTTCCTAGGGCTGCCCTCCACCCCCAGGGAAAGGGCTAGGATGGGGCCAAGCACCCAAGACTCCTTGGAATTCCCCACACTCACCTGGTCCCTGGCGCACTCTCGCTCACAGGTGCTCTGGGCGTCTACCCACAGGCTGGGGCTGAGCTGGTTGGGGCACAGGCCGGGGTGGTTCCCTAGCTCTGGCAGCAGGCCAGCCCCCAAGGCCAGTCTGATGATGAGGAAYAGAGGCAGGAACAGTTGCAGGGCGGGCATGGGGACCACAGGGCCAGGGGGCATAGCCGTGTGGCTGCCAGCCCCTCCTGGGGCCCCACAGAGCCCAACACTCTGCAGGCATCCACTCTCTGGGGCTACCCGGCTGGCCCTTCCTCTCCCCTGATTATTCTTTGGGTTCCCCTTTGGCCCCTGAGGCTGGAGCCCACTGCAAATGCTCCCCCTGGCCCCAGATGGGTGGGTTTTGGAATCTCAGAGCTCTCTGTGTAGCCCTTCCCCTCCCTAATCTGTCTCCTCTCTCAAACACTGCAGGTCCTGGTCAGCATAGGGAGAGGAGGGGAGGCTGGGGAGGGGCCAGGGCTCAATAGCGCAGGGTCATTGAGGGGCGGAGAAGGGCTAGCTCTGGCCAGAGAGGAGGAGAGGAGGGGGATGACACAGTAGCTGGAATCCCTCCCTCCATAGGCTGAAGTCAGCTGGGGTCAGTCTCCTTGAAGACCCTCCTCCTTCGATTTAGGGGGGAGGGGTGAGGCCAACAGAACTCAGCAGCTTTTATCCCCACCCTTCGGTCTCCCATGTGGGGGGAGTTCAGGCCCCTACCTCACCCCAACTGACCACAGGCCTGGGTTTCCCCAAGGCAGGTCCAGGTGGTACCTGTCACCTTTGAGTCCAGGTAAGGCACAGGGGTGCTATTTCAGCCCAGCAGATGGGGAGGGGGTCTGTTCACTTCCTGGGAAGAACACTAACTTTCTCCATGTCCCTGTCAGGGTCACAACCTGCCAGCAGATCTTGAAGTACATGTGGAATCTGCAGGGGTGAGGCCTTGGCAGCTCAGGCCCTGAGCCGACACAGAACTTTGCATTCCCAGAGATACCCACTTTGCTGGAGCCTCTGGCTCTGGCTCTGGCCTTGGCCCAGGCCCTTCCTGGGCTGAGCAAGGAAGGGCATAAGTGAGGCCTGCCCAGCACCAGGATATGGCTCTACATGGGTATCCACCCAGGGTCCATAGGGATGGCCAAGTCCAAGGGCCCTAAACGAGCAAAGTCCTACAAACTACCCAGGGCCCGCAAGCACCCAGGAGTCTCTCCCTGCCCCCAGCTGCCTGGCCTGACCTGGGGGCCAGCTGGGCTGGAGGCCCCTCCTCCACTGGGGAGATCAAAGGCTCCTGGCAGGACAAAGGGCCGCTTGGAATTTGCCCTTCCAAACCCTTCTGAGGCTCCAGAGGTCTGGGGGCCCCAGGAAGTAGCCCTGAGTCTGACCTCCTGACCCAGGAGGCAGGGTAATAAAGAGCTTGGTCTGGCCAGAATGGAACCAAGAGATGACTGCCAGGCGCCAATGTCTCCTGACTTACCCAGGAGCTATGGGGAGCTGGCCCCTGATAATGAGGGGTGGGTGGCTAGGCCAGCCTACAGATGGGGTCGGGACAGGAGCTCATTGCAGCCTGGCAGCCCCAGTGTGGGGGTGCCCAAGGCCTAGACCACTCCCAAGGAGCAGCATGTGTCCCTGGAGTGTAGGGCCATCTGCGGAGTACAGCATTCTTATCCTGCTCAGGTCTGACCTCCAGGACATGACTCACCCCTGGCTGAGCAGGACTCGGCAGAGTCCCACCCTTGGGGTTCCTGAAGCTGTGGCAAACTGTGGGTGCTGGAAATAAGGGCTCCACATGAGGAGGTGTTTCCCTAGGACTTGTACACTACGCACAGACCAGGCCAGCCCAGCCCACCCTCAGCCCTCGTTTACAGGTATGCAAACCTAGTGTGCCTGCAGGTCATCAAGGTCAGCTCCTGAAGACAAAGGGCTCAAAAAAGCTGGGGCTCAGATGGGCAGGCACAAAGCTGTGGTGGTCCCTGTGCAGGGCACCACTGCCAGACCCACCCACCCCCACCACAGCCCATAAAATCGGACTGACCTTACAAAACCAACAGGGAGGGCACAGCTGAGTTACATTTACTGTACAAAGAAACGGAAGAACAGCTCAAAGGACACAGGAATGCAGGGTCCAGCAGCAGTGAGGGTAGTGTTGATATGGTGCACGTGGGACTGTCCAGCTCCTCAAAATGAAGTCTGTGTAGCTCTGTTCACAACTCCAGAGAAAAGGGCATTGCTGGCAGCAACAGGGCTGCTGGGGTTGGGAGATGGTGGAGCCACCCCTGACACAAGCTCCCCAGCCCAGGAGCCATCTCCCAGTACAGCCATAGTGCTGCATCTGCATGTCCACCGGTGCCCTGAAACACCTGCAGTAGGACTGTCCTGTACCACGTGCACTATGAAGGACCCAGAGAGAGGGGTCCCAGCCCAGGGAGGGCTCCTTGGTGGCTGGGGCCCTAGGGCAGGAGGTAGAGTTGAGCACCAGTGAGGCTGAGGGTGGGGGTGCCAGGCAAGGGGGCAGCACTGAGAAGGACCAGGCCATGGCTTCATGGGGTGAGGATAAGGACACTGTGCACTGGCACAAGGGCTGCTGGGAGGTCCTCCAGAGGGGCCCAAGGTGCAGACAAGGCTGCTGTCCAGGCAGTACCACTAAGAAACAGGTCAAAGAGGTTCCGGTAGCATGTGACCTCACAGGCAAAAGGGCACCACAGATGAGAACGAGCTGCTGGGAAAATAAGTCCTGGCAGTGTCTGGAGGTTCAGATGCCAACACTGTCACTCCAGTGTCACTCGCAGATCTACAGAAGGCTCTATAGATCTCCTTGACCTGGAGACCTGATCTATGTAGTGAGTATTACCGAGGGTGCCCAGTTATAGCAGGCAGGGACCCTGGAATGGCTGAGGGGGGTCCCTCACACCCTGCTTCTCCCCTTTCCTGTAAGTCACACATCCTTGCCTATGCCCAGCACACTGATCTCCARAGTTATACGCTGGGGCCAAGACCTCTGCCAGAAGCTTCTGGGGTACCCTGTTTCTCACTGGCATGGGCAGTGCAAACACCCCAGGCAAATTGGATGTAAATCTAAAGAACTACTGTTCCAACTGCACCTCCTGCCATCACTCCTCAAGCCCCTCTTTCCCCAGATGTATGGGCCCTCCTCATGGCTGCTGTGGCGTGAAGAGGCAAGCTCACCACACAGATGCATCCATCTTCCCTGACAGCCTTTAAAAAAATGTACAAAACAGGCAAAATGTTCTCTATATAAATAAGGAAGGGGAGCCAGGCTCCCTCCTGGCCCAAGCCCAGACAGCCTGGAGTCTGGGGTTGATTCAGACCAGGGTCTCTGTAGCACCAGCAGCCCAGCTACCCAAAGGCCCCTGGGCCTCATCCATGGAGTGTGCTCTCCCCTCCACCTAGCTGGGTGTGGAGGAGAACCGGACGCTTCCGAAACAGGCTGTGTGGCCAAGTCTTCCTGCCCGGGAGCGCTCTTCCACCACTGAGCCTCCCAGAGTCTGCAGAGTGGTGCCTGCTGGCCTGCTAGGAGATCTTGCAGTTGCTCCGAGAACAGTTCTGGGGAGGGCTCTGGGGCGGGCGGATGGACTTGGACCTCTTGAGACTGTTGCCCTTGCTACTGCTGCCTCCAGCTCCACTGGCCAGGGAGTACGAGCGACCATGCATCATGACGGCATTCATGCCGTTAGCCATGGAGAAGGACTTGAGGTGGCTCTTGATGGTAACGGGTAGTGGAAGCTTGTCAATGAGGTGCACTGGGGTGCAGGAGACAATGGCACGGCAGCAGAGGTCCTGCAGGCTGAACACTGTGGCAGGGGGAATCAGATGGGGGCCAGGAGGCCCACTAAGATATGTGCTGAGGAGCTGCCCTCTCCCAACTAGGACAGGGCCCTGCCCTCAGCCTCCCAGCACAGACACCGTGCAAAGAGTGGCTCCCTCCTGCCTTCCCTCTTAGAATGGAGTGCACTGCAAGGTGCTGCTGCGAGACCAGCAGCCCTAGGAGCTGTGGTGGGGCAGAGGCTGACTTGCTCTTGGGAGCCACTCTGCAGCCCCTCCCGTAGCTCCAGTTAGAGTGCAACTCAGCCCAGCCTGGCGGCACCCAGCTCAGGTCTGCACAGTCTGCAGATGCTCCTGTGGCAGAGTAGGCCCAGGGTACAAGAAGGTTCTCTATGGCTCCTGTTAAGAAGGGAGGGGTTTGGGCTCCACTGTGACCACCCATTTGCCCAGCAGCCAACTGCCAGGAAGCACGGGTCAATGGTCCCATCTCCCGTGGTTTCTGGTCGAGGTATGGAATAGGGCAGGCAGAACACTGCAAAGCTGCTGGCGTCCCATCTCCAGAGGGACCCCACATGCAGAACTGCTCACTGCGTGTAGCAAAAGGGGACTGTGGCTCTGGAGGAGCCTTCCCATTTTCCCCCCAGCACTCTCAGCTCCACCCCCACATTGCCACCCACCTCGATTGGGCCTCCAGATCTTCTCCATTCCATGCCGCATAAGCACAATGCGTGAGAGTTCAGTGAAGGATTCAATGACATTGAAGTTGCACAGGGGGCTGACCTCAAAGAATGTCATGCAGTTCTTCTCCGCATAGGCACGGGCCTGCTCGGTTGGGACTTGCCGCTTGAAGGCCAGATGCAGCCGGTTCCCAACAAGGATCCGGGGGACCCCAGGTGCATGCTTGGGTTGGGGAGACACAGTATTCAGAGGCAAATCTCAGGACACACCAACCCCTCAGTCTTGAGCAGACCCCCCCATCACCCACAAGCTATGGAGTGGTCATAGCAGGCAATATACCCGGGTACAGCCTAGTCCTGTGCCTTCCCCTGCAGGGGTGCAGACCCACACCTACCTCATCAATCTCTTTGATCCACCGGTCAATGCCATCAAAGGACCAGCGGTTTGTGATGTCATATACCAAAAGGATCCCCTGCAAGGGAGACACATAGAGGTCACCTACAGAGGTCACCTAAGCGTGGACCCAGGAACACTGGCACAGCAGACTTTGTGGGTTACTAGCATGAACATCAGATGGGAAATGTACCTGCTGCCAAACAAGGGGGCGGGTGGGGAGGGGAGCTGAAGGAAACCTTCTGTAAGAGGGGGTGGCTCAGATGCTACTCCCTCCCACCCCTGAGATGTCTTCAATTTCTGATCTCCAGGCACAGCACAGGCATTACTCTGAAACCATTCAAACATCACAGAAGCTAAGCTGTAACACACCCAGGTCTGGGCTATGTGGCCACAGAGCTGCAAGATGGGAGCTGAGTGTCCTTGCAGTCAGTCCAGCAGTGAACTCTGCCCCTGGAGTACTTGGGGGCTGAGCAGAGCTGAACAGAGGCATTTCTGAGTCTTCCAACCAGAAATCTGCAGAGCAGGGTGTTAGTTGCTACAGGAGCAGGTTTTCATGAGGGCTCCCCGCAACCAAGCTGAGCAGGATCTGCTATGGGGTCTTTTCTGCTACATCCCTTAGAGACCAATTAGCAGGAGCTCAGCTCTGGGCTGTCTCACCTGCCCTGAGTATCTCTCAGCAGTGACACCCTCGTGGCTCTCCAGCAGGGGCCCAGCCACCACAGTATTCAGCAGCACTCTGAACCCACCCAGAGAGCCACAAAGCTGCATATGACAGAGGACAGGCAAGGGCTGAGAGTGTAGGCAAGGGCAGTGTGCACCTCAGGGCCAGGGCTCAGAGCCTTCCCCTCCAACACACCCTCTCGTTTCTGCAAGACCAGTGTGGCCCCAGGTCTCCTTAAGACAAAGGCCCTATCCTTTGGATAGCAGGCCTAGAACAGGGCCGCATCCACATCCAGGAGGAACCCCTCTAGCCCAGAGGGGAAACCCCCAGGCCAGGCACCCCTATGAAGAACTGACCAACCTGAGCCAGATGGGTGGGCAAAAAATGGTAAGACTTACAATAAATTAACACACACCTAAGTGTAAGCTCTGTTGCTCAGGCACAGGGACCTAGCCTATCTTTTGCTACAAGGAGAGGGTTGGCTTGGAGGGGGGGGGTCAGTGCCCCCTGAAGCATCATAGCAAGCTCTAGTGTGGCAATCCGAGTCGGAGTCCAAAGACTCCCGTCAGGGGGCAACTCAGCACTGCTGAGAGCCAGGAACAACCATATGGTGGGCCGACACTCACTGGGAAAGCCGACAATGTAAGGCATAACAGTCATGCAGAAAATTAAAATAGCAGAAGTGCACTTCACAGGTATGATGGGTGGTCAGATAGTGAAGCTCAGGGCGAGAGACGGCTGAGTGCTGTGCACAGGATGATGATTTTTTCTCCCCGGTACAGGGAATTGAACCCAGGGGCACTTTACCACTGAGCTACATCCTAGCCCTTTTTACTTTGAGACAGAGTCTTGCCAAGTCCTTAGCGCCTTGCTGAGTTGCCCAGGCTGGCCTGAACTCACAACCCTCCTACCTCAGCCTCCTGAGTCGCTGGGATCACAGGTGCGGCCGCTGTGCCTGGCACCATATCTTACAGAATGAGGATATAAACACAATACTGCACAGAGAAGTCTGCACAGGTGATTTCCACTTTCTTTCTTATGTTTTCCCCATTTCCTGCAATGACACTTGTGTCACATTTTAAAGGAATGAGTAGAAGGCTCACTGAGGCTGGACAGGTTGGCTTTGGCTTCAACTTGTGCCCTGAGGTGGTCGAGAGCCCTGGCCACCCCTCCTGGCTAGTGCCAGCAGTCCCAGCTCTCCTCTTGTGTGCCCTAAGCAGGCAGGCCCTTTCTGATACTGTCTAAATCCAATCAGTTGTGGTTATGAGCAGAAGAGGCAGGGTGGAAAGTCACAAAGACAAAGGCCAGCACTGGTCTCATTATAGGCAGAAAGACCCAGTAATCATGGATTTGTCTGGGAAAACTRTTTGGGATGAACTATTTGGCAGGATAGCCAAGAAACCAAAATGTGGTTCCTTTTTACCAGAACCAATCCCAAAAGAATCCCAGCATCACTCCTGTGTTTCAAAGAGGCAGAACAAGGGGAAAATAGACTACTTACCACATTTTGCCTTTTTAGTGTGACAGTAATATATGCTCTGATTTTTAAAAGCTAAGTAGTACTCTAAGGCATAAGTAAAAAATGTAGGTGCTCCCCTCCTCCAGCCCCCTGAGTGTCTCCCAGAGGTCCCCATGCCTCCTGGCTCACTTCTCGCACACAGGATATCCCCTTCTGGAACTCAGACCCACCCTCTCTGACACGAGCCAGTTCCCAGCCTCAGATGCTGCCTTTGGTAACAACCTGCTGTAAGGCCCCTTGGAGCGCCCCTGTTTTCGCTCAGCTCAGCCTCTAGGATAAACTCCTGGAAGTGCGACTGCTGGGTCCAAGCAGGGATGCCCTTCTGTTATGACTGCTTTCTGATCTCCAACCCACACGCCAGAAACACACAGGCTGGAGGCACAGCTACTCTGAGTTTCTGACAGATACATGGACCTATGTTATGAACTGAGATGGAGAGGTGCCTCGGTTAAAAACAAAACTTAGGGGCTGAGGACATAGCTCAGTTAGTAAAGTGCTTGCCTTGCTTGCATACACAAGGTCCTGGGTTCAATCCCCAGCAGCCCCACCTCACACACACACCAAAAAAAAAAAAAAAAAAAAATGTATCCAGGTATCATCCTGCGGTCGCACAGCTTGGGAGGCTGGGGCAGGAGGATCTCTTGAGCCCAGGAGTTAGAGGCGCCTGGGCAACAGAGCTAGATTTCATTAAAAAGGGCGGGGGGGCTGGAGTTGTAGCACAGCGGTAGAACGCTTGCCTTGTATGTGTGAGGCACTGCATTCAATTCCAAGCACCACATATAAATAAGCAAATAAAATAAAGATCCATCAACAACTTAAAATTTAAAAAAAAATAGTATTTGACAGGCTGGGGGTGGGGTGAAGCTTGAGTAGAGCACTTGCCTGGCATGCGTAAAGCCCTGGGTTGGGTTCAATCCCTAGTACCACAAAACAAACAACAGCCAGAGTGAAACCCTCCTGCCTGTTTCCTCAGCACCAGGCTCTGCCCAGGAATAAGTGCCACCCACACCCACAAGTGGCTGCTGTCCTCAGCAGTCATCCTGTATGGCTTTCCATATGAAGCCCTCCTCTACCTTGAGGAACTTACCACTACCAAACCAGCTGGTTCTAAGCCAGCTGACCCTGAGCCCTCAACAGAACAGGGCAGTTCCTCTCACTGGCACAGCCAGACTCCCCTGCCCCCAGCCCCAGGTTCTCACACCAGGGTGACCATCTTACTCCCTCCGTGGGTAGCACCAGCCTTCGGGGCCTTAAGAGGCCACCTCTGACCTCAGCCACAGACAGCATATGTGCTTGGCCCATAGGTGCCAACGAGAACAGCCTGTGGCTCCTTGGTGAAAAGTAAAGGGATTCTGCAGCAGCCACAAGACAGTGCTGTACATGACAGGTGACGAGCAAGACAGTGGCCAGAGGCCTCTGTTGGTGCCATCTTCAAGACCCAAGATCCACAGGCCTCTGTCCTCATGAGGGGGTCAGAGAATGACACTGCTTGATCTGGAAGGATGGTACACGCCATCAGGGGCTGCACACAGAAGCATTGCTACACTTGCTCTAGAGACTCCATTACCTCCCTGCTGTTCCCCAAGCAGGACACACACAGGAGAGACAGGATAGTACCAGGGCAGGCTCAGGGCTTCTCCTGGGACAAGGCCACTAGGAAGCACCTGGTACTCCCCACCTGAGCCCAAGATGTGCACTTGGGGTTTGTAATTACTCTTCTTAGCCAGGATATGGCAACTAAGAACTTCCAAAAGTAAAAAGCAAATCAAAACCCACCTATTGCCATAGATACTTTGGAAAGAACACAGAAATAATGACACCTGCTTTGCTTCCCAGAAAACAGTCTGGCAGAGGCAGAGCTTAATAGTGCTATGGTGGGAACACCACAGGTGAGCCCAGCCAGGCTTACTCTAAACTGCCTTTCCATGACTTCCCAATAACCCTCTAGGCCCCACCAGGGTAACTGCTCTCTTTACTATATTGTCTTATTGTAAAAGTCTACATGTTTATTGCAGAAACTAGAAAGTGCTGAAAAGCAAATGGAAAATAATAAACTTTTTTGTTGTTGTTGTTACTGGGGACTGAACTCAGAGGTGCTCTACCACTGAGCCATATCCCCAGCCCTTATTTTTTGAGAAGGGGTCTACTAAGTTGCTCAGGCTGGTCTTGAACTTGCGATCTTCCTATCTCAGCTTCTTAAGTTGCTAGGATTACAGGCGTGTGCCAAGGTACCAGGCTTTATCTTTTTTTGCAGTGCTAGGGATCAAACCCAGGGCCTTGAACATGGTAGGCAAGCACTTTACCACTACAGCCCCAACCCCCAAACATTTTTTTAAATATTTTTTTTTAGTTGTAGATGGACACAATACCTTTATTTTGTTTTTATTTTTTATGTGGTACTGGGGATCAAACCCAGTGACTCACGCATGCTGGCAAGTGCTCTACCACTGAGCACAACCCTGGCTTCCCAATAAAATATGTTTAAAAATAGATGTAAAAGCTGGGCACAGTGGCACATGCCTATAATCCCAGTGGCTTGGGAGGTTGAGACAGGAGGATTGTAAGCTCAAGGCCGGCCTCAGCAAGTTAATAAGACTCTAAGCAACTTAGTGAGACCCTGTCTCAAAATAAACAAAAAGGGCTATAGGTATGTGGCTCAATGATAAAGTATCCTGGGTTAAAATATATATATATATATATATATAATCTTTTTTTTTTTTTTTAACGTTGCCCAGGCTGGCCTCCAACTCTCCAACTCATAGACTCCAGCCTCAGCTTCCAGAGTAGCTGGGATTACAGGCAATGCTATCACATCCAGCTTAACAAGATGTATTTCAATAGCTCGGGGAGGGTGCTATGGCCATTGTGCTATGTTCAGGGCACATTCCAAAGCACCAGGCAGAAGGCCACTGGCCACAGCTTGAGAATAGCAATGCACTGTACAGGGACACTGAAAGCAGGTGCATTGAGGACATAGTCAACACTGTGGGGAGGCTTCCACGATCAGAAAGAGTGTCAAGGAGGATGGCTGTGTGTAGCACTGGAGATTGAACCCAGGGGCGTCCCACCACTGAGCTACATCCCAGCCCTTCTGATTTTGAGTCAAGACCTCTCTTGAGCTTGAGACTCCTCCTGCCTCAGCCTCTCAAGTGCGTCGAATCACTGGTGTGCATTACTGCGCACAAGTGCCATTTCTTTGGAGAGCTGTCCAGAAGACCTATGCTTACTATGTCATGAGGTTTTCTTTAAAAAAAAAACAAAACACTGATGGGTAAAAAGTCAGTCCCAGAGAAGTTGATTAGAGCAGGCCACACTGGACATTTAATATACAGGCTATCAGGGAAAGCCTGATGTTCATATATCAAAAAATCCCTTAAAAAGGAATAATGTGCTTTGGATATTGGACAGGACAGCTGCCTGACCAGAAAAGGTCACAAGAAACCATCTGAAAAGCAGCAAGAGAGTGTCACTGGTCTTACCTGTGCGCCCCTGGAGTAGGACCTGAAGATGGTGCAGAACCGGCCCTGGCCCGAGGTGTCCCTGAAACACATAGGGAGTCAGAGGGACCTGAGTGAGGGGTCATGTCCTCCATTCTGGCTCAGCAGCTCATCTGGACATCCTGGAGAGGCCAGGCAAGGGAGCCAAGAAGCGCAGAGAGGGTATGCCAGGAAGATGCCGACTACGCAGATCATGCCAGCCCGGTGAGTAACATCACAGAGGCAGACCAAGAGGGCAGCCCTTGTCTACCTGCTCAATGAGTCCCACTTGGGCCTGGAAGTCCAGGACGCTATCTGGAAAACCCCAGAGACCAGTGAAATTGTTGTCGCAGACTTTGAAGTTCTGGGAAATGTTTTTTTGTTGTTGTTGATGGGCCTTTATTTTATTTATTTATATTGGTGTTGAGAATCGAACCCAGTACCTCACACATGCTAGGCAAGCACTCTGCCACTGAGCCACAGCCCAGCCCATGAAATGTGTTCTTTAATGTGTAGCCCAGGAAAATGCCAGGAGAGGCAGCATCAGCCACTGTGGAAATAAGTCTTTTGGGGCAAAGAGGGCATGGGCCCTGTCAGGACAAGATGCCTTAAATACTCCTGTTTTCCTATCTCGGAACAGAGTCCATTCCCTGCTTGAGCAGGGCCTGTTTAAATGGCAACTACAAGCAGGATATAAAGAGGGTGCCTTCCTATTTTACCCCATGGCTCCCCGTCTCCACCCAACACCCCAACTTACCAGAGCTCCAGCTTGACACGCCTCCCGTCCAGCAGAATGGTGGTTGTCTTGTAGTCAATCCCTGTGAAGAAGCACAGGGGTATGGCAACCCTCAGCAACCAGCCTCCCCAGAGCTCAGACTCCTCAACTGAGCCTGTGCTGCAAAGTGGAAAAAGTGTTTCCCTGCAACCTGCTGGGGAATAGGGCAGGAGTACTCCCTGTGGCCCCAGCCCAGCCCACCTACACACAGCAACCACAGGACAAGGCAAGTGCTGAGGTCAGGACAAGGCAATGGCTGCAGGCTGGCCACACCAGCCTTTCCAGGGGCTCTGAGTCCGGCAGGCTGGAAGGACATGGCTCACCTCCACTTTCACCTACTAAATGTGGATTCTGAGGCTAAACTCTCAAAGGCCTGCTGTGGCCCCAGGAACTCACAATTGGAGCATTATCAAGGATGAGGCAACTTAAAGATGTTGTTTCCTTCCCATCCCCTCCTTCCCTTCCTCTTGTGTGTGCAGTACTGGGGATTGAACCCAGGGGCATCCCACCACTGAGCTACATCCCAGCCCTTCTGATTTTGAGTCAAGACCTCTCTTGAGCTTGAGACCCCTCCTGCCTCAGCCTCCCAAGTGCGTGGGATCACTGGTGTGCATACTGCGCACAAGTGCCATTTCTTTGGAGAGCTGTCCAGAAGACCTATGCTTACTATGTCTTGAGGTTTTCTTTTCTTTTCTTTTTTTTTTTTAATATTTATTTATTTAGTTAGTTAGTTATTGGCAGACACAACATCTTTGTTTGTATGTGGTGCTGAGGATCGAACCCGGGCCGCACGCATGCCAGTCGAGCGTGCTGCCGCTTGAGCCACATCCCCAGCCCTAGAAATCCATTTTGTACCTGTGTTATAAAAGGAAAAAAAAAA